TGCAAGGAGTGCTGCCCTACTGGCAATGATAGTGAAGGAAGGATGGTGGCCCTCCCTTCTGCTTTCTCAAAAAGGGAAGCTGAAAACCCATGAAAAGCTGCGTTAACTCATTTCCCCACCCTAAAAACTTCTGGCAGCAATTGTGAAACTGGCCGTCATTCTGTAACAATTTGTTTACAGAGGTCCATTGAAGTGAAACATGTCAGTGGCTATGAGCTGGGAGAGTGCCCACGTAAGTGAGAATCACCAGGTAAAGAATCCATGTGGGGCAGACAAGGCAGCACTGCATCCATCACCATAGTGATCCATCAGCACTTTCAAAATGGTTCAGCACAGAGCGATCCCTGCCCCTACTGCCACCACAGTGACAACAAGGTACTTACAATGCCTCCAAACATCATAAAGCAGGAGCACTTAGACCTACATGGAGCAATCATGCCAGCACATGAGCTACAGCCCTCTCCCTACCTTACACCGAGAGCACGTGCTGCTCTGAACCTGTCTGCAGAGAGTTCCTCCTGCTGATGTTCCTTGGGACAGACACTACATCCAACTGCACACAAGTCTTCAAAATTGTCCTTGAAGATCCACCACTTGCTTTCCTTGTCCAAAGGGTGTGACAGGAACTCAGTTCTTCATTGTAGTATCTATGCTGTAGCATATTCTACCTGCCTACAAAGTTACTGCTATATGAACATATGTGGACAGTCAGGAAAAACATCTGAAATATCTTTATTTCTTAATGAGGGAATAAGGTTGAGAGTCTGTGCATAATGCAGTCATCCCAACCTCACATAGCCAGAATTTTACAACTCTCATGGGTTGTGAAACTTCAAGAAATGAATACATGAGACTCTCACATGATGTGGGGCATAAACAGGACTATGGAGATTTAAGTTTTGACACATTAGGGCTTACAGCAGCTTGCGGTGCAGGATTCTGTAGGTAGTTCTGGATGAACAGCAGAGCATTACCCACAGCCTGCAGGAGAAAAACTCACTCAGGTCCATTGAGTTTTGCCTAAATTAGGGCTGCCAGAGCAGATTCATCATACAAATCCCACTCTGATAAAACATGCACTTATTACTTTCTATTGATGAAGCAAACTATAGAAGGGTTATCCACAAACTGATATACTGTCCATCCCATTAATGCATACTAACAGTCAAGTGAACCAGTTTACCTTTTATTTATGAAAAACATATGAGTTGTGGCAGATGTAGGAAAAATTAGTGCAAATATACACATACCATTGACCAATCAGCCATGAAAGGAGTAAGAACCGAAAAAATCAGTGATCTGTTTTCTCCAAAGTAAAACTAACAAACTGAACTCTTGCACTGTTTCTTCATTACAGAAACTGAGATATATTCAGGCACAGTGGAATTCAGCTTTATTGAGAAATGCAGATGGCTCTGTTAAGTCCCCGTTCATTTGAATCCTTATCATCTCCCCAGTATTGCTGCAACAAATTTAGTCCTTATAATATATTCCAGAGCAAAACCAGCCATTCCAAATCTGCAGTCATTCTTCACATTAAGTCAATTCACAGAACTGCTGAAAAAGTAGACATTTCTATCTCAAAGTACAAAAGGGTTTGTATAGAAGGTACTTCTCTTATACAGTTATATTACACAGCTCAGCACGGTCCCGGCAAGCTCTTCTCAGCTCTGGGTGCTTCTGGCTAGACAGAAGTAAAACAAAAGTGAGTTAGTTTCATTGCTGATCTATGATGTACTACAAATACTTGTAGTATTTACTTTGAGTTCTTCAGGCCTAGAATTAAAGACCACATGGAAGGTGAACACTGCTCTTCATCAGTGGGATTACATGTGTGCTTGAGTGCTTCCTGTATCAGTTTAGATGGAATATTTGCTTTAATACACATTCTTTAGCCAGTCCTTTACAAAGAACATAAGGACCACTGCAGCTCTGGAGCAAGGCCTGTACCATGCCACTACCACACAGGGATGGAGCAGATGTTACAGAATTACAGAAATGCAAGAGGCTCTGCAAGTCATACAGTCCAGCCTTGTTCCCAAAGGATTGCAGCTCACAACAGTTTGGCTTAGCCCTGGTGTTGACAGATCTTAACATCCACCAAGGGAGCGGGTTCTGCCACTTCTCTGTGTGACTTTTATCCTTTTGTCAGAGTCTTGAGATGTACTGGGAGTGCTTCACAGAGCTAATTTGTGCTTGGGTGCCCACAAAGCTTGTTTCACATCCCAAGGAAAGTGGAAGAGAACGAACCTCTTTCTCCAAGGTGAAACCCATCAGCTGGGATGTTCATACATACACAACCTTCATGTGAGTGTTAGAACTACGAGCACCAGATGCATGACCATCAGTTAGGGCACATCATTTTCTCCATCAGTCAGTGTTCATGCTGCATTGACAGAGGGCCATGGCTTTGGCTGTCCTTGTCTCTGAAAAGCCAGATGCTGCCAGGAGTGAAATTCCCAGGCTCCTCCAGCTACTGCTCCATGGGAGCTGGCAAACTACTCTGGCAGGCACATCTGCTTAGGCCAGCAGAAAGTAATAGTGAATAGCCAGAGCTTGGAGTTGCTGATCACTGGCCCGTACCCTCAGGCTGGAATAGCATACAGAATCTTCTTTGTGATGAACACAATGGTTCTGAAAAAAGTCAGTTTATCATCAAAACTTAGCTAAGTTTTTGGCCAGTGTCTCAGGCTTAGGCAATATTTCAATCTTAGTGAAGAGCTCTCCTGCCCAAGTACAACTTGGAAACCTTATATAAACCTTATATAAGCCTTACCAAGAATAAACGTGCTCTTTCACCAACCATGTCAGAGCTCCTCACAAACATGAATTCCCTCTGAGGTACGTAATTACCATCACCTATTTTTATTCATAGGCTATGATACAGCCCAGATCTCCCTTGGAATGACTCCCTCACAAATCTGAACACAGTACACTTTACATTGTATTCTGGTAAGGTAGTGAAAACATTCTACATAGAAGAGAACTAAGACAAAATAATTCCAAAGTCAAGTGAAGGACTGGCACCTTCTGGCATTCAATCTTAGCCCTCTTCTTCCCCACCCTACACTGCATCCTTGACACATACAAACTCCAAGAACCACAAAATTCTATTACCACAGTAGGGATGAGCTCTACCACGTTGGGTCTGGTTCTTGCTTTATTTGACAACTTTCTTCTGTTTCTGTAACATCTGTTGAAAAAGGACAAATGTGATGAACAAATGAATGAACTGAATGTCTTCCAGAGCCAGCAAACAACATCTGACCACACACCCTTGTGCTCAAGTCATGCCTTCTGGTTAACAAATTAACATTCATTGCACAAGCTTGTTTTCACAGCACTGGCCATTTATCAGATTTTATTTTCATCTGTAAGACCACTGCTCTCCCCAACCACATACAGACCATTTCTGCATTATTGTATTTCAATCCATGCAAAATAAATTTTGACCTTAGCTAATTTTTCTTCTCCAATGCACAGTATCACACAGGAGGGCATTATTAGATGTTAAAAAAAAAAAAAAAGAGAGAGAGAAATTTTATCTTATTGGCTAAAGCATTCATCACCTTTTCATACAATATTTTTCATTTCCAAGAGACTTCATTAGAAAATCTTTGCTTTTCTTGTTCATAGGGATGCTGGGAGGTAAATCAAAGCAATCTCATGTCTTTACAGCACTGCCTGTATGTCCTGGAGCCTGATTTTGTTCTTTTTATAAACAGAGAGTATGATGTTGAAAGGAAATTGGTTTTTTACTGAAGCTGTTTGCAAGGTTCAGGGCTAGAGTAATTCATCACAGCAAAGCTAAGCTGTCTCAGCACATGATGCTTGATCCCTCCCAGCCTAGTTCTGATGGGACCGTGTGCACTTCAGCAGCAACACACCTTTTCTCAACATCATTTCTCTGACAGCTGGGCCCAACTGCAGCTTTGGATGACAAATTCAAAAAACACATTTGTCTATTTCTTCAAAAGAATCACTTTAAAAGACTCCCTTTTAAAGATTCAGGAACTGTCCCACTCCATCTAACAGTTTCAGTGATCCCATTTTGGCAGCACAAAGACATTTCATGTTTCAGCTTTCAGAAACCACCAGCAATGGAAATGAGAAAGGACATCTCCCCAGGAAAGGACACGGAAGAACAGAAGTGCTGCAGTTTGCAGCTCTCTCCTCTTTCAGAGAGTCCAAGCAGAATTAGAGAACAAACTCAAGTTGTGAGCTCTAAGATGCAAAGCAGTGATGCATAGCCACATCCATCCCAGTGCTGCTGGCCACGTGGCAGCACTGCTCTCCACACTTCTTTTTCTTGCAGAGCTTCACAACTCCCCCAACAAACTCTGAGAGTAAACTCAGGCCAATACAGCATTCAAATTTCCTGATGATGGCAATCGTTCACTTGCATAAATTGTCAAAATGACTGCATGGATAACTAGATGCTCACTCAGGATATGAGCAATCCCTCAAAGCCTATATATAGCCATGACTCACCCACCAAAAACAGCACTTCATAAAACTCTTTTGTACAATTATCTGAATAATAACTTTTGCTGCAGAGAATCTTCCATGTAATGCAGCACAATATTAAAACAGATGTCCTGGGAACCAATAAATGCTTCTTTTTGTTGTTTAGATTGACGTGTCTTCTTTAAAAAGAAAAAATGCAGCTTTGTTCAAAATGACTTTAGAAGGATGTTTTTCACTCACAGGGTGGTGACACATTGGAACAGGTTGCCCAAGGAGGTTGTGGATGCCCCATCCCTGCAGGCATTCAAGACCAGGCTGGATGTGGCTCTGGGCAGCCTGGGCTGGTGGTTGGTGACCCTGCACACAGCAGGGGTTTGGAACTGGATGAGCATTGGGGTCCTTATCAACCCAGGCCATTCTAAGATTTTATAACTTTAAAATATTTGTTGATATAGCTGAAGACAAACACTCACCCCCTGAAGATACCTCTGTTTGCCTTGGTTCAGCTGGCTCTTAAATGAAAAAAAAAAACAAAACAAAGTCACATGAATATGCATGTTATTTCCAGGGTATGAAACAAATAAGTGTCTTAGCAAAAGTTAGGAAAATTAAGTTTTCTCTGAAATAAGAAGGAAAAAAAGTCTCATTTTTTCCCCTCTTAGAATCACATAAATATTTCTGAGACAAAGATCTGTAGCTTGCTATTGACTTTATAGCAAAATATATAAAAAGCATCCAAACATTCACTGTATTACATTAACATTGCCCTCAGTGTGTGGGTCACTGTAGCAGACATCACTGAGCTCCAGCAAAACAATGCATACCTGCACAGAATACATCAGATTTGCATCAGCTTAATTCAAACCACTTATATTTAAGTCTGGATTTCAAACATACATCACACCACTTCTGGATACTTTTGTTCTCAGTGGTGAGCACGTCTATTTTGGTGGAGAGGGGGAAGCTGCAGAGTAGAGGGCAAAAATCACATTTTATTTCCATAATACCTTTTCTACAATCTGTGTTGATGGCTTAGAGACTGACAGCTGTTGGGAAAACCACAGAACCTTATTAACAGTGCAGGTAAGTTAAGGACAGAGTTCACCCAACAGAAACAGACGTTTTTCTCCCTGCCACCCCAACAGAAGCAGAGGAGGGAACAGCTCCCTTTCTGTTACCACAGAAGTGCCCCTTACTCTTGAAATGTTTATTAAATGTTTTCTGTTTCTCTGAGTGACATTCTGTTCAGTCAATAGCAGAAGGCTACTGACAACTTGAGATACACATTTCTAAAAGGCCTGTGAGAATTTCTGAAATACTGGGTCAAAAGGAAGTTGTTCAACTACATTTACTTCAGCAACTCCCAGCACAGAACAAAACTCTCAATTCAGATTAAGAAGGGTCATGTGAGTGCAGTCCAGATGCAATCTAACAGGGCTTTCAGTGCTGTTTAGTGGATAGAAATTCCATCGAGACCCTTTTCTGGGTTCTTACACATTTTGCAGGCAAACTTAGCTTGGCTGAACATCGATCTGGCACAGACACACACTCTGAGTTAAGCAGACATCATTAAACAGACACGGAATTGCCTTTATATATTGCCTCTACTGATCCTTCCTTTCAGCTCACTCATCATCTGCAAAAATCAAATTAAGGAACATGCCAATGACATAGCTTGAAGGAAGCAATGCTTCTTTCTATTAACGTGTTAATATTTAATGGTTATAAACATCATCATTGCACACCATCTGTCAAAATAAAACAGCTCATCATAAGCAGTGCATACCCAGGGCATGACTATTGATATCATCTGCCAATAGCATCTAGAACTCCATATCCCACCCCTTCTGCAAGGAAACATGTCACACTGCATCACCTGGTAGTGTGGGTGCTGCTGCTGCTGCTGGTGCTGTTGGTGCTTCTGCTTCAGTTTTCTCCATTAGCTCTAAGATCAGACATGATCATCATTAACTTTACAACAGAAACATGTAACACAAGGGCAATTTTACCTCTGGTATCTGCAAATCCTGAAACTTGTTGCATTACAAAATCACTATTTGAGCCACAATTCACTATTTTTTGTTTCAGAAAAAAGCATTCCCTATCTTGCCCGCAAGTTCCTACAATTTCCTAGTAATTTCTCATATGTTCCCCAGAGCAAGAATGTTCCATATCTACAAGTAGGCTCAGAGACTAACAATAATTCACTCCAATATCAATATCAGTTCTTTCTGATCATAATTAACTGACACAGATACTGCACGAAAGTCACCCATTCAGTGACCAATTTCCTGCTCTGGCAATGGCAGATGATCCCATATCTGCTGTTCTTCCTCAGTTAATTTGCTAGCATCAGTCCCACCAAACACTGAAAACTATGCTGGAGAGACAAGAGTTTATTTAATAGATTCTTTCATTTCTAATTCAATCCTCTGGCAACGTCATCAGTGCTCATCTGCCTGAAGTGTTCCCTCCTACAAAGGGATCTCCTGCCCACCTAAGGAGGTGTGCCCAGGATTGGTAAGCAGCTGAGTTCCCAATTACAGTACCTTCCTGAGAACACTCTGTCCTTGCCATTCACAGACCTCAGTACAGAATACTATACTTGTGGCTTGATGCAAATGAATGAGTACTGGGATGCTAAGGCTGAGGCTGGGTAAGGCCAAACTACTGACAGCAGGTTATTTGGCCGCATTGGCTCTGAAAGAATACAACACAAGGGTCACTTGTAACAACAGTGTTTTGTTGCTTGCTTTTTCTTTAAATAAGATGTTAAAAAATAAGGTCACAATAATTATAAGCAACTTGAAATACTAAGACTTGTTTTTTCAAACCAAATTTGAGTAACATGCAATGCAACACACTGGTAATTGCACTCTGCCTCTCTCAACTGTCATAGCTTCAGCAGAATGCAGGACTTCTTATTGGGACACGGATCTGCAGCTGCTCTAAAGTTGTTTATTAACTTAACTCCTGCTAATTCACTGCTACTATGATGGATTCAAACCAAAAACATAGACACTGCCATGAAAGTCTGTTCACACTCAGGGTCCTAAATCTCTTTGGGACTCTGCAGCTGAAAAATACAAAATGAGTGTCTTGCATTTTCTTATCAAAGTTAATGCTAATTTTAGGCACTGATCACACTGCTCTCGTGTTCATTTTGCATTCCACAAAGTCAACGTGGAGAAAACTGATCCTGGTAAGTTACAAAATTACATTTGCTATCAGTGTCACAGAAATTACTTACGGTTGTTCATCACAAGTCCTGGAAATGGTCTGTAAAAAAAAAAAACAAAAAACAGAAAGAACACACCATGCTGATTCTGAAGCACACTGTGTGGGATCTCCCTCTTGAGGCATCCTCACCTAAAAGCTGTGAGCTCTGCTACCAACTGCTAAAAGAAAGCGGAACAAAAGGAGGTACCATCATAGCACCTCCTGGGTGCTTAATGGTCCTGGGTTGAGAATTCAGACACCTTTCAGTGAAGTTGTATTTAAATAGTGTCCCTCTCTCTCCATAGAGACCAAAGCTTTCAGATACCTTTGGAGCAGACTGTCATTTCATGAGTTACAAAAAATGTAATATTTGTTTTCAGTTCCTGAAGTCCTCCTGAGTGTGACTCCATATTTCATCTATTCTGCTTCATGCACACAAATACACTTTGTATAGATATGTGTGTGCATATACAAAAATTAACTTATACTGCAATTGTAAATATTATGTCTTAAAATATTAGAAAAAACATCAAAAAAATCTACCTCCACACAAGAATTTTGATACAAATTTCAAAATCACTAGGAATAATACAAGCACAAATATACTATCTACTGTCAACAAGTTTTGGAACAGGGAACTGTCTCCAGGCTTGATCTTATAAATAGGACAGAGCCCACAGCCCTTCAGTACATAAAATGAGTAAGACAGCATCTCAGAAGACAGCTTGCCTTAATATTAATAATACATCCTTTGTCATACTGCTACCAGCATCTAGGCTTCATTTGATCTGACACACTGCTAACCCAAAGAGCCATATCTTCACTACTGAAAGAGGCATTGCAACTTCTCTTTTTGCAATGTGAATTTATACAAGCTACAGGGCTGTCCTCACATTCATACAATCTAATCCATGGCAGCTCCATACCGGATGACAGTAAATTTGATGAACTCTGATGATTCCAAAATCTTCCTCATGGAGCTGATCTCCAGATAACTGGGAGCTTTAAAGGACACTCCAGGAGGCATCCCATCCACCACCACGCAGCCAGGGTTGATTGTGATTTTTCTGTACGGGACTTTCACAGGAAAATTCATACCAATGGCTTCACCTAAATGAGAGAGGTCATGTTTGTTTTCAAGTTCACATATTTACGATCACACTGAAGAAAGAAAACACAGTTAATTAAGAAACTAAATGCAAATACAAGCTTTCTATCACATCTGTAAACGAAAATCTACTTGATGATTAAATCATTAGTGATAGAAGTGGGTGTTCTGGATTGCACTCATGAACGTTGCTGCAAGATCATTAGTTTAAAACCCCACTCTGACAGCTCCCACATAAGGAACCCAGATTCCCTCTCTTCTAAAGAATAGACTATCTAAGGAAATACCAAAGTGAAGGAAAATAAAGCATTTCCTCCAACACCCACAAAAAAACATTTCAATACAGCATTAGCAAAGGAATTTCAGATAAAGAAACTCAGGTGATTATTGTTGTACAGTGCAATTACACAGTAAAATAAAGAAAACTGGAAGTTGTATTTTGAAAATTACTCTAATTTCAAGTATAAATTGCTTGAGACTATAGAGCTGTAAGATGAATCATGGTTTGCAAGCAAAATAAATATTCTGTCCATGTATACACAGAAAGAAATAGGATGTGGGAGAACATAAAGCTATGTGTGCTGCTGAGACTTCTTAGTTCAAAATACCCAACAACCTACTTGCATTATCAAAGATTCTTCTGGAAGTCAGAGCACAACTTTCATATACAACTCTCAAATTTGTTCATTTCATCTCAGTGATGATATACACCAGAAATGATGATTCAGTAACGTCCACATGAGCATTAGTTCCATTCACACCTATGTCAGAAGGGAAAGTAAGAAGCACTTACCAAATTTCCTGCTGAAGAGATCATTCACTTGCTCTCTCAGTTGTCTGGCCTTCTCTACCTTTGAAAGTCTTTCACTTTCATCATCTGAAATAAATTGTTAGAAAAGCATGAGAATTAAGCATGCTTTTTTTCCCTGAAGTTTGAAAACACACTTTGTCTTTGTTCCCACTTTTGACAGTACCATAGAATTGTATTTACACAAACAACATAAGATCTGCTTCCTAGACGTGGCTGTGTAAGCTTCATCTGAAAACACAAACTATTCATTTGCTTACAGTACATATAATGGTGGGGGAAACGTAAAAGCAAAGTGAGATTCAATCAATAGCCACAGCATGCAGTGGAGCTCCTTTCTAATGAGTGTAATGCATGCTTGAGAAAGCAGTCAGTGTTGTTTAAGAGAAAACAGTTCAGCCTGCATTGTTAATCAGTTAAATCCAAGATCAGATCTCTTGAAGTTGTCAAGAAAGCTGGCAATCAGTATTTAATTTATTTAAAGAGTTAAAAAAAAAAAAAAAAAAGGAAAAATAAGGATATTTCTCAACTTGAGGGCTGGATCAAGAATATTCCAGACTCATCACCAAATAGATACTCATATTAATACAAGTTACAAAACATTTAACATCTTGGAAAAACAAGATGCTAAATGTTGCTTTTTCTTGCCTGTACTTGTGCTTCTGTCAACTGTCCAGGTTGTAAGAAAATATCAGATGAAACAAATACTATGAAGACTGCAATACAAGGAGTACAAAGTGAAATCAGAATATGCACACCTAGCAAAGTTACTTGAATGATGTTAAGATCTTCAACTCCTGCTGCTGTGCTCACTGCTGTATTTGCTGTTGTGCTTGCTGTACTGGCTGTATTAGGTGGATTCTTTTTTTCTGAAAGTAAGAGAGTTCATTTAAAAAATAGCTGTGGAGAAACACACATCTTGAATGTCAGATATAAAGGAAATCTGGCAAAACAGCAGATATTTGCAAAGCTTTCAAAGCACACTCAATCTCGTTTCCAAAATGCATTCACAGAATTCTTCCCCTGCATTTGTATTTTGAGCCACACAGTCCAGACTCAGAATAAAAGTTAACAATGACTCAAAACATTCAGTCCATGACCTGCCTCAGCTGACGTAATTTTCTACCAGCTATCTGCACATCATCCATGGAGAACTTCCCATTTAAAATGAGCTACGTATCAGCAGCAATTAACCTAAGACCTGAACTACTCCTACAGATTGTACATCACTTGTTGTATTTTGATGAAAGGCAGTAAAACTCTATCAGACACGAATATTTTGTTGTGGATAACACAGAGTGTTAATACACCCTTGCTAAAGCTATATTCCAAATAGTTTGGAAAGTAGAGAGAGCTGCTATGCATGCAGGCCAGTGGCACAGGACTTCAGGCTGGGCCTCAAATTCAGCTTGGATAACAACTTGCCTACATCTTAAGACCAAACTCCCAACCACAACACAGAGTGAATCTTTCAGGGATTCATCAACACCAAGCAGCATTCCTCATTTGCATTCAATCCTTGAAACAGACTTCTCTAGGGCATTAAGCAGTTGCAAAACTCACTCTGGGGACTTTTAGCAGAACTCTCCTTCACCGCCGCCTCAAACATCTCAGGCCTGCAAGGAGATTAAACATTTCATGTGCAACAATACAATCACATTTATTTCAGCAACATTAAAGAAAATGCCATATCCCAGTGGTTATTTTTTAAAAGACAGGAACTACCCAATATCATAAATGCCATAATCCTCTAGGCCAGACAGAGACCTCCACACTTCCCCTGCTTGTTTCCACACTGGCATATGGCTATCTAAACCCAGGCTGGATGAGTAAAGCCAATTCTTAGAACACCCCAACATATGCAACACCATTTTTCAGCCTTCTGTACACTGCCACTAAGCTTTTGCTCTGGCTGACTCATAAGTGCCCCATGCAATAGGAACTACACAGAATCATAGAATAATTTGGGTCATCTCGTTCCAACCCCCTGCTATAGGCAGGGACACCTCCTCTCTAGACCAACGTGCTCACAGCCCACTCACCCTGGCCTTGAATGCCTCCAGGGAGGGGGCATCCACAACCTCACTGGACAACCTGTTCCAGTGCCTCACCACCCTCACAGTAAAGAATTCCTTCCTAATGTCTAGTCCGAAGATAACCTCTTCCAGTTTAAAACCACTGATCCTTATCCTGTCACTACCTGCACTTATAAAAAGTCCCTCCCCAGCTTTCCTGTAGGCCCCTTCAGTTACTGGAAGGAAAAAAAACAAGTGATACAAACACTGAAATGGGCTAAAGAACCTGGACTTGTTCTTCAGCCCTACACAGGTCATGAGTCTTCCAGAGCAGAAGGAAACGACTGCATCTCACTCCACCTCCACAAGAGCTTTCTAATCATTTGCTCATTTACTAAGATAACCCAGTGCGTATTTTAGACAGGTGAGAGAGTCATTCAGCAACTTGGCATCACAGAGTTTATTCTTCAGCGTACAATTCATTTCTAAAGGAGAGGATTACCAGAGACATGTTAGACTCTTACTTTTTAATAACGAATTTTATCTTAGATTTGTTTCTCAGAATCTTCTCTAGCCTCGGAATTCCAAAAGTAGAAGGTCGTCGGAACGGCACTCCATCTGGTAGGCCTTCCACATAGAAAACCTCCGGGAAGGATTCAAACAATGCAAACGGGACCTTCACTGGCTCATTCAGCCCCAGTGCTTCCCCTGAAACACAACAGAGCCAATAATCCACCAGCCAGACAACTGCTGTGCTCATAGAAAGGAGAACGCCTCGGGTATAAAGAGGTTATCACAGCTGGCACATACACACTAGGCTAAGTGGAAGCAGCAGGCTTTGCTTTTCTTGGTGATGGCTGTAAGTAGGCAAGAAGAAAAATAATCACCAACCTAACACATCTTCATGCAGTGAACCGGATTATAATTAGCAGTTGAAAACATCAGACAGTTTATGCCAATGGCTTGGCCTGCATGCAAGGCTATTAGTTGTACTTCACTTTGTTACACGCAACACGTTTGTCTCTGTTTTTGCACCAATGGCAAATGACACTGGTGTTTTTGTTCCAAAAACTGCACTTGCAGGAGTAACAACTGTCTCGCTCCAATTATTGGAGGAGATGGTTCAATATGCATATATGTATGTCTATGTATATACATACAGCTTCCTACAATGACTTCAGAAGAAACAGTGAGAAATGACTGGGCACATGACTCTCTAGAACATACATTATCATACAGAGGCTCCAGTTATACAAACTCCCATTCATAATCAGAGTGAGAAAAGCTTAACAGGAGTGGCAGGATGTGGAATCACCATTTCTCTGGGTCATTAAAGAAGCAGTAATCAAACCACAACTTCTCCATTTCCAAACCGAAATAATGAGGGGAAATGTGACACAGAACTGCAATTACCCTACGTGGGAATGAACTCAAGTGAGAGAATGCCTACAGCATGCAAGGAGTGTAGGACCTTGGGAAGAAATGTGTGAACATATCTGTCGTACATCTAACAGTGTGTTCATTAGAAAGGCATCTCAGTGATAAGGAATCAACGAACTTACCACATTTTTCATTAAAAAGATTTTCAACTTTCTGCTTTAGGTCAGTAATTTTGGCATTCCATGCCTCTGTCAGGAGAAAATGGGAACAATTAAATCAACACTCATACAGTAAATTAATCCTTGCAGAATATTTTAAAGCTGTCTAATAAATTATTATGCTTGATAACCAATTTACTGTGACATTAAAAAACAAAATGACTTTCATTCTGCAAATGACCCTGTTCTGCTGCAGCCTAAACCTAAAGCCAAAACTTTGAAAAACACTGTTACTACATAAAGCAAGTGCACTGAAATTAATGCAAGAGTGATCCAAATTTACAATATCAAGCAAGAAATGGCTCATCTGAGCCAACTGTCAAATAGTAGCAGAAAGTTTTTCATGCATTCAATGACACATGCCCAACTGTGTCACTTCCCTCAACTATACTGGTTTTATGGAATTTGTAGCACTGGAGAGGTCCAGAACAAAGATCTCACAAAATCAGCTCTGTTAAAGCATGGCTTACTAACCATAGTTCAGATCTGCCCCTCTCTTACATACCACTCATGAACATCTGCACAGAGAGGCTCAACACTTCAGGTTCACTGAGGGCTTATTAATCTCATGCACAACATAACAGCTCAGCTCTGTTAAAGCACTCTCATGGCACTGTGCATCAGACAGCAAATCCATCAAGAGTCTGCAGCACTGTGACATGGCAGAAGAGCACAAGTCTCAAGGGTTTAATTCTGAAAGTTAATAAGATCTTAATGGACCTGTGATGCATTTGAAGAGCATTCTCCAAACATCATCCAGGTTTCTCTGATGCATATTACTATTGATGACTGAGAACTGAGTGTATGTGAAAATACGAAGTTTGTGAATGAATTCAAAATCTCTCTGATATGAAACTACCAGATTTTTCAACACCAACATGAATGGAATGTATCCATGCCAATTCCCATAATATTTACCAAAAGAAAAATCTCTTCCTCTTGGCTTGAAACTCATACTGGACCCATTGGTTTGAGAATTAGTTTGAACATCTGCTGTTTGTGCTTTATTAGGACCTGTAAAGAAAGACGTTGCTTATATACACACAGAGAGCAGAAACAAACATCATACAGAAGAACAACATCCAACTTGATCACCAGAGAAAGCTTAACTTCTGAATCAAGATTGGAATTAAAAAAAGCTTTCAGAATTTCTTCTAGGATCGAAATTAAGCATTTGACACAACTGCTCATATCTGCCATTTCTCTGCTCAGGACTACATCAGTTCCCACATCTCTGCTTGGAATAAAAGGCTCAAGCAAACTGTTAAACTCACACATTTTACATAACCATCATTGCACAGAATCCAGTATTATTCAGAAATGAAAAATAAAATCTTCTATATTGAAATGTATCTGCAACCCTGAAATGATACTGGGTTTGTTACACAAGGTGCAGACAGAAATCAATTCTACAGTATGAAAACTTAAAAGAACAGGATAAAACAATTACAAGAATAGAACAGGAATGTGTAAGAATATTTTATTATATTTCTTCCTTACCTTCTTCAACAGTAACTTCTATCTCTGGAACCTGTAAATTGCTTGCAGGACCTTGTAACCTTTTTGAACTCTTTGGATTTGCTGCTAGAAATCAAGATATTATAAGCTGTAATGCACAAACACTCTATGTTGTGTAGCTGCACAGCTAACAAGAAAACCAAACTCCATTTTGAAAATTCTAACAGACTAACCTGTATCTGTACTAAGCACAGCTTACACTGTAAAAACTGAACAATCCAGACAGCAGCAAAATAAAATTTGTAGAATTTGGATAAATAGTATATTCTCTATTGGAGTAGTCTTAAGTAAAGGAAAAAAAAAAAAGAAATATGCTTACATTCAAGCAATTTTTCTTAATACTAGTAGATTCAGAGGCTACCTTGCTAGTTTACCTTAAGTAATGACTTTGTTTGCAACACCCTGCTTTCCTACCATAAAGACCTCTGTCTGCTAAGGAAGCAGAAAGCAAATGCTTATGAATCTATGGCAGTAAATAATACTTAACTGTTTACCTTTAGTGTTTAATTGACTAGCCAGTCTTGATGGCAAATAGGAGGCGACAAGCTCAGGCCTAAAAATCGAACAGAAAACAATTCAATTCTATATGCAAGAAAAATAATACAGCAAAATATCCCAAATTTCATGGAATTCTGTCAGATTCAGATGTACATAACATTCCCTTTCCACAATAAGGTTCTGTTAGAAGCATGTGTGACTCTCCATCTATAAGCAGAAAAAAGCCAGAAAAGAAAGCTACACATTCCACTCTAATAAACAAGCAAAGAAAAACGAGGAAAGAAAAACAAAATGAAGCTTCCAGGTACAGGGCCATTTTTTTCTCCCTAGACCGATGATGCACAAAACACAAATTATGCATTTAAATTTCCTAAGGATGTTACACGCTTTTATGAGATCAATTTAGGTGAAAAATCTCCTGCTTCATGGAAACAGCACTTAGCTAGAATTTAAGCACTTTAATTTTCTGAGAAGAAAATCAAGCAACTTCAAAATCAGGAAGGAAAGTAACTGAATTACAAACTTACTTCTTAACAACAAATTTGATTTTGTTGCTCCCGCGGACAATTCTTTCCAGGCGTGGAATCCCAAACCACGTGGGGCTCCGGAAGGGAATTCCTTCTGGCAAGCCTTCCACATACAAGTACTCAGGGTTTGATTCAAATACAGGATAGGGAACTTTCACTGCCTCTGAAAGCCCCAGAGCTGAAGCTGCAAATGAAGATTAACAACAATTTGTACACTTGAATGGAAGGTATTCTAACTCAAGTGATTTTAAGAAGCTTGGCTTCCAGAACTTGTTCTGCTCAGAGGTAACAGAGACAGCCAACTAACCAAAAGAAATATGTACACTGATTTTCTGTTATTTTATGTAGAATATTTACAAATGAGGCCTTTGTCCATTGTGCCACAGATAACATCTCTTATTTAAGCTCTTATCTACTTGTATCTAATATTTTCTTTTGGCAACTTCTTACATCCAAAAGCTTTCAGTATGCATATCCTCTCCATTATACAGTTGGAAAAACCAAGGGCTAGGATGTTATCATAGAGTCATTAATGTAAGTTACTGGGATGAGTCAGTGGACAGTATGTAAGAGAAGTCAGCACTTCCAGACATCCTAGCACATTTCTGATGTCTTAAATTAAGTACATTAGAATCGAAAACACCTTTTACAGAATAGTTTTAAAACACAGCAACTTTATAAAAGAGTTAATTTAACACTTCACTTACCAAATTTCATATTAAAGATCTCTTCTACTTGCTTTCTTAGCTTTGTGATCCTGACATTCCAATCTTCTTTGGCTGAGAACAAGAAACAGATAAAGCATTATTCAATTCTAGATAAAGAGATATATTTGAACATGTTTTCCTCAACCTAATGAGTAGACAAGGACATACAGTAAATAATAGCTATTAATGGAAGCTTAAATGATACATGGAATTCTCTTTATATAATGAAAGATTTCTTTAAACGTTGTTACAAATTCCAAAATTGTCCAAATTGGGAGAACTTGTTTTTCAGAGCAGGATGTCTTTCAGATGCAGGAAAGAATTATTCTAGTGGGTTTCCAAAGATAGAATTAATTCCAGTGTATAACAACCTTTACAACAGAAGACATGGACTTAAAGAGTGCTTTTCTGAACGCTTTTATTAGCTTAAAAAAATCATCTTCAATCATTTTTTTTTTGTCACAAAGAAGTCAATATAGGAGTGCTGACTATTGGTAGCTTAGATGAACGAAGGATGCTCTCAGCAGCCAGAAATTACTCCTTTTTTCTAGCAAACAGTGCCAGATCCTTCTAGAAGAGATGTTAAGGCACATGTGAGATGAGGAAGCGATCTGAGCAAGCCAGCATGGCTTCACTAAGAGCAGACTGTGCCCAACCCATCTAACAGCCTCCTACAGTGCAGCAACAGCATCAGTGGTCAAACAGAAATGCAACAGATGTCATCCACCTGCACTTGTGTAAGGTGTTTGATATGGTTCCACACCACGTCCTTATCTCTAATTTGGAGAGATACGGATTTGAAGGCTGGACTATTTGCAGGTAAGGAATGGTTGGATGGTTACAGCCAAAGGGCTGTTGTCAACAGCTCTACATCCAGGTGGAGGCTGGTCAGGAGTGGTGTCCCCCAGCAGTCCACATGAGGACCAGTACTCTTTAACATCTTTACTAATAGCACAGGTGATGGAATCAAGTGCACTCTCAGCAAGTTTGCTGAGGACACCAAGCTTGGGTCAGGGCAAGCCTGGATACGTGCACAGACTGGGAGAAGAACTCCGTAAGAGGAGCCCTGAAGAAATGGGCTTGAGGAAAAGCTGACATGAGCCAGGAGTACGCACTCACAGCCTGGAAGGCCAGGAGTGCTCTGGGTTGCATCAACAGAAGGTGCAACCAGGCAGGGAGGGGACCATCCCCCTCTGCTTTGCCCTGCCCTCATGAGATCCCAGCTGGAGTAATGCATCCAGGCCTGGGGGTCCCAGTACAGCAAAGTTGTTGAGCGTTTGGAGAGAGTCCAGAGGAGGACTACAAAGATGATCAGAAGGCTGGAACAACTCTCTTGCAAAGACAGGGTGAGAGAGCTGGGCTTGTTGAGCATGGAGTAGAGAAGGCCTCTTTATGGCATTCTAGTATTTAAAGAGAGATCATAAGGAGGAGTGAAACCAACTTCTTCTACAGATAGATAGTGATAGGAAAAGGGGGCAACAGCTTAAAGCTAGAAGAGAGGAGATTCAGATTAGATGTCAGGGGTAAGTTTTTGACAGAGAGTGCAGATGCCCCACGCCTGGAGGTGCTCAAGGCCAAGCTGGATTATGCCTTGGGCAACCTGATCTGGTGCTTGATCCAGCAGTCAGCATCCCTGCCCACAGCAGGGGGGCTGGAACTAGATGGTCCTTGAGGTCCCCTCCAACCCAAGCCATTCTATGATTCTTCAAGTCTGATTTTCTTTTCCCCCCTGCAGAGAACTCAATACAATTGGTTCTTGAAGTCAGAGCTTGATTATCCAGAGAAATGTGTGGGAAAAAGCCTAGAACCTCTGGATCTCAGTCTGTGTTATTACCACAAGCAGATTCACACTTAAAAAAATAAAATCAAGATCTGGATTATACACTTCTGTAGCAAGAAAAGAGCATTCTGTTGTCTCAGGCAAATAACAATAAAAACATCACACTAAATTAATCTGGATTCTTTCCCTATTTCAAAAGCACTTGTGCTTTCAAGAAGTCATTCAAATTCCCTAACAACAGAGGCTTGAAGAAAAGCCCAACTAAATCAGCTGTGAAACGCTAAGGGACTCCAGAGCTTTGCATCAGACCAGGATAACAACTCCAGCTCTCCAGGGCTGTGCATAGGATCCATCTTAGCTACTCAAAGATAGCTGGACTGCACTGCAATTCAGAAAGCCATCCGTTTTCATGATGATCAGTGTATCCTGTTCAAACCTCACAAAAAGCACATCATGGCATGCATCACAGAAAGATTACTTCTTGAAAAATGCTGTAACAAATCAGTTTCCACACCAATCCCTTGAGACTACACCAATGCCCCTTAGAGACAGCACCTGTCTTGCCTGGTGTGTCTGTCCCAGGTTGAGTAACTTCAGGTGAACTGAGAGTTAGCAGCTCTGGCCTGCAAACAGAAAGCAGATCATCTACCCATTCTTCACACAACGTAAGTAATGCATGCTTTTTATAACATTAAGTGAAAAGTTTGGCTCTTTCTGTTGAGCATTTCACACTCGTGAACATACTACCAAAATATTTTGGAAAACTTGCCTGGATTGCAAATACTCAGTTTAAAAATGCAGAATATTTCACGTGCCTGTTTGGCAAACAAAGACTGAATGCTTTGTGATTGAATGAAACCAAGTGGTTGATTACATAAATGGTGTTTGTTTGCCCTCTTTAAAAAAAAAAGAAAAAAGAAATGAGGCATTAAAACAAATGTTTACCTTTTGATTACAAATTTTATTCTGTTGCCCACTTGAATTATTTTTTCAAGGCGAGGGATCCCATACCATGATGGACTCCTAAAAGGAATGTTCTCAGGTAGACCTTCAACATAGAGGTCAGCAGAATGGACCTCAAATTTCTGGTATGGAACAGCTTTAGGCTCAGTGCTCCCCAAGGCCTCAGCTGTTAGAACAGAATAAATCCATTAACTGGACAGTTTGCCATCTCCCTCTGTTAAAAACAAGCTTCATTCAAAGCTACAAAACCTCCACATTACTGCATGCATGACCTTAGAAGTTGGTACAATGCAGGATATCTGAATCCAACAGCATCCAAGACTCAGCACATCAAGAACAAACTTCTACCAAACTGAATTATGTTGCCATTGGGCAGTCACATTGCTAGACATTATTAAGGGCTTCTTCACTAGGGCATAATACAATGGTTTTATCCAAAGTTTTAAACCTGCTATAGAGCAACACGTAATATTTTAACCCAGATTTTATAAAATAAAATGGCCAATTTCATTAAATTCATAAAATCCAGAAGTGTTCAAATTTTAATGATACTGCATTTGACTTCTTTTACTAAATGTTTAACTAGTTGTACACACAGTAGAGTAATACTACTTTTTTTCTCCAATCAGCTGCCAGGATTATGAATCATGAAAGGTGCCACTTATGAAGACATTGACACAAATGATTGAGAGCAACCTTCAAGAAATACAAAACCACAACAGTAAACAACACTGTGCTCACCAAACTTCTTACAGAAGAGCTGATCTACCGTCTTTCTCAGTTTGTTGATTTTGGCATACCACTCCTCTTTCGCTGTATTTTAGAGTGACACAGGAAAAGAAAAAAGAATAAACATTCCCTAATTACTTTGGTTATATTTTCAGTTGGATAGCTGAAGAAGCACGCATTCAACTCTCAATCGCAGTGCTTTTATATTCCTTCAATCTGCAGATCCCATTTGGAGGTGGGATCAGTTGTTTGTTTTGGTTTTTTTTTCCCCTATTTTAATCATCTCAAATATTACCTTAATGCTATGCACACAAAAAAATTGTTTTCAGGGAGTTTTCCTTAAGCACTGAACATCCACAAGCAAGCTTTCACAACAGATGCGGTATCATTCTGCTCCTAGTTCTGTACTCATGCTGAGCTTCCTGAATCTATTTCTCTCATTGTTTGTGTACAATACCTATTAAAATCATAGAATGGCTTGGGTTGGAAGGGGCCTCAAAGATCAACTAGCTCCAACCCCCAATAAATTACATCAAATGATTTGAAATCATTTGAAATGTCAAGCAGCTTAGTTCCAACTCTCTGAAATGTTGCCTTGACAATGCTTAAGATATGAGTTAAGTCATAACTGAGATGCAGAACATACAAGTGGCAGCTATGCAGATTAACATATCCTAGGTGAATAAAACAAGCTTAAATCTAGTTTTTCATCATTTTATTATTTGAGCTTCTTTGGTTGCTCATTAATGCATGTGCATCTTCTGTAGAGCTTGTGAGAGGAAGTTTTGTAGCTGAAGACAGTGTGAGATTTGGTCCTCTGAAAGAGCAAAATGACAATGTCAGCTCTGTCCTGTTTGGTAGTTGGAATGGTAGCAGTTCTTGTTCACGTTCTGTCATATGTTATTTGTCATTTGGGATAAAAGCCCAGGTACCTTTGTCTGTAACAAGCAACCACTGAGCTGCCATGATGCAGGTGTAGTCAGCATGGACAAACAACTCCCACTGCAGAACTGTGCTGCACCAGGCTGCCTTATCTTCATAGGCACCTGTTCACAATTCTTCAGCCATTTCCTGAGCCCGATCTGTCTTCTCAGGACTTCACCACCACACTATTTTAAACACTTTCCTGACCACCCTGTTTCCCACAGGAACACAAACGTGAATCATCTTTCTTCTGCCGGTCCTAAAAACAGCTTCACTCCCACTGGGGGCAACCAGTGGGAACACAGAGACACAGAGCTGAGCCCAGGGCTGGCTCTCCATCCTGAGATGGCAGAGGAGATGCTGACCTACTGGGAAGGGGAGAATCCAAGCACAGAGAAACCTGAAGGAAAGGAGGCTCAGACAGCTGCTCTGTTCTGAGATGGGTTCCCCTGAAATGGTGCCATCACCTTTAGCAAATGTTTTCTGAGAAGTAACACAGAAGTCACACATGGATGTGGCTTCATCACAAATTTGTGAAGACAAGCAACATATAATGAAATGGACTGCCACTATTCTTAGCTACAAGGGATTTACAGGATATGTAACATACCTGCTCTGTCTTCATAACCACCATATTAAATGTGAAAGAAACAGCAGAGAAAAAGGCTTATTTTAAAACCCACATATGAGAATAGTTGTGTTTAAGAGTCAATCATTAGCCTACTATTTTTACAGCCAAATTTGGTGCTCAAAGGAGCAGTGGGTTAAGACTCAAAACCCTAGGTTAACTTATACTGCACAAAAACTTTAAAGAGGCATCCTTAAGACATCATTTCTTAATTTAAACCTTCAGCATCCACTTTAAGTACAGTCTTTGATATACTTTTTAATAACAGAAGACTACAGGTATGTAACCCACTATAATGGTGCTGTAATAGTGCAGACAATACAGTTTATACACTTGTGTCTGTCTGAACTTGGAATTGCTCTGCTATGACTACAAACACACAATACAGCCAGGCTGAGATTGCCAGCCAGCTGCACGGTGGGGTTGGGAGCAGTTGGTCTGCTATCACAGCTCAGCCATACAAAGCTCTCAGCACTTGGCACACTTGGACAGTTAAAAGAAAAAACAACCCTGAAACCCAAAAGACAGTGGAACAGAACTACAGAGGAAATCAAGCCCAGGAATCAAGCAAGTCACACACCACACTAATAAATGTCTCTATTACCAGAGCATTCATTAATGCATTTTAGTTCATCTAATTTTGGTAAATACCAGATGTAAGTAAATATTCCTGAAGAGCCAATCTCAAAGCACGTGACAAAATACTTTACAGTATGTCTATTCTCACTCGAACGTTTACAATTTTACTTGTGGCTTTAATTAATGTGTGGCTTTTTTTTTTTTTTAATACATCTCAAAATTCACAAATTTTGGGATGGCACATCAATGATTTTTAAAATATCATTCTACATCTGATTATATTAACTTTGAAAAGTGTCGTGCTTATGAATAAAGAATAAATGCAGAGGAAAAAATTGCTAGATTTCCAAACTACTTGCAGGATCTGAAGACTTTATTGGTCAACAATCACTCTGTAGCTAAAAGATTATCCAGAACAAGAAGAATTATTTGCAACGTGTTATCAGTAAAAGCTGATGGTAGGCATGGCTAAGACCAACAGACAAGGAGGAAACCATATGGCACCCAACTTGCACATCTGAAGACCTACCTCCTGCAGCTGGTTTGTCCACTGGTGAATCTTCTTGTGTTGAATTCAAAAGCTCGTGCCTAGAAGATTTAAGATCCATGCTTCAAAAGTGATACAAACTGGGCAAAACCAGAAGTTACAGCCCTTAGTCACAGCCTCTCTAGCACATACATCTCACAAATAAGAGTCACCACTGAAGGATCAAAAACAGTAATGAGATACTAAGATTCATAATATTACATTCCAATTAACACTGAAATATGATAAGAGCTGGGTGAAACTCTCCTGACAAAAATAGTTCTCATTCCTGACACTCATAACCACCTGAGCCATAACATTTCACAGTAACAGAGATTGAAATCATCTCTGAGGTCTAAGATGCGCTTACCAGTCAAAACTATCATCAGAGACAAAGAAGCAAACTGAAAAGTTAACCTTTAAAAACCAGTATTTACAGGAGACATTTCTGTTTGACTATCACAGCTGGTTTTATCCATACTAGAACAACACATTTTTTTTAATTATGGCATTTCTCACAGAGCTGCTGTGCTGCTCTGGTTACCACACCAAGTTGCAAGACTGATAAGCAGCGTAAATAAGTTACTGTTACCCACTAACAGAAATCTGACCAGAGCTGGCTCCTGTATTGCATTAATATTAAAATCTGTGCATACTGGCTGATTTTAAGTGAGACAAAAATCAGAACTACGGCTCTCCCTCTTTTCTGTTTACAAGGTTGGGGTGACAGAAAAAGAACATAAAATCTTTCAAAGCTGGCATGCACAGAGGCAAAGGCTGTCACTTCCACTGATTCTGATCCTGACCACTGTAATCAGCATATCCCTACCCACTTCAAAAGCTCCAGGATTAGGCCCTACCGCCCTGCACAACAGTACAATGCCAGTTGTTACTCACAGTAAAATATCAATACCCATCTCTGGTGTGAAACATTACGTGTCTGAAGTGAAGCAACAAGTGACAAAAGGCAAATAACCAGGCACTATCAAATCTGCACATTGGTCTACCAAAGTGGTGCACGTGGCACTGCATAGTCTCTCCCAGCATATCCTGAATTCACACTAGGTTCAGGCACCCCAAAATCCCACCTGCCTCTGTAGCAAGTCACATCAGGGTTCTAGAAAAGACACTGAGGCAAGAAATGAGAAAAAGAAAGGAGCCTAGAAGATGAGATAGAGTGAAGACGTGAGACTTAAAGGCATATGATATCCTGCCAGGGTGAGAGGGAAGGCAGCTGGGCCCTCAAACAGTTCCATGTACATGTAAGGACTGTCTTCATGTATGCTATCAGATATACTTCATGATAACATCAAGGACACTGTACGTGTGCACACACACAACTAAATCCTAAGAAGCAGTCCTGTTTTGGTCTCAAACCTGTCCTGGGAGATGCTATCTACAGATACAGACCTTTACAGCGTAGCAGCAAGAGAAAAATAAAAGCACTGTCTGAAACTCAGGCCAGGATCTTCAGACAGCATTAAATGTGCCTAAGTCAATGGCTTCCAGTGCATCTTAGAGCTGATGAGACTAAAATATTACAAAGTGATCTGCCCATGATAAGAAGCCTCTAAGATTTAAGAGATCCATCCAGTTCTCAGCCACTGGCTGTGGTGTTCTGCTGATCTGGTAAGCTGAATTTCTCATCTGAGCAAGCCTGAAATAAAAACTACTCATCAATACTGCAAAGCGACGCCTCAGCAGAAATCAGCGTGGAAACACGCGAAGACGAAATGAAGCAGAGTGGACCAAGAAAAGAAGAAAAAAAAAAAGTGTAAAATAAGGACAAAAAACACAAGATTCCTTACTTTTTAATCACAAAGCGGATCCGCTCCTTCGCTACGAGGATCCTCTCCAGGCGAGGAATGCCGTACGTGGACGGCCTTCTGAAGGGAACACCCTCTGGCAGGCCTTCCACATAGAGGTCTTCCACGTGTGACTGGAACAGGGCGTACGGGACGGACACGGGGCCCTTTGCTTTTATGGCCTGAGCTTGAAGAGAGAAGCAGAATCAAATCATTAGACCAGCTTGTGGCTCTACTTCTCTGCTATTGTTGGTTTACAAGAAATTAGTCACGTCTTACTGGGGGAGGGGGGCAAATGTCTGTTCTTACTAAAGCTTTGGTGCACTTTAGAAATGCAAGAAATCACTACAGAACTTCTAACATCACCCAGAAAAGTTTTGCCCTGCTAGTGAAACCTTTGAAGCCAGTGAAAAAAACACACAATGGATTCTCATAGCACTGGAAAATAACCTCAGCTTATCTCTTGAAGTTACAAGGACCAGATCACATCGATACACCTACCATCACACAATCATAGAATGGCCTGGTTTGAAAAGGACCACAGTGCTCATCCAGCTCCAACCCCCTGCTGTGTGCAGGTCACCAACCAGCAGACCAGGCTGCCCAGAACATCCAGCCTGGCCTTGGATGCCTGCAGGGATGGGGCATCCACAGCCTCCTTGGGCAACCTGTTCCAGACCCTCTGTGTGAAAAACCTCCTCCTAACATCTAACCTAAACCTCCACTGTCTCAGTTTAAAACCATTCCCCCTTATCCTATCACTATCCCTTGTAAACAGCCATTTTCCCTCCAAAGTACCCTCTCCAGGTACCATGCTGTCACATGTTTAAAAAAAAAAAGACAATAGTTTGCAAATAACAAGAGCTCTAATCTCTTTTTACTCACAAGGGAACCTTAATTTTGCAGATCACGCAACAAGAATTCCCTACCTGCATCTGACTGATCTGCAAATAGTTTGGAACATTCTGTTGTTTTGCTATGGACATCAGATGTAAGAAATTATGTGAGGATAAAAATATGAACAGATCAAAGAAGTGCCCTCTTTGATAATACATAACTGCATTCAACAGGTTGCATCTGCTTGCAGCACAAAACTACTGAAGGCACTTTTTCAAGCAATGGAAAACAGATAGCATATTTGCAAGAGTTCACATGAACTCCTAAGTTCTTACGTGCAATAAGACAATTTCATTTTTAAAGGCATATGGATAACATTCCCTTTCTACTACTTAGAAATGGTGGTTTCAGGCGTGCTTATGGCACAAAGGGGGAAGCTTTGAAAACACTGCCTGCATTTTTGTCTTAAATTCTGATGAGCGTGAAATACATAAGTTCCAGAAAACCATGAGGACAGTTGTGTTTCAACCAGAGTTGGCTCCAAGTGCTAATAGTAAGATGGCCAAAACTAAAGCCAGAATGTATTTCTGCAAAGAGATGGACAAACAGACTAAAGAAAACCTATCTAAACATGACTGTCAGAGGAGACATGGGACAACCACCAAATGAACTGCTGTGTATCATCCCAGCCCTTCACTGAAGCAGTTTCTTACTGCAGTTATGTACCTCCTCTAAGAAATTCAAACAAACTTGCTGCCCTGGGGGCTGTTGTGGTGAGTTGTAAGAAGCATAACAAATCCAGAGATGAGTTTCAGCTGGAAAGCAGCATTCATGAATAACAGTTGGCCACAGGGGGGAAAAAAAGCAAGGAAAGCACTAAGATCTAGATCATTCCTTCAAAGTAACAAAAGCTTCTTTAAATAGCTGAGGCAGTTTTGTCTTTTTAATTATTTGTCTTTTTTAAGCAGGAGTCCTTATTTCACTTCAATCAACAAATGTTTCAGCAAATACTCTTCAATCAACCAATGCAATCAGTGACACAGTCTGCAGAGAGGCTTCTTAGATTTGCAAGCTTTTGCATAGAAATCCCATTGAATATAGGTTTCAATCTAGCCTATATTTGTGAGACACTATCTTGTATTTACACTATAAATATATATAGTATAAATATTTATACTATTTCCATTCAGCCTACATCTAACCACCAAAATAAATACATTTTCAGACATGTCAGTAGTAATGTTCGACAGCAACTGACACTGCTAGAATGCTTTAGAGCTCCAAAAGCCAACAAATCTGAAAAGCATTCTGAGAACTCTGGACATCCATAACTCATTTAAGTAAATAAGAAACTGCATGCCCATGTAGATAGAAAGAAATGGAATCTGGTATGGAATTGGTTCATGAATCAATGGACTGTCATCCACAGGGAAAAAGGCGATGGTTTAATACCATGACCTTAGATAGAAAGTCAGGAATAGCTCTCCCAGACTCCACAGGAGATCTTTACACTGGATATGTGCAAACTCCAACATGAAATTTAAAACAATTTACAGAATTTCTGCAGCAAAAACAACAAACAAAAGCAACAAAACACATTGAGCTGTTTTCCTTCAGTGCGAGTTGCTTCCAGTGGGCTGTTTAAATGTCAGCTGATGGTCACATCTGAAACATGCAACAACTCCCACAAGCTCTATTCAGAGAACACTTCCACTTTTGATGGCAAAAGCACTACTGGGTATTTTGAAATTTGTACTGCTGCTGTCTTACTCAGTGATATGGGACACAAAAGATGCCTATGTAGAACATCCTAAAAGTCTAATACATGTGCTTCTTTTTTTCCCCAGGATATGCTTCACTGCAAATCAATCATGATCAGAAAGTAAAAATCAATTGTAACCAATCCACAGAGGCATTCTGCAAGGTTATCTTACTTAAAGATTCTGTTTAATTACCAAAAAACACTGAGTCTTCCAAATACAGGCGCCCAAAACATTAGCACACTGGTGTTATGCTCCAGGAAACCGAACATAACTGAAAACTTAAGTTTTGCACTCCAATGCCAAACTTCTCTCATCAAAAAGGCTAATGCCCACTGTTTTAAGCCCTCTAAGTAACATTTTACTCCTTGGTGCTAGTCTGCTTCAGAGCCAACAACAACATGTATACAAAAACGCTTTGATTTCCATTGCCAAAGGAACAGAAGCAGTTGTTTTAAGAGGAATGTGATACATACCATATTTTTTCTCAAACAGTTCTTCAACTTGCCTTCTCAAGTCTGTAATTCGTGCATTCCATTTATCTGCAAAGAAAAGAGGATGTGTCAGACTGCAGATAAAAACGAGAATCTCTTGTAAAACCTGTTACCACTAACAGAGACACGCAGTGTGCTTTTACTGCTCATCTACATACAGATTCTGGCAAACCTGAAAATATATGGATAAAATCAGAAAGAAAAAGAGAATAAAATGCTTAAGATTATTTCCCAAACTTTTGTAGATATTAAATCAAGTTTAAAAAAAAAAAAAGAAGAAAAAAAACATAGTAGGAAAAAACCCACACTAAATCAAGTCCCAAACTTTTCTTTGATGCCTCAGTCAGCAGCTCTGACCACCATTAAGTGAAAAGTCAGTTTGCAGATGCCACTGATAGCTGAACAGCTTGACAAAGTTTACAGTGCCTGAACAGCTTGACAAAGTTTACAGTGAGTACATGAACTTGTTTTGGTGTTAATCCATACAACTACATGGATCAGGAAGCACTATATCTTCCTCTTCCTTAATCTAACATTTCCCCTAGTCCTGATGTTGCAAGACGTCCTCATATATCATACTTCTGAAGGAAGATGCACGTTGCAAGACAGAACTTATCCAATTCCAACTGCGTATTCCCTGGAAAATTGGATTAAATGCCAACACATTAACATCTTATTTTCTGCTTATGACAGAGGGCACACAACAGCATTTTCTGTTGAACTGCAGGACAGTGGATTAACAGCAGCTCTACTGTAAGAGTCAGGAAGATACAAGTCAGAATTTACTGGGCTGAAGGGAAAACCCTGTTTCGTTGCATAGAGATGCTGAACACAGGGACAGTCCTGAGACAACGGTTTGTGCATCTGTGAGGATGAGAGCATGCAACTCAGCACAACAGATTTACTGGTTGCCTTCACAGCTCACAGTGCATATCAAGGGAGACCATCTGGACACATTTCTGATCTAATGCTTGTCATCATTCAGTTCAGTAGCACATTCAGTCTGATTTTCTTGTACAGTAAGTCAACTGACAAAAAACTGACCAAGCACTGGCATGCCTTACTCCAGCACTGTGAAACTGTCTACTACCTTTTTATAAAACAAATCAGAGAGAAATAAATCTTGATTTTTTTTTTTTCTTACCAAAATTGAACTCTCTTGCTTTTCTTTTCCCAGTACTGGCAACTTCATTTGCTGTCTCAGTGTTCTTCGATCTCTTGTTAGGGGGCAAGTAGTCTTCATCATCTGAAAGGAACATGAAGATATCACTGCTTTACCATCCAGAGAACTGATGTGCAATGTTGGAACTGTTTGAATTTCAAGCCTTAATACAAATATTGATCCATGCTTTATGGGAGCTTCACATTTTGCAATAAATTACTTGACTAACTCTAGAAAGCTGCTGGCCTGTGTGGGAACAGTTTGTGTGAGAACACTGGCACAAAGCAGAACACAGGAAAAAAATCAAAGCTTCTTTACATTTTCTAAGGAAAACAATACTGTGCTCTGAAACCCCTAGTCATCTCATGATCACTCAATGGCCACATGACAGCAAAAGAAACAGCAAATGAATTGTGTAGATACAGACTAGAAAGTATCCTTCCACCAATAAGCACTGACAAATAATGCCTAAGTTCAATACTGAAGACCTCAAAGATGCTAAAGCCAGTTTCAACGTAAAACTGATGAACTTCAGTGAAATTCATTAAACAGAATCATAGAATCACAAGGTTGGAAACCACTTATAAGATCATCTAGTCCAACCATTATCACATTACCACTATTACCACAAGCACTAAACCATACCTCACAGCTCCTCATCCAGACGCCTCTTGAACGCTGCCAGGGACAGCGACTCCACCACCTCCCTGTGCAGCCATTCCAGTGCCTGACCACTGTCTGAGAGAAAAAGTTTTTCCTCATGTCTAATCTAAACCTCCCCTGTTACAACTTGCAGCCATTTCCCCAGGTCCTGTTCGTTGCCTGAGAGAAGAGGCCAAACCCCTCCTCACCACAGCCTCCCTTCAGGAAGTTGTAGAGCAATGAGGTCTCCCCTGAGCCTCCTCTTCTCCAGACTGAACAATCCCAGCTCCCTCAGCCACTCCTCACAGGACTTGTGCTCCAGACCCCTCACCAGTTTCATTGCCCTTCTCTGGACACACTCCAGGGCCTCAATGTCTTTCCTGTAGTGAGGGGCCCCAAATTGAACACAATACTCAAGGTGCGGCCTCACCAGTGCTGAGTACAGGGGATGATCAGCTCCCTGCTCCTGCTGGCCACACTATTTCTAATGCAGGCCAGGGTGCTGTTGGCCTTCTTGGCTACCTGGGCACACTGTCAGCTCAAGTTTAGCCGAGCATCAACCAACACCCCCAGGTCCCTTTCCTCTTCACAGTCATCCAGCCACTTGTCCCCAAGCCTGTAATGCTGCATGAGGCTGTTGGCCGAAGTGCAGGACCCAGCACTTGGCCTTGTTGAACCTCATCCCATTCACCCCAGCCCAGCCATCCAGTTTATCTAAATCCCTCTGAAGTGCCTCCCTGCCCTCAGGCAGATCCACACCACCTCCCAACTTGGTGTCATCTGCAAACATACTGAAGGTGAGAAGGTCTGCCCTAGCCCAAAAAACATACAAGTGGATGCAGCAGACATCTGCAACCCTGAGGTCTTTTTTAAGCAAGGTGCTACTCAGCCAGTCACTCCCAACCCGCAATACTGGCTTCTCTACAAACTCACAAGTTCTTGGAAAACTCCAATCACCAACACTTGCAATCTTTGAGAAAATGGTTAAAGCAGACAGAGAAGTTAATTTCACGTATAGAATAGCATATGCCCAGGTCAAGGTGCATATGGTTTACTTAGAATCATAGAATCACAGCATGGTTGGGCTGACAGGGACCTCACAGCCCTCCCAGGTCCACCCAATGCCATGGGCTGGTTGCCCCCCCACCAGATCAGCCTGCACCTCCAGGAATGGGGCATCCACACTTCGAGAGGCAGCAGTGCCAGGGCCTCACCAGTCTCTGAGGAAAAGAATTTCCCCCTAACATCTAACCTAAGTCTCTCCTCTTTTACTTTAAAGCCATTCCCTCATCCTATCACTGTCTGCCCACGTACAAAGTTGCTTTCCTTCCTGTTTGTAAACTCCTTTAAGTACTGGAAGGTTGCAATGAGGTTTACCCAGAGCCTTCTCTTCTCCATGCTGAACAAGCCCATTTGCTTTAGGAAGTATAATATCACGTATTAGGAAGCACAGTATTGCATACTGACCTAAAAGCCCTACAAACAGAAACACAGGAACCAGATAACTAACCTTCTAGGGTGACCTCGACCTCAGGATCCTCACGTGTTTCTGAAGGAGGATGCTGGGAGGAATCTGAAGAGGAGAAAAAACAACTGCTGAACGATGGACACAAACATTTTTAACCAAGTACTCAACGATTTTCTGCTTTAACTGACACCTGTCAAGAAGCTCCCTGGCTCACTGAAATATTTTGCATTCACAGCACACAACAAAAAAAAGAGCAAAGCTATCTTACCATAAGCCTTTAAGCAACTCTAGGCAGGGTAAGGAGGCAGGGATTATACACACTAAATTACATGTACAGCAGCACAGAGAGTTGGCATTAATGACAGGAGGAAATTCCTTACTCTTGGCTCAGTAGGATTAATAGAATCATAAATATTTTTCTCTTAGTTATAAGGATTACCAAAAACATAAACAAAGCCTGTGTAGCCCTGTAGATGATGTATTTCTTTATCATTTACACACATTCAGAGCTACTGCACTACAATGGTTTTCCACAACAGGCTCCAAAGGCCAACAGTGAAAATGAAAATGCTTGCGTAGGGGCAGCCTGTACCAATACAATAACCAGGATTAGGCCCATCAGCACCTGGTAGCAGAAAGCAATTTGAATTTAACTCCTAGAAAATTTTAAAAAAAGCAAAGTCAGTCATCTCAGTAACTACTCATAGTTGTGCATGAGGGAAAACATGAACTATTCTGGCAGAGCAACACTGTGTTTGCACACTTTGAGGACTATCTTAGCTCAGGTTTCTCTAAGCTCTACCACCCCACATCACTTTGGGAACAAGTTGGAAGGACACTTCTCTCCTTGCCATGTGTGGTAGAAGTCCAGCAATACTGAGATTCCTTAGCTGGATGGCACAAATTATCTCAAACATACCATCAGGCACAAACACTAAAGGCTTTTGGTTGCTTTTTTTCCAACACAGTATGATCATGGTGAGGTATTTTTTTGACCTTCAAGTACTTCCTTACATCAGGTAATAAGGTAAACAAACACAGGTGCTAAGCAGCAGCATCCTTTACAGTTCTTAATGTTGTCACTCTCTGGCACTGCCATTCAGTTTAAAACAATTTCTTTCAACAACCTTGACTTTCTGATTACTGAATTTCAACAGTGCTGTGCTCCACACTCACCCAGTCTTACTAAGACTAACAAACACTTGGCAGCTACAGCTAACCTGGGCCATTCCACGCATGTGGAAATTTTGTCTCTCCCTCATTCAGGAAAAGAATGTAAGAAAACTGTACTCTGACATAAAGTGCCACACACAGCATATATAGCTATGAAATTCTACATAGGCAAAAATAAAGCAAAGGCAGATTCTCAGCCATTTGCTATCACTCTCTATAATCAGGCACCAAGGGCTCACAGCACTATGCTTTGGAAAATAAAGTGCCTAGACTCTTTCCTTTCAAATAAGCAGTGCTAGCTGTGCAGCCAGCATGAGAGCAGAGAACTTCATTCTCCTGTATCAGGAGAAATGCTTTTAAATTTCATGTAACAGCACCTTCAAGTGTGGTGATATGTATCTTCAAAGCATGAAATTATGAGACTGGGAAGACTGAATACTGCTGCTAGCACAACTTGGTCTTAATATCCAAAAAATGCTTACAGCTTAGGTTTGAGAGGCAGGAGTTTAGAATGTTGGGTGATAGCAGCTTGCAATTGTAATTCATTAATTAGAAGCATGACAACTCCCATCACAGCTTGCCTACAGTAAGCCACAGAGCACCATGGTTTGGGGGCTTAATAATAATAATAATTAATAAATAAATAAATAAAAACAAAAAGGCAACCAGGTAGAAAGAATGCTTGGAGAAGATGTACAACTTTAATTAAGATGCCAACTTTTCAAGTGTTTCAGTAAAAAGAAAAATCCAATTACTTTGCTTTCATGCAAAATAACTTCTACTGTTATTTCCACACGTGCTCTTTCACTGCAACTGGAATCCTAGTGGCTGCCTTTAGACAAATGTCTCACAAGAGAGAAAAATAGTTTTTGGACACTGGATATTCAAAGCAAGGATTTTCATAACCCAAAAATCCAAAACGATAGCGTTCACATGAACACCATAACGAAGGTTCAATCTCTGAATCTTGAAACCTGATGACAACACTCTGACCTTATAAAAAAACCCACTGCTTGAAATGCAGATGAGTTTTTCCTAATGTCTGCAAATGGGCAGAATGGTACTTTTATTAAACAAGAAAAAGCTGAAAGAAATACAATTTATGAATCAATTCATCTCAGATGTTCTTGACATTCAGTAAGGAACTGCTTCCCCTAAGGATATGCTTTCTGTATACTTTGTTCTATGTGTGCTGTTAACATCACATCCAGCTAAATTAAATATATATGTACATACAGACCTGTGTAACTTTTGGCAAGAGCAATTCTTTCATCCATCTCTGATGTTTCAGAAGGGCCTCCTTGGGAACAAAGAGAACATTTTTTCAGTTGAGTCTCACAACACACTCATCTTCCCACTCCACAGAGAAAGCTGACAAATAACCCAACTTTATGCACCACGTGCTCACTTCAGACTTCCTGCAAAGCTGAATTCAGCTGTGAACTATGAACACTTCTATGCCTTTCCTCATTCACTTGAGCAAAATTTGAAAAATTGAGGGGCTAATGGGAGGCACCTGCATTTCCCAGATTATCGAACAGCCAGAAAGATTCATGCAGAACAGCAGGTTTTGAGTTCTTGTATGCCTCTGTGTTAATAAACTGCTTTTGAAATATCAAAAATATCATCTTCCATCCTCTTTAACAGCATAGAATGAAACAAGGCCTTTTTGGAGACATGGCCCATACAGAATTGAGTCTTGCTAATTATCAAGCACTTCCTGAAAGAAGCGTGTTTTGCCCAATGAAACTTACGGGTTCAAGTCTTCAGTTACCATTGATGCCTTGAAGCTTAAACAAAGAGAACTAGAAGCAGAAGGAAATGGCTGCAAGCAGCGTGTGTCCTGTGAATGAATGGGTTCTTCAGCTCTTAGACTGGTCTCCACGTGAACTCGGCTATATAAACCTGGGGTGATGTAGGACTTGACACATAGGCATTAACTTGAAAATTCCAGAAAATATGTAGAGAAAAGAGTTAGAGTGGTGAGGTACTGGAACAGCTGCCCAGAGAGGTTGTGGATGCCCCAACCCTGAAGGTTCAAGGCCAGGTTGGATGGGGCCCTGGGCAGCCTGGTCTGGTATTAAATGTGGAGTTCGGTAGCCCTGCGTGTGGCAGGGGGTTGGAGATTCATGATCCTTGAGGTCTCTTCCAACCCTGGCCATTCTGTGATTCTGACAGCCTCCCAAACACAAGGTAGGCATAGGCACAAGGATGTTCTAGTTTCAAGGACACTAAACCAAGAAACAGCATGTTAATTAACATTTCCTATCCTAAGAGCCTGACGAAAGTGGTGCTTATAGATAAGATGCCTACAGCAATGTTAGGTACCTATATGATTTTTGGAACTCTCCCATATATTTTATTTAGTCCTGCTGTTTTACTGTCCTTTTCCTTATTTAATCACCAGTCAAATCTGGACCTTCCTTTTGAATTGGCTGTCTCCAGTGTCAGCCAAAGCATTTAACATTACACTGATCTTCACATTTGTCCAGGAGAGAGGAAAAAATAACCAATAACCTTCCATATTGCCACTGGAGGAAAACTGCCCCGAATGCCCCATCAAAACACTTGTGAGAAGTTTTTGAAGGCTAAGAAGTTCTATTTCCTTGTCTTATTGCTTTGTACTTCGAGCACCACCTTCCTAAATTTAGTAATTCAGGAGTAACTCATGGCAAGATCCAAATGCCACAGCAGATTAGGAGATAATAAGGGATGAAAATAACATTGACCTCCAGTTCTAATTTTCCCCTCCTTTGATTAACTGGAGTGCTGTGTGCGCCACCAAGGTATACAGACTCCTGGTCAGCATTACAGACGTGCAAGAGAAAACAAATACTCAGAAAAACAATAACTGTGAAATTCCAGCAGTAAATCATCTCTGCAGGAAGCCCCAGGCATGTTGCTGTTCTGTAACATTTAAGTTGTTTCTTCTCATAAATCAATAAACCCAGCTTTTGCTGTAGGATATTCTTCGTGAGATCTTAGCCATTTTCCTTTTTTTCTGCAGTCTGTCTACACAAAAGGAAACGCCTGGGTGGACTGATCTCATCTCTCAAAACACACCTTGGTAGCACTGTACTTCTCTAAGGCTCTCCTCTTTGCTCTCCTCCTGTTCCTGTTGAATGCATAGCTTTGTGTACTTTGTACAACCTTTGGCTTGAACCTTAGTGATAGTGACTCAAAGAAATGAAGGGGAAGCTCCTTTATTTTAGGGGAAGATAACACACTATGACAGGTAAAATCTCTTTGGCTCACAGCACATCATCCTTTCTTCCAGTAGACCCAAGCATAGTCTCCCCTTAAATACAAGTTTACTACACTGAGAGTGGGGGAAAGGAGAGTTATTACTGGAGCATCTATTTATCTGAAAAACCTGTACGTTACCCTCCATCCATAAGATTTAAATTTAGAGATCTCTAATGAAAGACAAGAGAAACTCCCTAAGAAAATCCACACTGCCTAGACTTCACTCTGGAAGCATGTTGTATAAACTGATTTATTTCTTTTTAGTTCCAACATGCTTGCATTACAACAAGTTACTGCTTTCTTAGTGATTTCAGCACAGACTCTTTTTAAACAGGGACGGATTGCACTTCAGGCTAATGACCAAATTCTGACATAGGGTTGGTTGGTTTTTTTACTGCATGAAACAGAAAGCCACAAGGGGCTGAAAAGCAAAGAAAGATGACAAGGCTTGGCTCTGGAAGTAACAATGATTGGAATGTCTCCAAAAAAGCAGCTGTTATTACCACATTATATCCTGCCTGTAAACCCCCAGACCCAAGAGGCTAAGCAGTGAACAAACACAAAGAAAAGATGATTTTAATCCCAGATAATTCACTTTTCAAATTCTACACTTGACTAGAGACCTTTTGGTATGCTGTGTGGTTATGGTCATTCTGAACAACGTTCGTACACTACAGCATCATAGAACCAACATTCTCTTATTAGTATGTTTTCAGCAATTAAAACAGGTTAGAAAATAACCTCAAGAATTTTGTGTTGAAACATCAACAAAAATCTTGCTTAAACAATATATTATTACAAAATGCAAGGATGGGCTATTTTGCAGCCCACTCCTCAACATATAATTGTCCTTCAGAGATGCATGGCAATTTGCTTGTGGTTTTTTTTTTGTTTTTTGTTTTAATACTGCTATCCTAATGACAAATGCAAAGAAGCTGAAATAATACATTTAGGGATCTATTTTTATTTTTTTTTTATATATTGCCATTTGTAATTAGGGCTCCTTACTTACTCATTTGCTCATTTTAACCTACAGAAAATAATTTCCTTAAGGATTTCTTAATTCATTCCTGGTTGAGATTAACATGCAGTATTTTAATTAGATATGAACAGATGAAGCACAACTGAGAAATATTTGAAAATATACTCAGAACCACAGTCATGGATCTCACAGATGCTGCTATGCTTTGTCTATAGAAATATAATTTTAACTTTCAAGACAGTTCTGGCATGCACTGGTCTTTCCCTCCAAGGAAAGTGATTGATGCAGTATGCAATTTACTGAAACTCAAAACTAAAGAAAAGATTCAAGCACTGCTCTGAGCATTACCATCATCAGGGTTTGCTTCCTGCTTGAAAACATCCATGGAAACAGTTTGCATGCAGGAAAAAAAAAAAAAAAAAAATCAAGCAAAAAAAAAAAAAAGAAACAAGCTTCTCCTTTAAATCCCAAACACACTCGTGTGGTTATCAATATTATTCCAAAGAATAACAAAAGATGTGAAGTACAACTTAATGGCAGCCAGCATGGAGATGCTGTATCATAACAGCAGCAATTTCGTGTCTGACAACCACAAATAGGCAAAAGGAGAGGTTGAAGGAGAGCAACTCTTACAGCAGTACCCACTGAGGAGATGAGCAGATGCAGAAGTTGCTATCACTACCTTGAATATTGTACTGATAGTAATCAGGATCCTCTGATTCTTCCTTCACTGTCACTGTTGACATTTCCAAAGGAATTCCTGTAGAAGCAATAAAGGAATCAAATAAGTAGATTAAAGATAATCAAGATAGGACAAGGGGGAATGGTTTTAAACTGAGACGGGGAGGTTTAGGTTAGATATTAGGAGGAGGTTTTTCACACAGAGGTGGTGACAAACCAGAACAGGTTGCCCAAGGAGGCTGTGGATGCCCCATCCCTGGAGGCATTCAAGGCCAGGCTGGATGTGGCTCTGGGCAGCCTGGTCTGCTGGTTGGTGACCCTGCACACAGCAGGGGGTCAGAACTAGATGGTCACTGTGGTCCTTTGCAACCCAGGCCATTCTATGAAGATCTTAAAAACTAAAAAAGTCAATAATTCAAAAACAAACAAAAAACCCCCTAATATTCTAGCTTGTATCTAAGCCAGAAAAGAAAACAAATTGAGTTTCAAGTGCTGAGGCTCTAAACAATTGCTGAGGGGAAAAAAAAAGCAAAACCAGTAACCAAGTGACACACTGATGTTCCAGGTTTCTTGTGTCTCAATATGGTTACATCAAAGGTGATCCAGCACTAAACGCATCCCTCCAAAGCAAACATCCCTGCAAACACCATCTCATACTGAAGAATTAAAAAGAACAGCTTCCTTCCCCCACAACAAAACACTATTCTTCTACAAAACACCAAACTGCACAGCCCAGCCCAACCCAGGGAAGCAGGAAGGCACAATTCATCTCCAAACACACCTGCTGTCTCTCTGCAATTATTGCTGTGTTAATCTCAAAGCATGCACTTTGCTACAGGGAACACAGTGCCTTGCAGCATCCTGTCCCAGCTGCAGGGAATGATTCTATTGATTTATTTTTAAACAAAAAATAACATTTTCCTATTTGTTTTGATGTCATTATCAACATTCTGGTAGTACTATTACATAAGTTCTTCTCTCCACATTAGGGATAAAATAGTGCTAGAATGAAAAGAAGAGCTGAGGACCTTTCCCTTTTTTCACTTCCAATAATAATAAATTATTTCAGTCTACAAAACATGACAAACCTACCCCACCTAGAAGTGGAAATCTTTGGCTAAGGTAAAAAAAAATTGATAAGAACTGCAATGGAAAAGTGGCCATTTTTAACTAACAAGCAGTTTCTCTCTCACATGCACATTGGATTTATGCTGTTTTTATTGGATCTTCCTACCACCATTTCAATACAGCTTTCTGAACAGAAACTGATGGTTCAGTTGTTTGGCAAATAAGGACAGAACTCTGAACATACCAGAATCCTCACTTGGTTCCATTTTCACTTGAACAGGAGGGCAACTACAGAAACAAACAGAAACAAACAGTGACATTATAAAACCCCAAAATCCTATTTCTGGAAAGTTTCTCATACTTTACAAGCTGTCTAGTGATATCAGCCTCAAAGGAATGGGGATGGATCTCCCAGCCCTGCACTCGATGGATGTGTACAATGTTCCAAGTATGTTCACCATTTAATGAGAAGTGCATCAGCAGAAGCACAGAAACATTTCCCTGCTTTCACATTAAACATTTTTTTTATTTATTCCAAATATAAGCTCTCCATTTAGAATCAAATAAATATACAGATATATAAAGTTTTTTAATTAAGGAAGGGGAAGGGAAGAACATTCCAACTGTTCCCAGTCACTGCTGTAGCATAAGACATGGCAAACTTATCACTGACAGACAGACTGTGAACTAAGAATACTCACTGGGCTAATTAAACTGCATGGAAACTTCACCAGCTGTTTAATTTGTAATAGTTTCTCCACAAATAATGATCAAAAGAAAGAGACTGCCCATGCTTTTTATAATCCCAAGCTATCAAAAAGTTGTCCAGAGGTCAGCTGGTCAGAAAAAGCCCATTAAGATAAACTGTATGAAGTTACATGAAAACACACTGTTGACACTTACATCAAATCACACAACAGAAGTAAATGAAATGTTTATAGACATGCAAAAAACCCCACATTATTTTAAACTCACCTTCCACCTGGAGGTATAATTGATTGTGAAGGATCTGTCACATGAGCTCCTGAAAGTTAAAAGATATCATTTGAATTTCCTGTAACACCTTTCAATTCAAATTTTGTATACAGAACCCATGCACATGCAAAGAAATGAAGAAGAGAGATTTATTAAATTAGATTATTAAACCATCAAGTAACACTATCAAGTAACACCAATATAAAATTGCTTCAAACTATGCTTTCCATTGCTCTCTTTCCAGATTTAAAAGTTGAAATGTTGGGAAACAAAGCCAAGCAAACCTTACACCGAAACTCTGCTAAAACAAAGTGAGATGCTTATATTGAGATTCCAGTTTTTTCCTAAATTAAAGTCTTAGTAAGCAAGAACTTACCTAACTGTTTCTTGGGCTCTAGGAAAGGCCTGTATGGAAATAAGGAAAAAAAAAAACACCAAACCATAGCTTTAGCAAAATAGATCAATATTGACTCTGTAGTACAAAACTAAAAAGGCAAGACTTCTGTTTAATAGAAACAGAAGCAATTTAAGAAGTGAAATTTGAAGTCCAAAAATGGACAAATGAGCAAACTAGAGAGCAATTAACCTTTTGATGATAAATGAGATCCCCGACTTATTTTCCAAAATCCACTTCAGGGTTGAAACATCGTAATTTTCAGGATGCATGAATGCAAGCCCCTCAGGCAGGCCCTGCACCACCACAGCAGATTGGTCTCTCTGAATCTTCTCATACGGCACGGGGACCACCGTTGACTTTCCTAAAGCTTTACCTAAAACCAAAAGGAGATTGTCACAAAATCAGCAGCTAGCAAAAGGATGCATGCCTCATAAATCCCATTACTTCGGAGAGGACTGGAGAGAAAACAAGGCACAGATGCAAACCCCTGCAGGAAACCAAGCACCTTATGCACCAATATTCAGTGGAACCCACTGAGGCACAGATGCTTACTTAAAAGCAAAGGGGCTGTACTGCACGACAGTCTCAAACTAAATGCTGCAAAACAGCAAAACAGATAAGAAAAAAAACTACCCAGTATATGTGCATGCTGTAGAATCAGCCAGTACAAAATAAGCTCACTACCTAAACCACAGAACAGTTGAAAAGCTAAGATTGATACCAGGTAGACATTTTGAAGTGTTCTAAGGGGAGGATACAGGTAACAGAAACAATCCTCCCTTGCGAAGAGGAGGGTATTGTCTGTGCTGCCTCAACATGGATGAAGAATCCTTCGATCAAGTACTGCCTATATGAAAGCAGAATACCTCAACCTTTTATGTTATCTAATTAATCAGTACCAGTTGATCCCCTTGGAAAACTGGCAAGAGGAGAAGTGCCCAGCTCGTTCTTAGGAGACCATGCAAGTGTAAAAAGAGCAAGGGCTGCACTGCCCAAATGGCCACCAAGGGTCATGTAAGGCCTAGGACATGGCACAGGCACAGATGGCCAGGAAAGCAGACAAAAGGGGAGGCAATATTATGATGGCTTAACTTATCGATATATAGGTAGGAGGTGTTCCTTCTCTATTAGATAGGTGGAATATGGAATACTTGTGAATTTCGTATATAAATACAATGAAGAAAATTGCATTATTATGCTTGATTTGTGTAAACTTCCACCAGCACTCAGGTCCAAATAAAAAGCATCTCTCCAGAGCGTGTGGGAATTGGCTCACTGCACAGTGGATAATGAATCTGCTTTTCAGACAACGAGATCATAGAGTACCCTTCTTCTACCCTTCTTAGAAATCCAAAGACCTTGAAGCACCCACCATAGCAAAAGCAGAAGTAGTCCTCCACAGACTTCCTGAGAGCTTCCAGTTCCATGGCATCCACTGTCAGTCTGTTGGCAGGTGGTACACACTTCGTTTCCTGCAGCTCTGCAGCCCTCTCCCCTTCTACAACACCTAAAAATGAGATAAAATTCAAACAGGTTATCAAAACCCTCATGACCAAGCTCCTCTGGTTTAAACTACAGAGGGGTTAGAAGGATTCCTGCTCAAAGGTTCTTCAACCTAGAGACAAATGTATGTGGGCAGTGGGTAAATATTATTATGCTCTCCATACAGGCTTCGTAAATATCCCCCTCTGAGCGTAAGAATGATTAATTAAGAGACACAGCCAAGCTGACTTTTCTTTGCATGCAGATGTAGAAAACACCATTAATCCCAGGAGAGAATAATACAGTAGAAATTAAATGCCAAAAAGGCTCAGGAAGAAAGGGTTGGAATACTAAACAGGAAAATACTAAAACCTCTGTGTGGAAGGTCTCTAGCACTACACCTGATGTCTCATATAGGACACAGCTCCTACCTTGCGTGGCTTTTCCACCTTTTAAAAGACACTGAAGTATATCTATTGCTGAACAGGGGGAGCTGCTAACAACAGAACAAATGAAAAGGGTATTCCAGTGCTAAACCTTATTCTGCTTTGATCATAAGCAGCAAACAGAAGTGATCTATTTTCAGGAGCAGCCTTTCCTTTCTGTCATTGTAGTTTTACTGACAATCACCCAGGAAAAAAATGGGGGAAAACAATATATTTTTTTTCTAAAGATGAAAGAAAACACAAGAAAGAACTGCATTCCTATGAATGCAGTCAAAACTGCATTATGATTTCACTGTGAACAAGAACATGAACACTGCAATTCACACCAATACTGCTAACGTGGCTAACACAAGAAAGCAAACATCAGATTGAACAACTGATTATAAATGGCTGTGAAACAAGCTGAGAAGAAACACTCTCACTAAAAAAAGGCATTTGATACCTAAAAAACCCCTCATCAGGCCCAGTACAGGTGGGAAGGTGAGGTGGTGGAAGAGCTATGTTCTCCACAGGTGGGAGCACACTGCAAGATTGGCACAGATACTCTGCTAAAGCCAACCTGTGCTCAGCAAGGTTACAAGCAAGCTACGTAGCAGCAACTCTCACCTTGCCCTGAGCATCTGTATGGTCAAGTATCCTTTATCTTCCTGCCTTACCTAGCTGTTTTGGTTACTCAGAAACACCTTCTTGCCCTGAGCACAGTGGGTGGCAAAGCAATCACCCAAGCAGCACACAGCTGTCTCCATCCTCATGAAGAAAACAATCATCTTTCTATAAGGGCTGAATAGGTGGCTTTGAAAGAAAAGCCCTCCAAAGATTTTGGTTGTTTGTTTTTGGTGACTCAAAATGATGGAATTTCAGTTTGGTAGTTTTTTTTTTTTTTTCTTGTTGCTTCAGAGCAGCTCAGCATCTACAGCCTGGCCTCCATACAGGTCAACACTGCAGCTTCCTTCCCTAAATAAGTGCTGTGATGCTTATAAACTGATGAAGAGCAGCACAGCTCAGCAGTGTTACACAACACCTGCTCTGAAGGTCCACTAAAGCATGCTCTGATTGCAGACAAAAATAGGCCACAAAGCACATCTACATTCAAACATCAGACTGCAAGGAAGGGAATGCTGCTGCAGTTCTTTACAGAGCAGAGCTGTGCTGCAGCCAACTAACAGAGGGAGCACTGCCTACAATCCACCTAAAAAAGAAAAACCAAGCTTTAGCAGATAAACAATTTAATTGAAGTCAAAGAGGAGATGGTGTGCAAACAACAAGAGAGTGAAGGAGGTGGGATTCACTATTTGACACTCCTCTAGCAAAAGGGGCCTGTGATATGCAAGGTATCCTGCAACAAAACGTTGGCATTCCCCCAGGTACAGTAAATCAGAAAATGATTGTAGGAGTACCAACGTCACCATGTGCAGACACTTAGAGGCACAGTAAGGCCAGCAACTCCATTGCAGCAAGATGGGACGTGCATTTCATCCTTTGTGCTTAAGGAAACTACTATCCAAAAGTGACTGCAATCAATCAGAGGGAAAGCGTGCACACTTCTGCTTGGCATTGCCTGTCTAATTCAGCCCTAAGCTTTTCAACTGGACAACAGCTCTAAAGAAAAATAATTTTATGATTCTCAAAGAGAAGATCACCTGAGGCAGACGCTGAGCAGGTGGGGTATTTGAAGTCGGTCTGCTACTGATGGCAACTCTGTTTGCAACCACAGGGAAGAAAACGGGTAGGCTGCAGTGAGATGAGGTTTAACTCTCTGAGCAGGTTATTTTTCTTCTTTAATTTTACTTTTTTGTTGTTACTGGCATTCTTTTTTGTTTAAGTACTTATTAGCTTAATAAACCTTAACTGGCAAGGCAGAGACAGAAGAACGAAAGGTTCCTGTCAAGCAAAGTAGCACTAATAAGGATTCAAAAGAGCCAACCACATCCTAAACAAACCCAGAGCAGTGCAGGCTGGTTAACATTGGCGGTGCTGCAAAAGGGAAAAAAAATAAAATGGTGTCTGGGCTGACACAAGATCTGCAAGAGCCTCTGTTCCCAACAGATCCACATTCAGGGCGGAGGGCAGTGGAAGCAAAGGAATCACCCCTGGAGAAGGCAAGCAGAAGATTCTGAGAGATCTTTGAAAATTCTTACATAATTACACACAAGTTGCATTTTCAAAAGTTCTTTTAAAGGTGGGCTTTTGTGTTTTTGTTTTTCATTTTGAGAAGTTGTAAAAAAGGCATCAATTTTTAAATCTAAGTGAACTGCCAGAAGTAAAACTTAGCAAAAACAGAGTAACTCACCCCTAATGCTGCGTGTGTGTTAAAAGGCTACAAAGGAGATACAGGAAAAGGCATGGTTTGTCAGGAAAGACCATCACCCACTTCAGCTAGAGCCCTTGTACCAACTTGGGAAGTTGGAGGGGAAAAAAAAGAAGGGGAAGAGAATCACAGTTAAGGACAAAAGTAAAAGAATCAAATCAGCCACAAGGTAAGGCTGAAACAGCATGACATGGATTATTAATGTGGAGTTCACCTAGTGAATACAGTGTTTAAGAAAAGTGCAGCGTAAGACAGCCCAAGAATTGCATTGTGTGTGTTTCACAAGGTTAGACAGAAGGGGACTGTAAGCCAAACCCATTAAGTGATCTCAAATGGAGAGAACGATGGCAGGAAAGCAGCGCTCAGTTGGTGATTGCTTTGGATTTTATTGTTACTTTTTGCAACTGCAACTGTTCAGTAAGCGCTAGAAAGGAATATTATCTTTATTTAAACTCAACTGTAACCATGATTTATTGTGAATAAACTGATGAAGTCTTTAAAGGGAGATGCTTTAACTCGCACTACAGGCTAAATACAGACTTGGAAGTGATGGAATTCCAATGAGCTTTTTTAAGACTTAATTCAAAGAATGAATGCAGTTCTGTTTGTTCTGTCAAGCAGTTATAACTGCAACAGAACTGCCCCAAAAATAGGGTGGGAGTAAAAACAAATGCACAATGCAAACTAGTGCTTCTGATAAGCAGAGTATGCTGTAAACACCAAAGAGATGGGAACAGCAGAAGCTCAGAGTGCAGGAAGCAGCAAGAGAATGGAAGAGCAAGAAAGCAGGTAAGACAAAACAAACAGTCATGCCCACACCACAGAAAAGATTATGAAACTATTCCCTAACTAACTCCAGGCAGAGACAGCCAGGTTAGCATTATGCATCACTAACAAGACATGACACAACCTGGCTCACATAACATGAAATGGACAAGGGAGTGTTCACGTGATGCCTTCCTACAGCAGGGCACCAAAGCCCTAAATCCCCAGTGACAGACACAGTAGGAGTAAATATGTGATGGTAACCAGCATGCTTGGTCTGGGAAATGGTGACAGGCTACTGTCAGCACAGCCACAAACAGCTGTCAGCCTCTTCTCATCTTGCCATTTGCAGAAATGCCAATTATTCCAAGTCATCTGCTGCAAGGAGGAGGGGGGAAAAAAAAAAGCATTGAAAACTCAAGGACATAACCAAGAGCCACAACAGAGGAAGCTCCCATTAAGACTGATTGGAGATTGCCTGTTCCAACACATAGTTAAACAGAACACAGAATCACAGAATTGCCAGGGACCTCAAGGATCATGAATCTCCAACCCCCCTGCCACATGCAGGGCCACCAACCTTCCCACCTAATGCTAGACCAGGCTGCCCAGAGCCCTGTCTAATCTGGCCTTGGAACAAGCCTTCAGCAAAGGTTATTATTCCCAGATAGTGAAAAGGGAATCTGGAATTAAAAAAAAACAAACAAACAAGAGGCTGAGACCTACAGAGGTTCAACAGCTCTGGCTTGGCAGTCTGAAAGCATCCTGCTAATTACAGATTGAAGAATGCAACCAATCCTATCGTGCTCTCCTTCAATGTGTTCTTTAGAGTGCACCAAATCTAAGGTGAGAATTGTAGTAGACATGGCCCAAAAATATGCATTTATAATAGGGAATGGATTAGAGATGGCACGTATGCACCTCCACAAGCGTGTTGTCAGGATTAATCCTCTGCCTGACTCTCATTGTTTTTCTTTCCCTTACTATTAAAGCCTACAATTTAATAAATCCCTTCTCTTCTAAAATATTCTGTAGCTTCGGGAGAAGCAAAAGCCACGGAAGTCTCAGCTGACCACAGAACAGCTCAGGGCCAAAGAAAATGACTGTGGGAAACCAGTTTTCCCACTGGCACATCACCATCAAAGAAGAAGTGGCATTTTTCAACTAGCTGCATTAGTGTCAAGGGATCACCCTCCCAGCAACACAAAGATGTCAGCTAGTTACAGAGTGGTATCCTCACATTTGCCCTGGCACAAAGAGGAAGTCTGCCCTTTAGATACTGTAACTAAGACAAATGGAATATGATCAGGAGCAGTTAGAGCCACTAGTAATCTCTCTTGTTAGAGTAACGCTGAAAAATGTATTCAGCTCTTACCATATGTGTCAAGGGATGCAGCCTGCACTTCAAATCAGATACATTCTGCTTCGTGGCTGAAGAGCAAACCATCCCATTTAGAAGCTATTTCTGAATTCACACAGGCATGACCAGCAAGAAATACATAGTAGGAATACAATCAGAAGTGATCAGGATCATAAGGAAGCAGCAAGGCTGCTGTATTAATACTTGGTTTACACCATAGCTGAAGCATCCACACAAAGCACTGCAGAAGGCACATGCCCAGAGTAGCAGTACTGTAAGTTGCAGTACCAGGAACTCTCTGTAGATTTAAAGATTTTTAAGCAAAAGATTGAAATTAACCCAGAGCTACTGAGTTAATAAGATATCCACAGTGCTGTCGACTCCAGCCTGTCGTCCTCTGAACACTAGAGCATGATGCTCTCAGGCCTGCAAAAGGACAGTCTATCCAGCACAGCATATATGTAATACAAATGGATCAAATGTGTAAATAGCTTCATCTATTAGAAGTGAAAGAAAGCTGCAAAACATACCAATCAGGGCTTCAACACACTAGGATCTTGTATTTATCTGCTATATACTTGACTGAGCTTGATTTAAAAATAATAATAATAATAATTTGTCATTTATTTCTAGATTGTCTTTTTTGAATATTATCATCTACAAAGAAAAAAAAATACTGATATAAGGGTATTTAGATGCCTACAGGTAGATGGCACAGAGACTTTCAAAAGCAGCACTCTAGGCAGTTCAGTTGCTTTGTAAATCTGACTGCTGCTAGCATTGCTTTTTTACTGCCAGTATTAGGAGTAACTGCAATTGCTGTGATGCAATGAGCACAGAACTGCAAGAGAAAAATTTACTGAGAACTCTTAGAAACAGATTGGGAAAATGAAAAAAGAGGGGAAAACTGAGAAGAGTCACAATACCTTCCATTTCTGGTGTCCAGTACAGGCAGCGCCCAGCCTAGCAAAGTGCTGCTGCTTAAACACACAGGGTAGACAGATTAAATGAGCTACATCTCTTTACATAGTTAGGAAGACACTGCAAGGAAGGCAAGGTCAAGGTGCTAATAGATTTGCTTTCATCTTACACAGCTATCCTCCAGCCCATGGGGATGAACAATTAGGGATGAAGTAGACTGATGCTCTCCAGCGTAGGTGTCGTATGCAAACTGACAATCAGAATCCAGTTTGCACATCCTTGAAGATCAAAGGATGCCCAGGATCAAAACATCAGTGTTTTTGTGCATTAGACACAAAGTCAAAACACTCATTCTCTATGGAGGAGAGATCCTGCACAGCAAACAGCAGCTCCCGTGGAAGCCAAACTCAATACTGAGAAAAGTCACTGCATACTTAAAATTGCTGTTACAAACTAGGAAGCCAGCATCTATCACTGTAAGACACAAGGCATCGTGTAACTTAAGCCATGGATACTAAATTCCCCCTAGAATACAGAAGTCACTATATAGCCCAGAAATGTTAAATTCAGTTACTCAGATGGAAGTTACACCACAAAGTCCAACAGATGGATACTTATAAGTTCTGCTTTCTTTTTTGTGAAGAGATGCTAAGATGCAGCCTTTCATGGTTCTGTTTATCTTATTTTTTCCTTTTAAATTGCTGACAAGATGAAAAAAACTCCCTGCAAAGCCTAACACATTCTCAGAGACCAGAGGGATGCAACGAGGGAGATGCCCAGCCACAGACCTTCAGGCAGGTCCACAATAGCCTTATTTATGGGACAACTCATTTTACTTGCCTGCAGAATTTGGAGGATATTGAGATATTCAACAGTAATCCAGATACCAAAGACACTGGTGAGTCAAAGCTGAGCTATCTTTCTTGTAAGGTCTCTGGAACACTGTGTGACATTCATTCATCACGAGCAGAAGGAATAGCTGTACTCATTTAAAACAGAAATTCTGATCACTCCTGAAGCTACAAGGAGCCCTTGCAACCCATGGACATGGAAGTACAGGTAAGAAGAGTGAAAGAGACTCAGCCAAAGTCCTTCCAGGACTTAAAGCAGAACTCTGGATAGATGTACTGCTAAGATCAGCAGAGAATCCTGAGGCCATTAGAAGAAAAAACAAGGCTTCTAAGCATCCAGTGCTTACCATTCAGGATGAGCAGTCTACAGATGCAATTCCAAAGCCCTAGCACCCAAGAATGAACAAGCAGCAATACTGAGAGCTGACAGAAAGCCACAGAACTAGCAGGATTGTATTTCCACACAGCCCACGTACTGAGGGTGCCACAGCTGGCACCAGTGGATGGATGTTCCAGGACAGGTCACCAGGATTCTTGGCAAACACTCAGCATCTGGGTAAGGATTGGAGACACAGTGCTTTGTAATCCTGCTCAAAGTACAGAGCAGGTGATCAAAAAGGCACTTCTGAGCCAACGAGCTCTTTTGAAAGTTTACTTCTGACTGGCAAACGCAGCTCAGGGATGAGCTGAGGCCTCTTCTACTGCCCTTTTGTGTGCATGAGGATGAATTCCACAGAATCAATAGCAAACCAAGAGAAACTGTCAAGATGGCTACATGAAGGGAATGTCATCCTCAAGACACCCCAGCCTTCCATCTCCTGTTCAGAATGGCTGATAACCCAGACAGCAAGGAAGCATTTCATCTCACCACAGGCTATCCGTGAGGAACCATGCAATATATTTCAGTAGGGAACAGCAAGAGGTAGGACAAGAGGTGTATGATCTGCATTGCTTCCATACCCATAGCTTGCCATACTCTGTATGTTATTTGAGTGCCTCTCATATGCTCCTTTTTACGGAGAACAGAAACTCACACAGGCTTAGAAGAAATGATGAAGCAGGTTACCTGAGTTACAGACCATGCATGGAAGCACAGAGTTCCACACTACAAAGCATAAAAAACCATTTCACTGTAACACAGAGCTTGCAGCCATCTTAATTAAGCACAGTTCAGAAGAGTGTGTTATCTGACCCCATTTTAAATAATTAAAATCTTCTCAACATTCAGCACACAACACATATCAACACTGCTATAATCTGTTCCCAGCAATTTTTTCTTAAGGTAACAAGATACAACAAGATCCTCATGGAGCTTCTTCCTTCCTCCACACCTAACCCAGGAATATGAGACTGAGATTTGGGTGGCTTTATTCATACAGATCTACCCCATGGTGCTCTGGAGGAAGCATAAGGAAAATACTCTTTTCAATGTAGATATTGTTTAATCATATCTGACAGTATAAAACAGATATTCATAGACAGCATAACTGGAAAAAAACAAAGGATCAGGATTAAGAGAACCAACATCAGACTTGAATAAACATATGCATATCTACAGAAATCTCAACTGATACACTTCAACCAGCATGGAAGGAAAACCAGTGCTTGCCATGGTCCAGAACCAAAAGCACAGACTTAGCCAGGGAGATCAAACAGACCTCAGTTACTGCAGATTCCACATCAACACACACTGCAGACAAATCCCACAGCATTCTATTTGGGCACACAATACCACTGTTCTGCCTGTACCACTGGGTTAGCAAACAAAGTACTTGGGTTCATAGGGAAATCCTTTATAGCAAGTCAGGTGAAAAGCTGAACTTCCTTCCATTATTCAGCTAATAGTTTATACTGGTATTTATGAAAAAACCCTGCCCCTATAGAAATTATGAAGAGGAGAATGGATTTATCTTATCCTCAGTTCCTCACTGAGGTCATCACTCTGCATTTTGATATCAAGTTACAGTCCCATATTACAGTGGTTTTCTTAGAATAAAAACACTTATGCCTGCAGAAAGTCACCGTCCAACAGCACAACAGTGGACAAATCCAGATTCTCACCAGAGAATCTGGATTCTTCAGAGTTTTAACTAGCAGCAAAAGTGTTTTTAGGAGCAAATCTTTCTGCTACAGATTAAACATGGTTGCACTGCACGCAGTACTTAATTAGTCAAGCCAGAATATCTTACAGCTGTTGTTTTAAAATTCCCCCAAACTGGCTTTTTTCTCACATCCTGCTCTTGACCTTCATCTTCTCCCTTCCCCCAGGCAGATAAATGCACTCTGCATTATTGGCTAAGCACTGACCATCAGCAGTGTTTTCCTATATACACACATGTAAACCCTCCACAAAGAATCACTGCATCTTTGAGGGCCCCTCTTAAAACACTGCTCTGTACACAATGGATCATGTTTTATAATCACACAAGTTCCACTATAAAAATTAACAGAAACAAAAAACACTCCCACAGATGTGAAGGAGTACAAAAGTAATGCATATAACTTCAGACCAGCAGAATGCAGCCACGATATACAGGACTTTGCTCTCAAGAGATACTGGTACTTTGCAATATACATTAAGCAGATTGAGTGAAATACAAAAAGAAAAAAACAACATTGAAACTTACAGTATTTAAGAAAATCCTTCTGAAAATCTTTCCTGGAATCAACAAAGGCTCTTCCCCTCTCAGTTCCAACTACAAAGACGTCTGTTTCATAGACAGCGATGCAGGCAACTTCTGCCTTGGATTTGGCAAGTTCTTTACACTATAAAAAGAAACAGAAAAGCATTTATTGTCCTTGTTAAACATATGTTCTATAGAAATGTATATGGAATCACTTAAAGCAGTTCCTACTTCTGCCCCCAGTATCCACTCCTCAAAAGATATCGTGAGTTACATAATGTCAGCCAGTAGCAAAGGATAGTTTATGTATTTGGAATTCTTTTGATGAGAAACCTTAAAAGCACTGTAGATGCATTAGTGAAATTGAGGTCTCATCTAAACTGAGAAGTTGAACTGCTTTTAATTAAAATGATTTATTCAATCTATCCTTTGGAAATTATCATTTCAATTAGATTTCAATTAGATAATCATGTTGTCCTAGCTAGAATTAGTATAGGAGTTTTGCCCTTCCACAGCACACTTAACACAAATAGTGCTCTGTTTGTAGAAGTGTGGCTGGAAGCAGGAAGGCTTCCTGTAGCTTGCCCTGTCCTGACAGCTGTGCTCTTTGTGGATCTGTGTGGATTCTTCCTCAGAAGGGGAAGGATCACAACCTCCCTGTGAAGGTGTAGGTGTGCTCTGCTGGGAGCAATTCCAGGCAAAGAAGTCAAAAAAAAAAAAAAAAAAAAAAGAAAACTTGTAGAGTATGGAGACAGGAAGTTCCCAAGTCAGTGAGATCATCTAGAAGTGACCACGAAAGGTTAACTCTCCTTAGTAACTCAGGAGATCAGGGTGACATAAATAGTTGCTGCATGACACGCAGCAACAAAGGGTTGAACACAACTCTTGGGGAAAATGGCTTTGAAACCAATTACCTTATAATCATTATATTCAAAATTTCATTGCTAACAACACCACAAAGCAAAAAGGCAGGCTGTTAGCATGAATTTCCACAAGCACACAGTCACAGCAGTTGGAGAGCACGCACTAAGGTACAGACAGAACAGCATACACCAGCTCTCTGGAGGGAGGCAAGGTATTGCTGTAGCACTGCATGTGCCCAGACAGCTTTGACAGCCACTAACCATGGACTCCAGTGCTGACACGAGGAACGTGACCACCATCCTGCTTTCAGATGGGTCTTCATCATGCATGGATGTTGCTGCTACCGTGGCTTGGGCCATTCTCTTCCTGGAAAATCAAATATAAAACTATTCAGATACATGCAACAGTGCAGGAATATCTACCTACAGATACACATACACAAAAACCCAGAATACCCCCATGTGAGCAAATATGCAGGTACAGCAACAGAATAAATTGTTCACTCTTTTGTTCTTCCATACCTCCTGCTGCTTGAAAGTGAAAATGCTGTGCCATGTCTAGACAAAACACCTAGAGAGATGCATATTAATTGATTAGCTGCATTTACACTGATTTTTCTTTTTGTGCACGTTCATATCTGCAACAGCCTGAAGAGGCACAGCAGAAAAAGATAGGTATTAACAGAATGACAAAACTGTTTTGACATTGGTGTTAGAGTGACATGCCCTATAATTCTCAGTACAGGTTCATTAGGGTATCACTCAAATAAACACCACCACTACAGCCATCCCAAATCATGGCCTGAGACTCCAGTGTCAGCAACCAGAGCCCGACATCCTTATCTACATATTAAACAGCTGCAGGATTAATTTCCACACTAAGAATTGCCAATTAAGGTGCTCAAATTAAAAGCTGCATTTCGGAAGTGACAACAATAGGATTAAACCCTATTTTATGTGCATCGTAACCGACTTTCAACTTAAAGACATAATAACCAGGACTTGTTCATGCTTATGTTGGCAGAACTGCCAACAGAGAAGGATGACTATACCAAGAACAGCTGCCAAGAGCACATTTTTCTGCTGGATGTTGCAACTGATGTTATGTTCACACATACCTAATGCAAAACCTGACATGCTTGCAGGTTGGGAGAACTGGGAGAGACGTTGCTATTACAGCCCCACTTGTGAGTCTTTAAAAAAATCCCCCCCAAAAACCTCCAAACACAGATTAAGGTGGGGAAAACAAACTTGCAGTGTCAACAGTGCAAGCTCACAACAGACACCCAGTCACCTTCTGATGCTCCAGGCAGGTCTGCAAGGTTTAAACAGTTGTAAAGCTACCATAGATAAACTGGCAGTGACAGTCTGCAGCTATTTGAGGGTATCTGAAATGAAAGGCAGAAATGCCAGCAGCTCAGATTCTGTGACAACACCACTGCTGTGCAGTCCCCCCATGCAAAGCTTTGGGGAATATCCAGTGCCCAACTTGTCACCAGCGTGCTGCACAAAAAGGCCCATCATCTAGAAGCCATTCTTCCAACAGTTAGTAGCTAGCTGCCAGAGTACCACTATGTAACTAACTACTTCAGGGCAAAATTAAACAGCTTTGTAACAACTAATAAGCATTCAGGATAAAGAGTACTTAGGCACAGGTATTCCTATCAACTACTTTAAGACAAATGTAAGCAACAGCTACTAAAGAAAAACATGTACAAGAAGGTCAAGAGAAAAGAGATTAAAAAGAGACAGAAAACAGAGACATTCCACTACTGATTCAGCACTGTCCTGAGTCTGGGGTGGTGATCTGTGGGTGGTGAGCTGATCCAGGTGAGCACTTGTGCTCTGAAGCAGCACAAAGCCAAATTCCTCATCAGTCTCACACAGTGCCAAAGCAGCAAACCCACCATGCAGCATTACAAACATTAAAACCAATCCTACCGTACAGATGGAAAGGCTCTAACCAAGAACCCCAAAATACAGCTGTTGTAAGTGTGCCTGCACTCAGCCATGCACATTGCTGTAGATCTGCTGCTCCCAGGGGAAAGCAGCCCAGTAGGGGCCCTTCTATAAGAAATGCTGTTCTAGCTGAGCACTTGTTGCTTTATCAAGTTGGAATAAGAAGGAACACAGATTTATAATGAAGGCTCTACCTGGAAGCCAGACTGCTGCCTGGCTGTTACTGGTCTCATCCCTTGGCTGCTCTGCCTTCAGGTTCAAGGTATGCTTAATTCTACCCAAACATCAGCCTTCAGACAGAAGGCACTGTATCAAAACTGCACAGATTAAAACTCAGAGCTGTTAGGCACAAGCAAATATTTTTGACAGATTCACACTGGCTAAAAGAAAGCTCTATTTTTCTCCCCCAGTTTGGTTCAGAAAACGTTAATCCTGATGTGCCTTAGCTAATGGAGCATAGAAACCCTGCAGGGATGCAGGCAGATCAGTGATGCTCAGGAAGATGCAATGCCCTTTTACCTCCACTACTATTAAAGACCACTTGAAGAGACAACACAATCCCAACATTGGCTACTTTAAGAGCATCTCTGATTTCTTTCACCCTCAACTCTGCTAGCAAAGCAATACTCAATTCAAACCTCACTACTTCTGGACCAAAGTATACTCACAAAGTTTTAGATCAAATGAAAAAACAGCATCCAACCGCACTGCTCACGAGGCAGGTATACAAAATAAGTGCATACCCATGGAGCAGCACAGAAGCTGTCAGCACGGAGCTCCATCCCTGCACTGCAGACTCAGGAGCAGCTCCTGCTTCCAGGCGGACCACCCCCCCCATGGCCCCATCCCAGGAGCCCACGGGGCCTCACCCCTACTTCATTTGCATACAGACCACGCCCCTCTCTTCTCACACCCAATCGCAGCCGCTTCCCGATAAGCGCGCCCCCTCCCTCCAGCCAATAGCAGGCGGCAGCAGCACAGTGGTGCCCGCCCCCTCCATCCCCACACCTGGATCCCGGGGGGCGGGCAGAGTGCGGAGCTCCGCCTCCACCCGCGGAGGAAAAGAAGCCCCCCCAACCCCCAGAGCCGGGCCCGGGGCCTCTCCCAGCCCACAGCACGAGTGTCCCCGCTGCCCTCCCTCCCCCTCAGGGAGCCGAGGTACAGTGGCTCGCTCCCGCCTTCCATCCCCGCGTCGCACCCACGAGGTCCGATCCCACCCCGCCGCTCACCGTGGCTGTGGATGCAGAACGGAACGGCGGGCGCTGGCAGCGGCCGCTTTCCCGCAGCCTCTCGGCGCTGGGACGGGCCCAGAGGCCCCGCTGCTCCCCTCGCGGTCTCGGGCTGAGCACAGCGCCGCTCCGGGGGAGGGGAGTTGAGGGGAAGGTTTTTGTTCACCGATGTACCACTGCGCATGCGCGCGCCTCGCGGGGGCTGCTGGGACGTGTAGTCCGCCCCCCAGCGGCCACACCTCTCCACAGCGCACCGTGCGTAACGCGCCGAACTACAACTCCCATCGTGCCCCGCGCGGGGCGGAGCGGCGCGAACCCAGCGCCCAGGGAGGGAGCGCGGGGGTAGCGGTGGCCTTGGAGGGGCATTCTGCCTGAGGGTGTCCGGCCGCCATTTCCTGCCGCGGCCGGTTGCGCTGGTCCTTCAGTTTGGGATCTAAATTTCTCACATCCCTTTGCTTTCCCCTCTGCTTGTCAACCGGCTGAGCCTCGGCTGCAGGCTGAATGAGGTTTTCACACCTGGCATTTCTCTTCATGCCGTAACACTGGAGCTGCTGTGGAGAGGAGAATTCAGTCGTTTTTGTCATCATTAAAACAGAGAAATTCCACCTCCAGCACATCGTCTTTTCCTGGAAACAAACAGAGACCAATCCGTACTTATTTCTTCTGACTCATTACTTCTGTTTCATCCCCAGAAACACACGTTATTTTCTTTAGCACTCAAAAGTTTTAGGCTGTGTCAGAAAGCTTTGCTCCAAGTTGTGCAGTGAGTTACAAACGTCACCTCCAGCTAAGCACAGAGTAGGGCGTTTCACTTGACTCCCATTTCAAGTATCCATGGGAAAATTTAAGTATTCTTGACAAATTATATCTAAATATCTCACATCTGAGCAAGAACCTCATTGTGTGCCTGTTGAAACCAACAAGTGCTGAAGAGCTGGTGGCAGGGTGATGGAGAGCAGAGGGAAGCAGGGGGGAAGCCCCAGGCCCTACAGGAACGTCCTGATGCTGAATTACATGGCATTCCCTTATCTTTTATACTCTGTGCAGAAGCTCAGTGTCAGACACAGCCGTGTGCTGTTGTACCAGAGCCTAGAGCCCAGGGCTCTGGGCTGCCCATTGAGCAGTGCTCCAGCTGTAACTAGATGGGATGTCTTTTCTTCTCTCAGACTATGAGCTATTTTAATTTCAGTTCTGAAGCCAGGAACAGCGAAGAACCCTTTGTACTTGAGAACACTACTGAAGAACCAGAACAGCACGTGGATGTGCTGCAGCCCAGGCTTCTCTATAGCAAAGCTGCAGATGCGTCATCTCGTGCTGTTCACCTATTTTCCTTTGCTCCCGTTGGCTCGATTCCTTTGCAGTTTTTCTTCGCTGAGCTTTTTCTCTTATTTCTTTTTAGATAGTAAGAAAGGATATCCTGTGTTTTCACTTGGAACATGAAGCATGTGATAAGCACACTTATTTGCACGGTAAAAGCATTCTTTTCCTCCATCCTTTGCTGCTGTGCCCTAGGACGTTCAGCAGTGATGCTGATCCCAGGGTGCTCCAGGTCCCACCTATTTGCTCTGCAGTGCCTTTGGCCTGGAGACAGAGCCTACAGCCAGCTCCCACAGACTGACATCAGTACCATCCAGCTCATGATATCTGTAGGACAGAAACCTGTGCCACCCCATGGCAAAGCAGTGGTGGTGCCACGTGTAGCTGTTTTTTTCATTCTCCTCTTCTGTTTGATTCAGAGTTGGATATAAAGGGAAAGCCTGTTTTGGAAGAAGCTCTGGAGCAGGACATCACAAGCCAATGGACTACAGGTCTTCAGGATTTCCCTATGCCAGTCTGGGCTGCAGCACAGCAGCCTCTTGCCAGTGGCTGATCTCTTGGTATTCATCCAACAAGACCCAAGAGAACAGGATCAGATTGGGTTCAGTAAGACCAGCACCAAGCCAGAGCCAAGAGACACGACCAAAGGACCGTTGCCTCCTCCACACAGACTACCTGCATTCCTCCCTGCTCTTCCAGACCCCCAGGAACAGGGCAGCCAAGTGGATCTGCACATCATCAGAGCTGTGTGTCTGGAGGCAAGCACATGTGACACCTTCCCCTGGTGTTCACCCAGACCCCAGCTGCCTTCAGGAGGTTTCTGCCCATGATAAGCTTTGCCAGCTTCAGAGTACTCAGCAGTTCCTGCTTCCAAGATTCTCCAGTCTCCCTATGAGCCAACACAAACATTTCATAGCACTCTTTGGAGTTAGCTGAAGTGTCTCCTGATCCTTGAGGAGGGAGCATCCATCCATCCGATTTTGCCAATAGCAAAATGACAAAGCCATGAAGCTGCCCAGCATTAGTCCAGAGGGGGCCACGAGGATGCTCAGAGGGCTGGAACATCTCTCCTATGGAGCAAGGCTGTGGGTATTCAGCCTGGAGGAGACTCATATCCCAGCCCTTTCCCCAAACACGCAGTGCTAACCCCTAACCCAGCCAACAAACTTACCATTTCCCTGCATATTTTTTTTCCCAAAGTGTTTCCTTGCAAATGGATTCGGGGCTCTGAATGCAGCACAGATGCTGTTTATGCTGCTCTCCAGCATCTCCGTGCACTATATTTTTTAAAAATGATTTGAATCAAAGCACTCATTCTTTAATTAAACTTCATTTAGCTGCCATCTGCCTGGGATCAAAATGGCTTCATGTTTTGCAACTCTTAATGAGGATTGTTATTGGATTTGTAAACACAGAGACAACAACAGCAAAAAAACCCCACCGAACTCTTTGAAAAGTAATAAATGAGGAACATGGCTCAAGTATTAAGATCTCCATCTTCTAATTGTGACAGAGTGCATCCCATTCAGCAGAAAATCACGTTGCACACAAAAACTGGGTATAAAAATACCCTGTGCAAAAGGACCAAGAGGAGGGAAGATGCAAAATTACAGCTGAGGGAAAGCAGCAATAAAGCAAGATCTGGAGTTTGGGGGAATAGGGTAGCATGTAATTTGCCCCCAGAAATTACAGTAGGAATTGCTGCTCTTCACTCCCCAAAACTGTGACAAGAGCACAGCATCTCCAAACCCCACCCCGGTGCCAGGTGGTTGCAGAGCTTGGGGGCACGGGGAGTCTGAAATATTGAATTAAGCCATGTCCAAAGCAGGGGTTACTGCACCTGGATTTGGGTCCAGAATGACCCTCATGCACCCGCTTGGGGAAATGAGGCAGCCAAGAGTGGGAACAGCCCTGCTGGCTCCCCCTCACCTCCCTTTTTCCCCACTTCTCTAGCCTTTATGAACGCACTCAGCTCACTGAGCAGAGTCATGAGTCCCCAGTGCAGCTCAGTGCCCTGATTTGGCTCAGTGCTGGGATCCCTGCCTGCCCATTGCTGGGAACTTTGCTCATTACCCAGCCTCAGTGCCGCCCTCGGTGTTCCAGAACCAGGCCTTTACACTGCAAAAAATAAGAGAAGTCAAAATATAATGAACGTGCCCTCCCAGGAGACACCTCCTCAGGGTGGTTTGATCTGTGAGCGAGCCCCTTTCAGACATTTTAGAAGACAGAAAGTGTATTTTTTTTTTTTTACCTCTAAAGCATTTTTCTTTGTTTCCTAATTGGAGATGCCATGGGGTTTCAGCACCAGGCAGAAACATGAAAGACTTCAGATTTTGATGCCAACTGATCAGATGTCAAACTGCACATCTAATTGGGGTCATGGGTACAGATCTTTGCCCTTCTTCCAGCTGCCAGCTTCGTGCCTTCTGCTACATTTGTTTAGGCTTTTATTATCTTGTGCCATCATTTGCATCCAACTCCACAGCAAGTCGAGGATGAGGAAATAAAATTGCAGCCATTTGAAATAGCTCTGCCTGTGCTCAGAACCTTCTGCCAGCACGAAGACGGATTTGTGCACATCCAGAGAAGACTCATAAAACCAACAGAGCAGCATGTTACACTCAGAAAAGCCATTGTGAGTGACTTTGATGCTTGTGACCAATGCCACCTCTGCCTGAAGGTGGCAGCTGCAAGCAGGAATGTGGGCATGGAAACCATTCTGCTCACCAACCCCTTACATTGCCATGCACTTGCTCCCATTGTGTCACTCGAGCACAGCTCTCAGCACCCAAAAACCCACATTAAATACCTGCAGTGGTGAAAGCAGCAACCGGCAACGCCAGCTTCTGCTGCCAAAATCTGCTGGTGGAATGGAGGTAAAGTTGGGGAAATTTTAAATAACAACCCTCAATTTATGGGGTTGCTTCATTTGGTTCTCGTGGTGCACAGAGGAAGCTCTCCCCATCTCTCTGTAACACTTGCAGCTTTTGGTCCAGCACCATGGAAGGGTTGAGCACCAGAGCTCAATTGGAATGGATCATACAAGCTTTCCTCCCCCCTTAAAGCACCAAAATGCAGGTAATCACAGATTAAAATCTGCAGGAAATCACAGATCAGAGAATCACAGAATGGTCTGGGTTGGAAGGGACCTTAAAGCTCACCAACTCCATAGGCAGGGACACCCCCAGTGCACCAGGCTGCCCAAAGGCGCACAGTTTCACCATTTCAGAAGGCAGCACGCCCCTCCTCCTGCAGCTCCCAGTGAGTTTTTACCTTTGCTTCCAATCTGAAGACATCAGTGGCAAACGAAGCCCCAAAATGAGCCAAACCTCTTGGTCACGAAGACTTCAATCAGCAGCCAAAGCACAAGGAGGTCTGACAGAGGTGTCCTCCTGCACCTTCTCCTTCCTACAGATGCTATTTGTCAATAATGTATGTAATAAAATAAGTACTTTTAAGAGCAAGGCAACACTTTTTATTTTTATTTAAAAAGGCCTTGATGGCAGGAATATAGTGTAAAAATCATTGGAAAAACTAAAAGGCATTGATACATATTGGAATATACACTTTTTACATAAATTACATTTATTTATTTATTCTTTCATTTGAGGTTCTTATTCGGTATTGAGGTCTAATAGTTAATAGGTCCTGGGATCTGGACATTTAGACCACCATAGTCTAACATGTACATGTTCATGGGCCATTGCTGAAAGAGAGGGAGAGAAAAAGAAGGCAAAAGTCTCCGTTAGCACACGATACCAAAAAATGCATACATCAAATCTCAGACATGTTCAGACATGAGCAGTTGCTCCCACTTTCCAAATAAGATAAAAGAACCAACCCAAAAGCAAAACTCCACCAGCAAACCTGATATAAAAAAAGCCTTTTAAGACTGTATTCCTCTCACTTTTTTTTTTTTTTTTTTTTTGCTAAGAAGCATTTGATACCATGCACAACTGATGAGGACAGGCTGAATGCAGCTCCACTGATTTCATTTCCTACTTTTATAGTTTAGATGTATGCTGGAGCTCAGCAATGCTCCTGAAATAAGGACTGAAGGGGGATGCTGGGTCCCACCAAGAGGCACATGGGGCCACAATTACCTCCATTTGGGCAGGATGGAGCCCCATGGAGCATTGCTCCACTGACACAGCCAGCAAACCCAGCAGGGAAGGGCAGCCTCAAAGCTGCATCCCTTCCTTCTCCAAGCCTGGCCATGCCACTGAGCTTTATAGTGCCTGGCAGAAGGAGCACTGATGGTTAGAGAGCAAAGAGCAGCGTCCTGAAGCTGAAAGGCAGATAGTAAACCACTTAATATATGGAAGGCTTTACCACAAGCGAGATCTGATTTGTTGACGACGTAGACTCCATATTGGAAGAGGAGGAAGAGGAAGATGAGGAAGAGGAAGATACTGAGTTCCCTTCGGAGATCCTCTTCCTCTTCCGCTTGGGAACACTGCTATCTTTTTCTGCAGGGAGAGAGGGAAAAAATGAAGTGGCTGTGCCCCACAAGCGTGGCCAAAGGGAGAACAGCCCAGGGAAGTGGTGCCCAGGGAGGTAGGGGGTCATCATCCCTGGAGGTGTTCAAGAGCTGTGGAGATGTGGCACTGAGGGATGTGGTCAGTGGGCACGGTTGGATGTGGTGATCTCAGTGGTCTTTTCCAACCTTAATGATTCTATGATTATCTATGAATATGTATATATATATATATACACATATGATATACTCATGTATATGTGATATCCTATATGATATATCCTATATGTATATATATATATATGCATATATAAAGTTTCTTATCTGTCTCATTCTACATCAGCTCAAACTGCAGGTTTGCCAGGTCTGTCTCCTCTCCCTAGCCACCTATTTTCATAAAATAAAAAGGATCCTAATTATCTCTAGAGCTGCTAATTCTGACACATTTGATTAAATGAAATTTACTGGGGAGGATGGGACACAGAAAAACACATTCAGAGGGATCACAGAAGCCTTGTTTCCTTAGAAGCTCAATGGATAAACGACAGATGAAATTAAGGGCTTTAACCAGTGAATAAATTGCTCGTGGTGAATAAATTGCTAATGGGAAAGGGATGTTAAATCCTCCAGAACACGCTGAAAATTTGAGTCTAAGAGCACAGGTCTATTGCCAGCTCATGTCACCGAAGTCGACAGGTTGTTTCTGAGCAGATGCTGAGTCTGACTTTCCATTGTCCAGGTCGGATCCTTCCCCTGGCCTTGGTGAGGGATGCAGGAGAGACTAATGCCTCCTCCCCATGGCCCCCATCCGTTTTGCCCATCTATTTTCTCTGCCACACTGCAAGGAAAGTCACCGACACATTCCAGCCCTTACCTGTTGGTTTGGCCTCAGTGCAGATTTCGGAAAAAGGCCTGTGTAAGAGACAGCATGAGGTCAGAGCCTGCGGACACCTTCCCCCCCTCTTTGGAGGGAAGAAATCCCAAACAATTCACTGGGTCTCTGGGCCATCCCCTGATCTGACCCATTGCAGCCCCTGGTGCCAATGCCATATGCCCCTTCCCAACACAGTCACCTCAAACTGTGTAAGAAAGGGGATTAATGGCTGAGCACCTCCTGTGGCACACACAGCCTCTCCATGTGTATGCAGCAGCACGATCCCATGCTGGTGGCTCTATGGGGACATACTCAACTCATGGCAGGAGAAACGGGGACAATACCTAATTAGTGGTCACAGATCTGGAAGAACTTACTGGAGCTGGTTGATAATCACCATCCGGATGCTCTCCCGTGCCTTCAGGATCTTCTCCAGCCGGTGGATGTCGTAAGTGTTAGGGTTTCGGAAAGGGATATCGTCCGGCAGGCCAGTGACCTCCACTGCATCAGGGCTGTCCCTGATGAGTTTATAGGGCACCATGATGGGTCGGTTCAAGCCCAGAGCTTCTCCTGTAAGGGCAGAGCAGAGGACATGAGGCTTCACCCCACAGGGCTTGGGACAACACCACCCTGAGGAGTGAGAGCTACAGAAGAAGCTACAGCTACAGTGATGACCACAGGGCAGCCGTGGGGCTGCACTGCCATGTTGCAACCATGTCTCACTGAGCTGCTTCATGTCTGCCTGCCCTATTTCCTGCCCATCAGCTGCTAACCTGCATTTCTCCAGCTATCAGCAGTTTTGGAGTTCACTGGGCTGGTGATCACATCCAGCATGCTGCGTTTAAGAGATTGCAGAATCATAGAATGGCTTCAGGAATTTAATTCTTTCATCTCTTTAGCATCAGTGAAATATGACCATTTAATCACATGCAGCACTAAAAGTACTTCCTTCTGTGCAGCTTAAACCTGCTGTCCATTTCTCTTGGTACCCCTTTAATTCCTGCACTGTACAGAATAGCAAGAATCCCTCCCTCTTGTGCTGGTCATGGTCCTAAAAGCTTCTCTCACCTCCTCTTTGCAATCAGTTGGCTCTTTTCCCTTCTCTTTCAGTTACTTTTGGCTACTGGCCACCCACAGATGCCACCAAACTGCCGCTGACCAGCCACCAGGACTTGGGAAATACCACTAAGTGACAGCAAGGAGCAGCAAGGGGACAGCCCATGGGCTGAGCTGGTGACACTGCTCAGGGCTGTGCATCCTCTCGCCAGCTCCTCTTTCTCCTCAGTTCCAGTTGATATTCCTATTCCTTTTCCCAAACACCCAGCTGGCAGCACAGGGAGCCCGCAGAGGGCACTGAACAACTCCCTCCCCATACCAACAGGAAGGTCACGGTCCCACCTGCAGGAACGTCCCCAGGGCCAGGCTGCAGCAGGAAGAATCCCGTGCTGCGGCAGGCTGCCATGTGCTCAGCCTATAAATAGAGCCCTTCAGCCTAATTAATTTTAACTACGGCTGCTGTCAGCAAAAACAAACTCTCCCTGCTCAGCGTGCAGGCGGGAGGCTCACCGTATTTTTCATTGAAAAGCTCTTTCACTTGCTCTCGGAGAATCACCTTCTCCCCCAGCCTGTTGGCATCATCCTCATCTGCAAAGCAAAAAGGGCAGCCAATTACATCCCCCACTTCATTCTGAACCACAGAGAAACCATCCTGCTGCCACCACGCTGAGCTCGAGGTGCTGCCCTGTCCGAGCACCACTGTTCTCTGCCTGCACCTTCTGTGTAAAGGAGCTATAAAACGCGGCCAGATCTGCATCTGCTGCAAGCTGACATGGTTGAGAGCTTTTTACATCCACTTTGCGGTGCTGGAAATGACTGCAAAATATGCAAAGCAATGGAGACTCAGACCCCGAGTGCCACAAACGCTCCCCCAAGTGACATCAAGGAATATGCTAGTGCTTTTATAGCCAGGTTCCTAAGTACAGTATTGTTTTTTATAATACTCCATATAATCAGCTTGGCTTTACTAGCTTTTTTAATTACCCTCATCATACCAAACGATTTCTTCTCTGTTTTCCTGTTTTAAACACCATGCCTGTACCAGCAGACCTCTCACAGCTACACAGCAGCCTCAAGGGGCTCCAGGACAAAATGAATGTGTTTGGTTCCTGCCTGCTTCGGTGCTTTGCCACCCACAGACACCATGGAGTGACCAAATGAAATTCTTCCATATCCTGCCATGGACAGCCCACCCAGCCCTGGGATACAAACCTCCTTCAATATGGGAATCACAGAGGCATTCCCACCAAGAACCGAGTTTGCCATGCAAAAATCAGGTACCTCTGCCCAGGGCCCAGGTGGGCACTGCAAGCCAGGGCACAGCTAGCAAAGACCTGAGCATCTTCTACCCATGCTCTGGGGCAATTTAATTTGATTGTGAGCAATCACACAGCCTGAAAGTTTGCTTTATGGACACACAACGTGTGTTCCTGCCTCCCTGAGTGGAGATGTGGCCCTTGTGGCACAAATCACTGCTGTGCTGCTGGAGAGCTGGGTGAGGGGCAGAAGCTCCATCCTTAACACTCTGCACTCTCAGGAAAGCCTCATCTTGAGCTGCTGAGCCTGAAAACAATGGTTTCTTATTCCCAATGTGTTTTCCTACAACTAGGAAAAAAAGGGGAGAACTTTCTACGAAGGAACATCCGGGCCAAGTTGTGTTTCAAACCCAGAAACGGCAACAGAAGGAGCTTGAAATGAATGGAGCAAAAATAAATAAAATAGAAGAAACTAAAAGAAGCATCCCCAAGGACCTCTGGTTTCCAGAGATGAGGCAGCTGCTGCAAGGGGCTGGCGGGGGGCAAACCCTGCAGGCTCCCTCTGTGACTTCCTTGTCATTTATGCTCAGTTTCTGGGATGTATGCAGACACCCATATGGATATATAGATGGTAGCAGACAAAGAAGCATCAAAGCGACGTGTTCTCACTTGTTTCATTTTCCTACCAGACTGACAAACGCAGAAGCTCTTTCCTTTCCACTAATGCCCCCCAGAGACCCAAAGGGCACAAAGAGAATCCCAGGGTTTGTTCTGCCTTGTGGTGCCTTGTGCGATGGGCAGTGCTCCTCGATTCCCATCCAGGGATATGTGAATGCCATGGCGAAGCTGGAACTGAGCATGCGTAACAGAGAAGCCAGAGAGGAGGCTCTGTGCCGTGGCACCGCTCCCAGGGCCCTGTGATCCCATCACCCCAGGGCAGGAGGGACCTCAGCCTGCCCTGACATTCAGGCATTTACTGCCACCGAGGCATTTCATAGAGCCACAGAACCATTCGGATTGGAAAAGACCAGTAAGATCACCAACTGCTGACCCACCCCCACCAAACCATTACCCACATCCCTCAGTGCCACATCTCCATGTTTTTTGAACACCTCCAGAGATGGTGACCCCACCACCTCCCTGTGCAGCTGTGCCACTGCAGCACTGCTCTTTCTGAGAAGAAATGTTTCCTAATATCCAAGCTGAAACCACAGTATCATAGAACAGTTTGGGTTGGAAGGGAGCTTACAGCCCACCCAGATCCAACCCCTGTGCCATGGGCTGGGTGCCCCCCACTAAATCAGGCTGCCCAAGGCCCACCCATGAGCTGTGGCACCTCCAGGGATGGGGCACCCACAGGTTCTTCTCACTGTACCTCTGGATTAACACACTAACATTACTTCAGGCTGTTCCACAGTGACATGGGCTTAAATGCAATCAGAAGCAGCTCCACCTATGCGTGTTTTCCAAGTGGGACTTGTGGGAGCAGGCACCAAGCATCCAGACACGTGGCCAGACGTGCAGAGAGGATTAATAACAACAACAGAATACTGTTAACACATACTGCATCATTCAGTTCTCGGCATCACAGGGAAACAGAGGAAAAAATACCTGAAATTTGGGAGTTTTACACGTTTTCATTCGCACATTAAAATGCATTTCTTGTCTGCTACCATCTACGATGCATCAACTGAGCTACGTACCATTCAAAGCAGCGTACGCTTTTTCCAATGACGTTATCCGTCTAGGGGCTACAGCACAAGTTAAAAGAAGAAAACAAAAAGAGAGAAAGAAAAAGAGAGCAATGAGTGCTACAGCTTGGTTTCTTGTTCACAAACAAAAGCAAAACCCAGGGCGATGCTCTCCCTATAAAATTCCTCTGGTCCCAAGGCCTCGTGGCACAAAGATGGTGGAGGCTGAGTGCCACGGGGTGACTGGACTGTGCTCTGCACTGATTTATGACATGCTCAATATCTGAGCATCCCTTGAGGTTACAGCGTGGGAGCCCGAGAGATGCACGGGAAAATCGGAGGTTGCAGCAGATGGAAAGCAGAGGGGAATTGGGTTAGTTCTGCAGCAATGGGGGGAAATGGAGAAAAGGGCTCCCTAAGGAGAGGCTGAGCCTCGCTGCTGACTTCGACACAACAAGCGACATCAAAAAGAAATGGATTTCCTGGAGAAGAGCCCCAGCAGGGGGGCTGGGCCAGAATGTGCTGACAGTCCCACAAATGGGAAAGCCCAGGGGAAGGGTTGGGCAAGCAGGGGAGCACATCCTGGTGGGCTGAGCAGAGATAAGAGCAACACGAAGCATCTTGGAATAGGCACAGACATGAACATTTCTAGCAGGCTGGGGAAAGCCGAGGTTGCAAAATTCTGGCCAATGTTTTTTGGTGAATACATAGTGCAAGGAGGAAGAGATGCAAGCAGGGCACGCCAGCATGAGAAAGGAAAACGTGGGGCAGGGATCGGGGTGCTGGGATGGAGCTGAGCACAGATAGGAGGTGATGTCAGCCACCACTGTTATTAAAACCTATTGGTAATAAATCAGTAAAATAAACCCAAACTTTTCCAGCAGGTGGAGATTTCGAGGTGCTGTTATTAAATCATGCTGATTAAGAAAGATAATTTACTTCCTTGCCCTGCTAGTACACATGTGCTCAGCCAACCCCCAGGGTGACACCGCTGCCCTTGGGCACAGAGCATGAAACATGCTGGAGTGCAGCCATGACACAGCATAGCCCCAAAAAACAGAGGTCTGGGGTGACTGAAGGAGGGTATGAGGCTGATGGGGAGCAAAGCAAGAGCAAAGCAAGCACAAAGCACAAAGGCTGGGATTAGCTGGGTGTTAGCACTGCCCTCTCAACGCAGGGATGCTGTGTGAGTTAATGGAAGAGAAAATGAGGAAATGAAAGGCAAAGTTCAAGGCAATCTGAAGCACAGAGGTGTTTAGATACAGGCTAGGAAGCTACAGAGTCATTTATCATAGAACCATATAGAATGGTTGGGTTGGAAGGGTCCTCACGGCCCCCTCTGCCCCACCCCTGCCATGGGCTGGCTGCCCCCCCAGCTCAGGCAGCCCTGGGCCCATCGATGGCATGGGGCACCTGCAGAGATGGAGTACCTACAGCTCAGGGCAGCAGTGCCATGGCCTCAGAGCCCTCTGAGTAAAGAATTTCTTCCCAACGCCTAATGCAAATTTCCCCTCTTTTCATTTAAAGCCATTTATACCATCATCCGCTTGGTGCTCCACCTTCAGATTCACATCACTAACCAGCCCAGAGGTAAACAAGCAATCATTCACCCTGGCTGAAGGGAAGGCAGAGCAGAAGGAAGGAGCACTCAGTAGCTCTGATAGGAGTTAAGCACAGGGGCAGCCCTGGGACTGCAGCAATGGAGCCAACACTGTGCACCGAGGGCTTTGCTCTCCTTTTTTTGTCATTAGGGGCTTCCAACATGAGGCACATCTCATCAAAGTCCTGCAGAGGATGGTGCTCTCATGATTAAAAAAAAAAAAAAAAGAAAGAAAAAGGATGCCTGGATGTGTGGCTTTTTTAATTAAAGAACACTGCCTGCCCTACTTTATTAATTGGAGTATGGGAAATAATCTATCAGGGTGGTAGGGAGTTTGGGGAATAGGACAGATGGAGCTGGTGTACATTTTCAATCAAAGCACATAAAAATTAACATACAGAATGCTTGATTCTTTTTTTTTTTTTTTTTAACCAAAGGCTCAAATGAAGCCTGTTTTGTATCTCTGTGCCTCAGGAAAGAAGAAAAGAAAGGATAAGTGCAGTGTTTATAGCACTGGAGCTTCACCCCATCACTTCCACTTCTGTTCTAATGCTGTGTTTGTGAATTGGATACCAGTGGTGGGGGGAAAGGAAACTGGAATAGAGAATGTCCCATGGTGCCCATGGGACACAACCCCAGGGGGAACCCAGCTGGGTCTTGACTGCTTTGCACTGCAGCCCCCATCCCAACAGTGATGCTCACTACAAGGAGAGCAGGCTGCGATCACAGCTGAACCTCCCAAAGCTGCTGGAAAGCTGTGCTGCAGGGCAGTGCTCACCTCCTTGGGACAATGGGGAGCACTCAAAAAATGGCCCGTTCTCATGAACGCCCCATCTGCTGAGCACAGAGCTCTTTGCACACACACAGCAGCCAGTCTGATCCCTGCAGCTCATACCCAGAGAGAGCACCTCGCAGAGAAACAGAGATAATGTGCAGGGAAACAGCACCAGCACTCAGACTGGACTTCCATCCATTCATCTGCTGCACTCAGAGAATGGGATCCCCACAGAGAACAACAAGAGACCCTGCAGCCCTGTGGGTATTTCCATGCAGGAGTTGCACCATATAGCAAACAAAATATCACAACGCAGCTTGAAGGCAAACCCCATCTCACCCAAGTGATTCACGAGAAAATAAAAGTTTATCTTAAGTTTCCTTTCTCCCTTAAGACATATATTTTTCACTTAACTTTTGGCAAGACAATCCTCAAAAACACAACCTCCCTTATAATTCATAAAGTCATCTCCTGGGCTTTCCAGCTTTTCAAAGCCTTTGCAATGCCGTTCTGTTTGGGAGTAACCATTGCTTTCATTTTAATGCTCCTCTGTGAAATAAAAGAGATTGCCATTGATTTTGTTGTAATGCCAAGCATGCACTTCTGCTGGTCTCAGTGCTACGTGGCAGGGCACCACTACAAGAGATGGAGGTGAAAGGAACATGACAGCCTCTCTTACATTTGAATTTCGTCTAATCTGTGGCTATTCATTGTGTTAAGGCAGATGAAAAGCAATCAATTTTAATGCATGGAGATATACAACTGTGTTACCACCCTCCACTGAGGCAGACGGTGATGGAGAAGCAGGAGAGAGGTTAATTGCTGTCAGTGGGGCTTTTAGGGGGCAGAGACATTGTGAACTCCTCCCGAGCCCCCTCAGGTAAGACAACACACAGATCTTGGTTTTTGTGCTACCATGGGCAAACCCATGGAGCACACATTCAGCTAGGAAAGGAGGAAGAAAAATACTGGGCATTGAAAATAAAATCCAATTTTTCTACATCTCTATCTATCATACTGCGTTTCCAAGCCAGCTGGCAGGCTGAAATATTTGCCTTCTGATATGCTCCTTTGTTAATGGTGTGATTTGTGTCAGATCAGTGTCTCTTAATGTAATTATCCAGATTATAGCAGGGGAGCAGGAAGACAAGATGAGGATGGAGCAGTGGGTGCGTCCTCAGCTCGTTCCCATCCACGTGATTCCACTGAAAGCCAAATTCTGTCCCATTTAAGATCTGGCTGATGTGAGGTGTGACCTCCGTGCTGTGCACCAAAAGATGGGAATCCTAACCCAAACCCAAGGGGTGGTGGGGCACCTCCCCATGGAGATGGCTGGGCAGGGAATGGGGAGCGTGCACTGCATGTCAGACAGACTGCTGTTTTCAGAGCCATCTCTGGAGTCTAACACCTTCCTGCAGCTCCAATGAGGCCGTATAAATGTTTTCCCCTCTGTCAGATTTCTCTTGCCTAAATTGTGCCATCTCCATGGAGGCTGGCCAAGAAAATGGAAAGCCATCAATAAAAGACGACAACACTTTTTGCACCCATCTGTGCTCTTCCTTTGGCTGTAATTACAGACACTGGAAACAAAGGCTGATTGCTGGATGCATTTCCAGCAGCAGCTCTCTTTTTTCAGGGAGCAAAGGAGCATCCATGGTGGGACACCGGAGTGGTGCAAGCTCACAGGTGAGCACACAGCACTCCCTAACTGCTGAACTTGCCATCTGATTGCAACAGACATTTATTATTAAGACCATGCGCTTTGTTAAGTGCAGAAAGCAGACTCCTGCCCTAGATCAGCTCTTTAAAAATGCTGTCATTTCAAGGAAATAGCAGCCATGCACCTGGGTGAAGCTGAGCCCAGCTATCTCGGTCAGGGGAACGTTATCAAATGCATCAAACAAAACATAAACATCCACAATAAAAACAACAAAAAAGGAAACACAGGCAAGCAAGATCAGCTGATAAAATTAGTGTGCCATTCACATCTTGCAACTCCCTGACCAATAACAAACATCAAGGCAAAGCTCTGCTTAGGCAGAAAGGCACCGTCTCTTACCGGGCTTAGGGATGAGTCCTTGGAAAGGCCTGTAAAACAAAGAAGGCAAAATGAAGATTTCGCAGGCAAAATCATGAGCATACACCCGGGAAAACACTCAGCAAGTAATGGATGTGTAGGAAAATCTGTTTTTCCCCCAAGCTCCTCAAGCTTCTCCCACCTCAGGTCTCCAAGAGAAGCAGCACGGATGTCTCTGCAGATGCACACAGCACTGTTTCATCCCACTGAGCTGTTCTGGGAGCTGCAGCCCTGCCAGCAGCACCCTGAGCACCTCCTCACCTCCTCCTTGGGCAGCGGATGGGAGGAGAGAGCCAAAGGATGCCACGCTTTATAGCCCACTCCAAACCATTGGCTGCCAACTGAATTGCTGTCTCTGGGGCTGGAGGTCTGTGTGGTATTTACCAAAGCGATGCATTTAGGTAGAGGTAACCCCATGTCAGCCCCTTCCCCTTTCCCCTGTGGGGTGGCAGGCAGCCCTCGGGGCCGTACCTCGTCACTGTGAACTTGATTTTATCAGCTACAGCCAATATCCTCTCCAGGTTCTGTGAGCCAAAGGTGCATGGCTTGCGGAAGGGGATGCCAGGGGGCAGTCCTTCAATGATCACTGAGCCCGGATTGCTCTTGATCCTCTTGTATGGCACTTGTACAGGGTATTTAATCCCCAAGGCTTCACCTGGAAGAGAAGCAAGAGGTAAGCATGTGGGATGGCAGTGATGTAATTTTGACAGTGGTTCTGGCTCCATCCCAGTCCTCCAAAACCCCACTGCAGAGCCAGGTGAGCTGGGTCAAGGAGCAGCACATTCACCTTTAAGCATGGGGGTAATGGGTCCTGAGGTGGAGCTGGTGGGAAGGATGGAGAACCCACAGCTGTTTTCCTGGGGGCATTACTGTGGATATCACATCCACACTTCATCTCTCACATCTGGCTACAGGATTGAAGGGGAATGGCTTTAAGTTAAAAGAGAGGAAATTTAGGTCAGTTGTTAGGAAAAAATTCTTTACTCTGAGAGTTGTAAAGCACTGGCACTGCTGCCCAGAAAATTTGTGGGTGCCCCACTCTTGGAGTCATTCAAAGCCAGGTTGGATGGAGCCCTGGACACCCTGATCTGGTGGGTGGCAACCAGCCTATGGCATGGAGCTGAAACTAGATGATCTTTATGGCCCCTGCCAACCCAAGGCATTCTATGATTCTATGATTTCCTTGCAATAATTGCAATGGTTAGTTGAGCAATCACCTAGGAACCAGGGCAAGCCTCAACCCCATCTAGAAAATGAGATAATGACATTTCCCTGCCTTGCTTGATAACAGCAGTTGTCCCTAACATCCCCCTGGCAGATGGGAAGAGCAGTACCACAGCATTGGCTGTGGACCCCTTTACTCTCTTCCCAACATTCCCTACCTCCTTCCCACCATACAATCATTGAGGTTACAAAGGACCAGTAAGATCATGTAGTCCAGCTGCCAGCCTTCCACCACCACACCACTGACCACATCCCTCAGTGCCACATCTCCACGGCTCCTGAACACCACCAGAGAAGTCTGGGCAGTCTGTCCCAATGCCTCCACACTTTCTGAGAAGCAATTGCTCTTAGTATCCAACCATGGTGCACCCAACACAACAACAGCAGCTCTAGATGGGGAGGGGAAGCTGAATGAAAGCAGCTGGGAAGGAGGTGTGGGGAGACAGGGAGGGGTAAGGGCAAAAAATCAAGGATGAGGCAGAGGGGAATGAAAGCAGCTCCCACCCCGATTTCTCACCATATTTCTTATTGAACAGGTCCTGGACTTGTTCCCGCAGTGTGTTAGCAATGTCTATTCTGGAAAGCCTGGCATCATAATTTTCTGTAAAATAAAGAAACAATTATGGACTTCTGCTGTTAAATTAAAAGGCACTCTGTGACTTTTAAGTAATACGATTTTCTAATTATAGGAAAGTCCTTATCTTGCAATTAGCTAATCTCTGGAGTAGGTCATTCAAAGTCCTTAAAAATAATCTAAACAGAAATATGTGGGTTTTTTTTTTCCCCCCGCCTGTTTGCTAAGAATAAAAGCTGCATGAAATCAAAGATTCAGTGGTGATAATTACTGGCGTTAAAATAAAACACACTCGAAAGCCTGACAAGCCAAAACCCTTTCAAGGCCTCCATCCCTGGCTGAGGAGTGGGGCAGAGCTCACCCATCCCAAACCATGGGATCCCCATTGCTGCCCCTTTCCCTGCACAGAGCTGCCCCAACAGACCCTCCCCACTGGAGAGATGCACTGCGGATGGGAGCGGTGTTTATATATTAATAAAGAAGCCAAAAAACAGACAAAGTCCAAATCTTAGAAGACTTCATTATGTGTCTCACAAGGTCAGATGGTGAGATAAGCTGTATAATTAGGGCTTCATTCAGAGCCTCTTGTGTGGACCCATGGGACTGCCCACGGCTGTGCACCCGCCCTCCATCTTCCCTTTGGGTCTCTCCCCATCTCTCCTCTCCCACCCACCAAGCCCTGAAATCTCACAGCTCCTCCATTTCCACAGCTGTTCCCTTCAGAGCCCACCTTGGAAGCCCTGTCTCTTCACGGCATCATCCAGCAGTGCATCACCACAGTCGCTGGCAGCTGGGCAGGGGACAGAGAGCCATTAGCATCAGCAGTACCAAAGGGCCATGGGACCACCACGACTGCCTTTGCACGGGGCTAAAACAAGGTGGCACAAGACGTGCTGCAGGGACGTGCTCTCCCCCCACTCCTACCCCATCACTAACAGGTCTCAAGCCCTACCTTTAGCTCCTGGGCTGTCCAAAGCCATCTCCTTAATGCCCTCCGCCAGCAGCTCTGGTCTGAATAACAGCAAGAAGCAGACACAGCGTGATCAGATCCCCATCCAGCAAAGCCATCAACGTTTTACTGCCCCATCTATCACTGAGGATAACGCTCCTACAGCAGCAAACCCACTAAACATATCTGGCTAATGCAATTTCAAAGCTCCTGCAATACAGCGGGGGAACTTCAGAAATAATTTTCATGCTGACAGCCTCTTTAGTGAGCCAATGTAACACTCCATGGGATAAGATTAAGCTTGTGACAGCTGAGTAGCTTAAATCAGCGCCTCCAAACTTGCATGAGATGTGGTCCCAACATTTCTTGGGGACAGGAAAAGCCTGCCTAACTGCTTTCAGTGTACAGAAAGTCATCGTTGTTTGGATGAAAAACCTTTAGAAATACCTAAAGATATTTTTCGTCCATCTCTCCTGGATTCTTTCCCCCACCTTCCAGGACAGCCCCCTCCTCATCACAAGGACAGCATCCATCCACAGATATGCATGGGCCTTGGATGAGCCACTGCACATAGGAAAGCCTTCTCCTTGCCCCACATCTGGCACCCTGAAATTTCAAGGCTTTGGCTGCTTCTAATTAAGCAGATTCACTGCCCAGGACACTGCATGGCTGCTGCATCCCCAGCAGCAAGAGTTCCAACCTGCAGCATCTTCCCATGGGATGGCCGCTCCTCCTGCTCACCTTTTAATGACAAACTGGATGTTGTTGCTTGCTTGGAGGATCTTCTTCAGCTTTGCAATCCCAAAGCAGTTGGGACGCCGCAGCAGGATGCCCTCTGGCAAACCTACCACAAACAGGTCCTCAGGGTACATCAGGAACTTGGAGTAGGGAACTTTGACCGGCTCTGATATTCCTATGGCTTTCGCTGCACGAGAAACAGATCCCATTAGTTTGACATTGGATCAATGCAGCAGAGATATGGTACATCAGCACAAGTTGAAGAGATCTTCAGAGAGTTTCTGGTTACCCTGTGCCCAGTAGGGATGCCCTGTGATGGGATAAAACCGGGTGGCCACCAAATGTTTGCACTGGGGACTCCATTCCCAGGCCTCACTGCCATCCCTCAGGCACACATGGAGATGGGGGACGTGGCTCCCAGCCCATCACTGGGAGGGCACTGTGCAAAGCCCACTGCTCTGCTGGCAGCTTGATCTGCAGCTCTCCCCTGCCCCCCCCCAAGAGCATCGTGGTCCTTCTCCTTTTCTCCCTTTACGCACAGAGGTTGGCTCTCACAGCTCTGTACTTTGGAGCTGCTGGATGCACAGAGCTCAGTTTTCTCTCCTGTTTTCTCTCCTGTCCCCAGAAGCAGCAAAAACCTTTTGCCAGTTCACCAAATGCACGTGTGACCTTGCTGATTTTTTCCCAAGTTAAGTAACCTGAATAAAAAGTAGCGGGAGGTAAAAGATATGTTTTCTCTGCACCTCCCAATGCCCTGCTAAACTTAATTAAGCTAGGAGACATCCTTAGGCACCGAAAGCAGGTAATAACCTGATTTTTGTTTATTACCTAGCAGACCTCTCTGTCTTTCTTTAAAGGAAGGAGAAGTGGAGGCATGGGATACATGACCCCAGGGCAAAGCACGCCATGTCCCCGCATCCCACCAGCCCTCCTGGCCACCACACAGCCCAGTCGGATGGAAAATCCTCTTGGACATATTTCAAACCAGTGCTGGGTGGAGCCATCAGCCCCCACTTCGGTGGGAGGAAGGCTGAAGGTCACCATGGCAATTCCTGGGCTGTGCCAGCACAAAGGCACCGAGAAAGCCAAGGGGAAGAGCTGCAATAACGAGGCCCAGGGAGACTTCAAACGTGCTCAGAAGCCTGGCAGACAGTAAATGAACAAATTAGATTGCACCTTTACTCAGCAACTGGTTTGGAAATAGTAAGTGGCATTTCTTAGCAATTAGGATCTCCTCACGGCCGAAGCCAACACTTGGCATTACAAACCTGTTAATGACCAACTTACCGTATCTCGTGTTGAACAAAATTTCTACTTGTTTCCTCAAATGACTCAAAACGTCCCCTATACCATCTGCAAAAAAATTAAAAAGAAAAAAAAGGGATGCTCTGAGAAATCAGCAGCTTCCAGCACAGCACTGATCTCCCCAAGGAGGCAAAAAATAGAAGTGAATCTGAGCAAAAGATGCTACCAATGCAAGACGGGAGGAGAGAGACCTCTACTCATGAGTGGATTGGCACCAGTGAGAGTCCCCACACCAGCCAGCAGTGCTCAAAGGCTGAGCTCTGAGTCCCCAAAATACAGAGGTGCCTCTCTGCACGGAGGCTGAGTTCCTCCCAGATAACACAGGCAGCCCACCAAACACAACTGTGTCCATCAAACCTCACAAAGCCTTGCATCTACTGGAGGTGCTCCAGATTCACCAGAACCTCACCTGATCCCTCCATCTGTTTCTCTTCATGTCGTTGCTCCTCACCAGGCCCCTTCTCTGTCCCTGCCAAGAAAAAAGAAGGGTTAGCAGTGGCCAGCACCAGCAAAATCAGACCACGTATCAGTAGGAACCCTCTGGGTCACCCACAGGCACAGGTTGGGTCTGGCAGTGCCATGCTTTCCCCCAGGAGCTCGGTTCATGCCATGGCAGCACCCAACGAGCATCACCTGCCTGAGCAGGACTCTGTGAGAAGGTCCTGACTCCATCACCTTGCCTTGTCACCCACTGCATTGGATGACCAGTCTCCTGGATACGTAATTTCCATTACCTGCTACTGCATCTAGGATGTAGCTCGACTCCTCCGAGGCCATGTGCGTGGTCACTGGGTCATGCAACTCATCTGAACTGGGCGATCGGTCTGTGGACAACACAGCACGGGCAGCTTTTGTCTTAAGGAGAAGGGCACCATCCCTCAAAAGAGGTTTCAGAGGGAGGTGGTGGCCCATCACAAGGGCTGAACAAAAGAGCATCCTCAGCCTGGGTGGGAGCCCCATGTGCCACGGCCTCCCAGAAATGCACCCCATCTCTCTCAGACCGAAGGGAAAAAGTTTCATCTTAACCTCTACAGAAGGCGAAGAGCAAAAACAGCCCTGAATTATTTAATTGGCTTAACTCCATTTGGACACTCAGTTCTGGCTTAAAAAGTTAATGCTGCTTGACTTAACTACTCCACGTTGGGAAGAGCATTCCACTAATGCTGCCTTCCTCCACGAAATGACACCTCCTGAAGTTTCCCTTATGTATATATGTATGCCCTCTCAATTTAAGCCTGCATCCCCTAATACCAGACTGCCCAACGCCCTCGAAGAGCTATCCAAATTTAGTTTTAAATAAACCTTTAGCTAATTTAAATACTTCAATCGGGTCACTTTTTAATCATCTTCTCGCAGGATAAATAATCCAAATTTCATCAATTTCTTCTTGCACCTGAGCACTTTTCTATTAATCATCTTCATTGCCCTAAGCTGTACTCCCTTTGATTGAACTATATCTTCAAATAAGGCAATAAAAAGTGGACTCTGGACTTCAAGTGTGATCTACCCAGTGCTGGAGAAGTGATAACACCTCCTCCTCCCACACGCTGCCAGCTTGCCATGCATTAACTTTCTTCTCTTCCACGAGCTGCCAAGTTGAAAATTAAAATGTTTGATCTACCGCCATACTTTGCTCCTTTCCTTCCTCTATAGTAACCATATGTTAAATCCATTCCATGATAATCCTGGAGAGACTCCCAGAATACCTCTGTATGAATGGGATTGGTGCATTTGGGTGCAATTGAGATTGCAGCAATTTGGGTACCACAAGATAAGTGCAGATGCAGTTGGACAAGTTGGACAGGGCATCACTGCTGCCCCCAGCATCACTTGCACTCAGGCTCACTGGGAGTCATGTTGCTGCCCTAATTCTGCTGAGATGATTAATTGATGGTTGTAAAGCACACTGACAATGCAAAGTGCTACCTATCCACTCACTAAACCCTAAGGACAGCCCTACCCTATTTGGTGTGATACCCAGGTCTGGTAACTGCTCTAGGCACAGCTGCTTCTCCAAACAAAACTTGGAAACAGAAGCAGCAGGGAGCTCAGTGCCCACCTGGAACAGTGATCTGAATGATGTCCAGCTCATCCGGCTCGATTTTGATCTGTCTGATCCCACCCAGCTCTCCTGAGGTACCTATAGGAGAAAGACAAGCAAAGACAATCTCCAACGTCAACCAGAGTCGCTGTGTCTGCACATCTTGGTGGGCAACTGCATCACCCATGAGCCAGAGATCACCAGCTCACTGAGCACCTCGTATTTCCTGGGATGGCATAAAATCCCCCCCAGCACCAAGAGAAAATGAATGATTCCTCACCTGGTTCGCAGCTTTCAGGAACGCCACATTTCTCTGACCTGGAAGGGAAAGGCAGATGAGAGGTGCTAATGGAGCAATCAAAGGGAAAGCTTTAAACCCATGCACATGCATTGGACCCATCCCAGGGGCTTTAACAGCCTCAGACCTTGCAGACTCCATCACACTGCAGCACAGAGAAGTGCATAAAGCCTCATTACACTGTGGTTACTCACGGAGGAAAAGCAAATAGAGAGAAAGGAAAAAGTCAATTGATTTGGTAAATATTTATTCTGCCCAAAGCTTTTCTCCCCTGGATACTGGGCACTATCCCAAACTTGTGTCTACAGTTAACTTCACATGCTTAGAAATTTATGTAAGGTGTTCAGCATCCAAATTAGATTACTTTTCATTCTCGGGATGGATATTCTCTCTGTCTTTCTTAAACAACTGCTTTGGCAGTAAAGGACAGAAGGAACGGCACTGGGGAGCCACAGTGCTGGTGCTCTGAGGGAAAGGACAGCCCTTCTGATGCAGCTTCACATCTGTGCTGGCTCAGGGGGGTTAAAAGCACCCCACCCTCACCTCAACCCACTTAATGGCATCTGAATTCAGGCAGTGCAATAAATTTGTTTTAAGGACAGATCTTAACTGGGCAAAGAGGATGCCTAGGCCTGTAAGTACAGTGTGTGTCAGATCGGGGCTGCAGGAAGGGCTTAAAACTCTCCCAGGTCAGGTGAAAGGCAGCCTTTCCCTGGGGAAATTTCAGAAGATGCCCTCCCCAAGTGCAGTGCAGTTCATTACCCTTTGCCCTGCAGCATCTGGCACTGCCCCAGACCCAGACTCTGACCTGGGTGGACCACAGGTATGGAAACACTGTGCTCCTACTGAGAACAGAGCTTTCCTCATTGGCAGGAAGAACAAAGCAGGATTTGATTATTTGTCAAGTACACATATGGTTTTCCTGCAGGTATGTGTTATCGAGGCACTGGGAGGGTTAATTTCTACCTGCAGGAGGGCAAAGCAAGTTTTGCACCACCACCACCACAGCAAGGCACAATTCCCTTTGCAACCAAGAGAATGAGAAAAGCATGGTATGTGGCCTCACTCAGCCTGCACCCACACAACACAGAGTGGGACCAACGCACACCTATACCCACAACCAGGATAGATCTGACAGATTCTGAAGGGACCTCAGGGTGATCTGCTGCTTGTGCCAAATTTAGGCCAGCAGAAGGTCAGCCCAGCCCAGCATCACCATGGGAAGCACCACCCAAACCTGGCTGAGTACAAACTGCCCCTACAACACCTACTTTTCTCCCATAATGTCTTCTGCAGTTGTTTTGTCTGCCCCATGCAACCCCTGCCTGGCCTCAGCTGCTGAAATGGGGCAGGAGCAGCATCAGCAAGGGTGGGACAAGGATGCTAAAGCAGAGATGTGCCACTCATTTTCCACCTCTTGCTTTGCTCAGCACCCCTCTGTCTCTCTGCCTGCTTGCTTTCGGTCACACCGATTTAATTGCACGGTGAGATCTCCCGTGGCAAAAATTAAGCACTGCCCTAATTGCAAATGTTAACAAATGAACAGAAAAATGAGAAGCCTCAGGCCAGACTTCAGCCCTGCAGTGTGCTCGGGGGAGATCTGCAGCAGCAGTTTCCCCTGCTCACCCCCGAGCATGGTGTGTTTGATAAGGGTGGTGAAGCACTGCACAGGCTGTGCAGAGAGGTGGGAGATGCTCCACCCCTGCAGGCACCCAAGGTCAGGCTGGATGGGGCTGTGAGCACTGATGGAGCTGTGGGCATCCCTATTCATTGCAGGGGGTCGGACCAGATGGCTTTTAAGGGTCCCTTCCACCTCAAACCACTCTGTGACACTACGATTAGTGCTGCTCTCCTTGCTAAATGCTTCCAGTCCCGAAGCTGTGTGGGACAGGTGACGGCTCACATCACTCCTGCAGGTAACATAGCACCGATTTCACCCCAAATCAACAATTCCAGACTTTGTTCTTCTGACACCCGAGTGCCACTTACCTGCTGGCAGCCTGTGATGTCCCCGCCAGCTCCAGCACGGCCCCGCGGTGCGGCTCAGGGGAGATTTCCCCAGGGGGACTGGAGGGCTCCAGCTTGGTTGGATCTTTGGTAAATTTACTTCCTGGTGCCAAACGTGCAGAGTGGGTTTGGAATTAGAAGCAAAACCAGAATAAGCAACCAGAGAGCTTAAAGTGCAACAATGCTGCATCCCCACCTCCGTGTCCTTCCTCTCTAGTCCCAGAGCTAAGGGCAGGGAGAGGAATGGGTTTTTAAGAGCTGCCTGCTTGCAAAGAAGAGGGTGCTGATTTAATTGGGCTTGCAAAGGGAGGAAGGATGTGCTGCAGGGACACAAGAGGGGACAAAAGGATTCAGTCACCACCAAACACCCCTTCTTCCCCTTCCCTGTTCCTCAGCAATATGAAAGGAGCTGAAACGAAGCCTCAGCAATGACCTTGGAGATGAAAAGGGTGATCTGATGACAGGGTAGGAAATGAGAACCATGCAGGGAATGTGAAGGAAGTGCTGAAGAATTGGTGCTGAGGGAAGTAGGGGATGGAATTATGCAACCAGGCTTCAAAAACCATGTAGGTGTCCTCTTAAATAGCTGTAAAGGGCCTCTGGCTGGAATCAAAGTGCCACTGCAACATCCCCACCCTCCCAAAACACATCCTGCCCCATGGGAAAATGAAGATTTCTGGCTTTAGGCTCCAGCCTGGATGGAAGGGCAGGGCTCTGGCAACAGGAGCAGCAGCAATAGAGAGCCTTAAAGATGCTGTTTATCTACCGACAGTCCTTTTAATTTGTACTTTCCATGGACTGAATCTTATTCTTGCAGCAACGAAGCTTGCCTTCAGCTGCTACCCAGGGGAGTAGCAAAAATAGGTTTCCTAGCAGTGGTGGGTATTTTAATTAAAGGGTGAGCAAAACTGTAAGGGGAAGCTTTGGGATGCTTTATAGTTGGCGAGTTAAAATACGGCTCCGCACTGAAAAAGTGCCTTTGCAAAACTGGCACCTCCTGACTCAGCAGATGCTTTTTTTTGCACAGTCAGATGTGCTGACACGAATCACAGTAAGACAGGTTTAATGTATTTTGCTCCTGGTAGCCCTGCGGGGAGCAGGAGGGGAAGGAGGGGCCGTCACCCGCACGGCTTTGCTTCCTCATCTCCACGTTTCCATTTGCAGCTCCGTGCCAAGTGACCCCGAGCTCCAAGCACAGAGCTTTCCTGCTGCAGCTCGCAGGCGTGGGCAGGCAAGAGCTGCTCCATCACCCCCTGCATCTGAAACGCCTCCCCCAGGCAAACTGTGATGGATTTGCAAGGAAAATCCAAGCATCCAAGGTGCAGTTCAGAGCTCCAAACCTTACGGGTGGGTGACAGCTTCAAAATCGTTTTCTAGAGCAAGAAAATCACAAATGGGACTCCAGAACCATGGAGGTGGGACCTCCTCCAGGCTATGCTGGGACTCTGCCTGGGAGCACCCTCAGGTTGTTAACTTGGCCTGTGGAGATGTCAGAGGTGTTGTCTGGGAAGCTGGCTGGCAGCTGGGAAGAAAGGAAAACCCCAAACACGTCTTTACTTGTGAGCCAAGCCCAGGAGCAGGGCTGGGTGATAAATCTGGGAGTGCCTGGTGCTGTTCCAGCAGTCCCTCCCCAAATCAGGGCACTGGGACGTGGCAGCCTCCCCAGCTCCTGTCTTGCTTTACTCATTGGGAAGCACCGAATGTGGCTTCTCGACCTCCAACAAGCAGATTAAACACGGGGAAAAGAAAGCAGAAGAACCTCTCCCAGTGTTTTGTCATTGATCAAATTTTTGCTGTTTTTCTTTTAAAAAACAGCCAGCCTCTGGGCGATGCTAACACTTCCCAGTTAAAATTAAGAGAATCATTTACCAGGGAGGAACCCAGTGGTGACTCTTCTTACCCACAAAAGCACAGGAACACCCCACATGCCTCCTGCAGCTGTGTGCAGGGAGCCAGCCCAGCCTCACGCCTCACATATTCCTCCTTTCAACCTTCAGGACACAATTTGAGGGGTGCACAGTGCCTATTCTGAGACCAAGCAAAGCCAGCCTGGGTTTGGCACAGACCAGGTTTCTTCTCACTGAGTGTAAAGATGTGTCCTACACTTGGCTGTTTGCATTTCAACCCTGCTTCTCTGGATAATCTTTCAATTCACAGGCAATAAATCAAAAGACATGAAGAACGTACCTGTGAAAATTCTCTCATCAAACATCCTAGGAGGGAAGGAGAAGAAAAGGATTAGAAAGAGATGCTTCTAATGACTGAGTTTTAGGTTTTATTTATGAATAGGATTAAACTGAATCAAAATAGTCAACTTATTCATTCCCTCAAAAAAGAAAAAAAAAAAAAGGCTCTTAGCCTGTTGTGCAACCAAGCAATCTTACAGCATATGCTTTTTAACCAAAGCACTTTTAAATCTCCATATAAGTTGTTCTCTTCATTTAATTAACTTATTAAATGAGGCTGTTCGAGTCTGGTTCCATAAGATGATGGGACCACAGCAGGCAGAAGCTTTCACTCCAGCAGAAAAGCAGTGCCCAGGACACAGCACCCTGCCTGCATGTGATACATCCTCATGGTGTCATCAATAGAGGATTTCAGATGTCCACAAATGATCACCTCCAAGTACCCAGGTGTGTGAGTAATTATGGCTGTTTCTCCTCCCAGACACCAAATGTCACCTGATAGTTGTGCTGTGATGGAAGGGTCCCAATGCCAATTGAAATGCTGAGTGGGACACCAGCAATGCCTCACAGCAGGACGACAGGGGCTATGGATGGCCCTCTGGCATACTTACAAAAAGAGAAAGAGAGATAGAAGTTGGGGACCAAAACCCCCTGCTTATCTCTTACACAACAGCTGTTCAACTCTTTTCCATAAACAAGGATAAAATGAGTTCTGGGTGTAAAACAAACCCTCTGAGAGGCAACAAACAGCTTAAATTCCCAGTCGTGATGATGGCTGTGTCCTCATGGAGCTTCCAGGGCACCCAACCAGCCAAAGGTGTGCTGGCAGAGCCAAACCACGAGCCAAATGTGCAGTAATTGCCCCATTCATGTTAAACAAACCAAGCTAACCCCAAGATTCACGATTCAGTGCAGCCCCCTCCTGCCAGTGGCAGCCCCTGCAGAGGATGGCCACTCACCTTTTGATGACAAAATGGATGTTGTGCCTCTCCTCCAGTATCCGCTTGAGTTTGGGGACGCCGTAGGTGCAAGGTCTTTTGAAGGGTATTTTATCAGGGATGCCAATGATTTCCACTGCCTCGGGGTCGCACGCGATTTTCCGGTATGGGACGGGGACCATGTGGTCTAACCCCAAGGCTTCAGCTGGAAGGTGAAAGGTTTTCACTCAAACACACACTTTTCCTTTGAGGAATGATAAAAATGAAGGTGAACTCAAGGTGATCTGAAAAGCAGAGCGTGTGTGCAGAACGTGTGTTGTCTTATCTACTGCTTTTCCCCCAGTAGGTCTCTGAGCCACGCAGCTCATATCTCAGTTATCACTTCATAGCCCACATATAGCTCCTGTATAACTCCTGACTTATACCACAGGTAACAACCCACAGCCCATCCACGAGCCACATCCTAACCCTATGGAGATGTAACCCCAAAGCACCTCGCCATGCTCAGCACCAAAGATGCTCATAAGCAGCACAAGCAGGAAAAAAAAAGCACTTGGAATAGCAACGATTTTCCTTTTTATCTGCCACATTAACTTAATATGGCTGCACACCATTGTTCCCCTTTGCCTGCAGTGCTGGTGGGCACTGACCTGGCCATGCCATGCTCCACACCAGGCCAATTTATGGCTGAGTTATAAATTCCTCAACAGGGGAGGCTCCAAATGGAAATATTGACATAACCTTCAACAGACACCCAGACAGGGAGCTGCTGGGCTAAATGTGTTAAGAAGGGAGCTCTAGCATATGGCTCCTGCTGCTGTGTTAGGGAACAAAAATGATTGCTATATAATGATATGCAAACCACAAGCAGTGCAGATGCATAATGGGATATTAACTCCTACTCACCATATCTGCTGTTAAACAGAATTTGCACGCACTCCCTAAGGGTGTTGATATCTTCAGTTTCTTTTATAAAACTGTCCCACTTATCTATCAAAACAAAATATAAGAAATAAGGAACTTCCATATGGTTCATACACAGCAGATGCACTTTTCTCGTGCAAAGTGTTGAGAATGAGGAATGAGACTTTGTTGCTTTAAAAATAATTATTTCCCCCTTCCAGAGCAGATTCTGCCAGGTTGGCAGCTAAGGTCTGGGCTTCCCCATCCCCAGCCTGGAGCAAGCTCTGCTGCAGCTGTGCATGTGCACAGCAGATTCCTGAGGAATGACCCCATAAAACATTTCAGCCCTGAAATGAAAGACCCTCCTGGACAGAGCTAGCTCCACCTGAAGCAAACCTCTGAAAGGCACGGCAGTTTCACCGAGGAGCTTTTCCCATACGTTCTCTTTCCCAACTTTCCCACTCCTAAAGCAGAAAGGTGAGGGTTTGGTGCAAACACGTCAGCATTTCTAGGCTGCACATCCCTGGGGTGGGGTTAGGTGGGGATGTGGCAGTCTTTTCCTCTCACCAATCCCCTCTGGGAACCACTGGCACAGTCAGATTGGGGTGAGAAGGTTCCACCTGTTTCAAAACCACATAAAACTTTCAGCTCAGGAAAACGACCTCACCAGAGCCGTGCCCTGGTTCCCCATTAGGATTGGGATTCCCCAGTGTCATCTGTGTGGTGCCATAACTGGTCCCTTCAGGTGGGGAAACCTTTCCCAGAGTGGTGCAGGAACACAGAATGGCTTGAGTTGGAAGGGACCATTAAAGGTCATCTGACCCAACTCCCCTGCAATGAATAGGGTCAGCTAGATCAGCTGCTTAGAGCCTCATCCAACCTGACCTTGAGTGTCTCGAGGGATGGGGCATCCACCACCAACTCTGGGCAACCTGTGCCAGTGCTTCATTATACTTATTGTAAAAAAAAAATAACTCCATGGTGAGACACTGACCTGTCTTGTCGTGGACAATGGAGAAGAGGATGCGCTTGGATGAGTGCACATTCTGGATGAGAGGACCCCCGGAGACAGCTGATTTCTGTCCTGGACACAAGGGAAGATGAGAAAGTGATGTTAAGAACCCCAGAGGGGCTTAGAGCATCTCAGCAAGCTCCTGGGTGTCTGCTGGTGATACCAGCCCGGGGCTAGGCAGCTGTGACACATCCCTCACCCCCTTTACCCACCCAACCCCCAAAGCAAAGCACATCCACGGCGACACCACAGAGGCACCCAGTGCAATGCTGGGGCAGCACTGCAGGGCCTCTTCATCTCTGTGAGGGCTGCACAGCTCCAGGGCCAATACAGTGTCCACCTTCCAGCCACAGCCCGCTGGCCCCATACGCCCGGCCCCGAATGTTTCCCTCTCAGCTCCATGGGGCTTTGCACCAGGCCCTCGTCTGCGAGCAAACTCGAGGCTATTACCACAGCAGTCGCTGTACTCCTGTGAGGAAGGCACCTTCAGCTCTCCCGAGGGCCTGGGCAGCAGCACCTCACTGGCCATGGTCGCCCCGTGCAGACCGGAGGACACCTCCTGCTTTAGGTCCATGGCGATCTGCGTAGGCAGTGAGACACCATATAAAAAATTGGTCACGGCTACGGCGGGGGGAGCGTCCTGGCCAGAGGGTTTGGCCATGTGGCTGTTGGCACCGGGGTCTCGGCTGCCCTTGGGCACGAGGGAGGTACAAGTCAACTCTACGCTAGGGTTCGGCTCTCTGCTGGGTTCATCCGCCGGCCTGAAGGGAAGAAAAGGAGAAAAAGAGGAGAAAACAGGTTCTGCTGGGTCTGTGACGCTGCTGGAGACCTGAGAGTGGAACACCATGGCCTGTGTGTGCTGGGAGCTGCCACCAACACCTTGTGCCTTGGAAGGGGAAAGCTGCCCAAGGCGAGGGTGCACAGAACTCGAAACTATGGGGACAGCGGCTCCAGGCAGTCAGTTGGGTGCCTATGGAAGTTGAGCGCATCCTCTGCCAACGTTCAGGGTGGATGTGAGTAGGAAAAATAAGCCGTATGAACAAAGACATGAAAGGGGAAAGGGGAACCTACAAAAGGGCCGTGCCCAAGTGGGTGGGATCCCCTGCACTTAAATCCTTTTTTGCTCAGGGTTTCAGAAATGACAGCAGATACCCAACCCTCTATAGCTTCTTTGGGAACCTGCACTATTTTCTCCTTTAAGCAGAACAGGTTAGCTTATGGCAGTGCATAATGCTTATGGCAGTGTAAAGCCCTCCAGTCCCATAGCCTGGTGTGTGCTTAGGAATAAAACAATTTGTGGGACTGTAACCAAGTGTCTGAGCTGCCTTTCTCAGCACTGAGGCCTCACGGCACTCTCACCAGGGACCTCAATCAGCCCAAGGATGCGTTGCATACCTAGGAAGTGCACATGCTTCACATGAGACAGGCAGCCACGGCTTCACTGAACGGCTCAAATTCTGCGTGTCCTACTTTTAGCCATCTCAGCCTGATTTTCCAGAAGTGCTGAGCCTTCAAAGGAGGTATTTGTTAGTGCTCAGCATTTCTCTGAACGATCCAAGGTGCCTCAAGTCAGGCGAGCTCAGAGCATCCAAAACCAACAAGTCCCTTGTGAAAACATGGCCACGGCAGCCGGGGGACTTCACCCTGCTGCTGTCCCCCATCTCCCTCGTCCTCTGGCACAGAAACACATTTCAGCTTAGAAAGGAGCTTGCGACATTTACACTGAAAATCTCTTTGGAGATGAGAAAGCACTGAGCATACTGCAGCTGAGATGCTGGCAGAGTGGCACAAAGCACTGCAGTTAACCCTGTGCACTGCCACATGCTTCTAACAGCAGCTCCACCGCACAGCAGTGTGATGAGAGCCAACGGGCCAAGGGTTCAGCCCCCTCCAGCCCCTCCAGGATCCCTGCAGTTACCTTTTTAGCCTGAAGCGGATGCTGTGGCTGTGCTCTAAAATGGCCATCAGGGACTTCACGTCGTACTCCATGGGTTTTTTGAAGCTGATCCCTTCAGGCAAGCCGGCCACCGCCAGCAGTCCCGGCTCCTTCAGGAAGCGTTCGTAGGGCAAAGGGACCACGCTGCTCTTCCCAACTGCTTCACCTGGGGAAGGGGCACAGTTACACAGAGCTGGGACCCCCGGCCCTTCAGGCGGGGCTCGAGGAGCAAACCTAAAGCAGGACTGCAGGCATCGCCGTGCAGAGCCTGATGGAGACACTGTGAGAAGCAGGCTTAGCCTCGAAGGATCTTCAAGCTCTATCTAAGCACTGAGGTCTCCTCGTGGAGGTGGCATAGTGAAACCCTCAATTAGGGAGCCCACCTCCCAGGGACCCCAGACCCGTGCCAGCAAGGGATCTGTGCTGAGAATGACAAAGGAGATGTGTCATCCTCAGCTCGCATGGGTTTCCATCTTATGTTTACTGAAATATTCTGCGTGTCTTACTTCAGTACTTTTTCTTTACCTCTTGGAGAAAAGGAAAGCACTCTGATACCCACTGCTGTGCGGCAGCCTTCGCCCACAAGGAAAGAGAAGAAAATCCCCAGAAGCTTCCCTCTGTTCCATGATTTGAAGGCAGAGTGAACACAGACACTTCTGCCCACCCATTCCCCTTCAGCAGCCCCACAGTCCCACGAAGTGCAGGGCTGGCTGGGTGACACGAGGCACCTCTATACCTTTGATAACCAAACATTCCCATACAGCCAGGAGCACGTGGCTTCCCCTTCCCTGGCAGCACAGGATGACCACACAGCATCACTGAGATGCAGAGATCTGCTAAAAGGTCTGAAGAGGCCCCGTGCCCACATCTGGGATGGCCAAGGCAGCATGAATCCCAGAGAAGATAGAAAACCAGGCTCTGCCAAAGCATTTTGGGGGAATTTGCCAACTCCCTTGAGCTGCTCTGTCCTGAGCAATTCCTTTGGAAGCCAACCCCACCTGGCTGCAGCCACTAAAGCTGGTGCTTGAAGCACGAAGCAAAAGAAACAGCCGTGCATGAATGTGACCTGTCTGGCAAAGCAGAACATCTGGCTGCATGGCATGGGTTCACTTCTCAGCTCCTTTCCCATGGGGTCTCCATCCATGCCCCAGCACTGTGGTCAGGAGCAGAAAACACTATGGGACATTTGAATAGTGATTCTCCTTAAAATCTTGTGGTTCTTCTTTCTCTTATAAAAAAAAAAAAAAAAGACGCACAAAAGATCTGACAGAAACCCTGGAAATCCTATGGCACTGTCAGCAAGTCCTTATTAAAAGTGATTTCTTCAACATGTTCTTTGAAGCAACGCATGATAACTAATGATGTGTGACTCGCACAAGCCATCAAGGTTCCTTATAGCTGGGCTGGATAATATTTTAATTAAGACTATAACAGAAGTTTCAAACCAAACCTTTGAACCACAACACTGCAAGAAGACTTTCTGCAGGCTCAGAAGGCACTGCTGCCTCGATGCGCCGGCGTTAGCAGCTTTCCACCTCCCACCATCTTTGCTATGGGAGGAGGACGATGCCCAAGCGGCCCCTTATCAAGCCAGCACTCAACAACTCCCTGAACACATTTTTATGGGGAGCGTGTTCCTGTCAAAGTGACCTTCACCAAGCCTTGTGCTGCCACGCAGAGGCTCATGGTTTAGCTAAAGAGAGACAATAATCATCATTAATGCCTGTTTAATAGAAGCTGGCGGTAATCAGTCATCCTGTTGGTGCGGAGATTACCCGGCTCTGGAGGGAATATGCCATCTTTTTGACTGAGCATTCTCTAAGATTTTTGTTTCCAATCCCTGTTGATGGGAAGAAACTGAAAGGATAAGAAAATTTAAAAAAAAAAAAAAAAGGGAAAGAGATAACTCCTACTTTCCAACAGCCCTGTCGGTATTGGAAATAGAATTCCCCTGGGGCACCTACTGCTTCTCCCTGATCAACCAGGAAAGGCTTTTCCCTGGGACCAGCCTGGGGACGCAGTGCAGCACCACAGAAGCTCTTCTGTTGGGAGATGCATCCTGCAAGTCAGGCACTGCATCAAACCCACACACGTCCTCCACATCACAAACAGCATCTCCAGCCTTATCCTTATACACAGGCCATCTAGTTCATCCAGCCCCATGCAAATGAGCCCCGGTAAAACTTACATAATCTAAATACCTAATTATATAAAAGAATAATTCTTGTATTCCCCGTTGGCTTTACAGCCTGCAGCAGGAAAACGCAGCCTGCAGCTCTAACCCGAGCAGCCCCAGCTCATCCACTTGGCTTTCTGTATTCCTTTCTCCTCGTGACTTGGGATGAGCTCTTAAAGGCAGCAAGAGGATTTGATTACCCCCTTTAATGGGAATACCACATCCAAGCCCTTTAAGTGGTTTCAGAAAACCTCCACTTCCGATCCCAACTGCTCTGCCCCAGGGGAAGCAATGCTGTCTTCCCTCCACCTCCAAAGCCTGCCATACGTGCTTCAAACAAACAGCAGCAATGCTGTGTGTAGGTGGGAGTGGGCACTGAAACGTGGAGTTACACCACAACCAGGAGCCCTACAAGTGCTCCCCATTGAGGACCCGTAGGGGATGTTCTGAGTGCAGAAGGAGAGCTGCCACAGCTCCAGCATCCACAGCTTGGGCCCAGAGGGAGCCCTGCAACCCACCAGGCAACGTAGCAGCAGCCATATGGTCATCTACATTTTAATTGCAGGAGCTTTATTGCTGGGGATGATGCATGTGTTGGAATGGCACCAGCTTGTCTCTCAGAGCTGAGAAAATCATCTTTCTGCTTTTAAGCAGAGCTGCCATGGAAAGGGGAGAGCAAGGTGCAGAGCCTGGGACACCTGTGAAGGGCTGTATGGGCAGCACTCAGGATGAGGGTGCATTTGAGAACCCCACTTAGCCCACAGCAGAGGCTTCAGCTGGCCGGGGGGCTGCAGGGTGCTCCCCCCAATCACACAGTGCTGCCCATTTGGGGTACAGCCCCTTCCACTGCAAAGGGACAAGGCAGTGACTGGACCTGCTCCCAGCACAGCACTGACCCCACACAGGAGCAGGGCTCGCTGTTCTGGGTGCCAGTGGTCCCAAAGCCACAAGGTGGGCTGGTGCTGGCAATGCAGCGAGCCCCAGGGCCATCCAAATCCCCAGATGGAATTGTGAAGGTTCTTACTATAAAGCACATCAAACACTTCCTCTACCATCTTCCTGAGGAGGTACACGTCTGATCCCTGGTCCGGGGAGACCCTGAGCATGCTTCGTCCACACTCCTTTGCCTTCTTCTGCGCCTCTGCGTCCTGCTCCCTCCGCTGCTGGACTCCTGGAAGAAAATGGGAGATGCTGCAATGGGAAAAGGTTCAGTGGACAACGCTGTCAGCAACTTTCATTGTATGAAATGATGAAACTAGCCGGTCAACATCAACAGCTCATCACACAGCCTGTCCATGCAAGACCGAAACCCACAGCTGCCAGACTCTGGGGTCAGCAAAGTCCTTTAAGATGCATGGGGAAAGGTGCAGGGATAGGCAGCACTGCCATGGTGCACCCCAGCGAGCTGTGGGCATGCTCAGCTCACACGTACCCTCCTTCACTCCTGTTTTACACACTCAGCTGCACTGACACCATTGTGATTAATTGGCCAGCGCGTTTCTTTTCTCTGGTTTCAATCTGCTTAGCCTTCAATCTCCCCGAAAGAGAAAATCCGCCTTTCTCAGAGGCTTTTTTACCCTTCAGCGTCACATAACTTGGTAATACCAGCTATTTCCTGCTAATTTCCCCCATTAAACCTCAAATAAAGCATATCTTCAGCAACGACTTCCTCGCGTCTCTAAATGCACAGAAAATTAAACACTACAAGTGCATTATTGCCATTCTAGCTAAACCGATTCACCAGGGATTTTCAGTGGCAAAGGACTAATTCCTTCATCATCCTCGACAGGCTCTCACCAGCCATCCAACCTGGCTGCTGCTCACAGAGGGCTCAGCCATCCTTCCTGGCACAGGGGGACAGCAGTGGCAGCCCAGCACTGAGGGCAGGTGAGCTGGCACGTGTCTGGTTTATACTGATATCCAGAAGGACAGACTTAGAGTAAATCAGAAGAACTAAAAAAAGTCCTTGCTCTGCCACTGCTGGATGGCTTCTGGGAGATTGCTGACGGTCTCGTGGTTAGGGTGAAGGATTTAGTGGCACCAGCCTGCCTGTCCCCCTGCAGACCTGCTCCCTGAGCTGTTCCCAGGTGAAAGGAGGACATGGGGGGATTCAGCATCCCTGTGCCACCCACATGCTGTCCCTTATTGCCCCTGCACTTGTTGAATTGATTGGTGTCCATGCCTTCTACTCCAGAGCCTTTAATAATTGTTTTTAAGATGCTGGAAGGATTGGTGCTAAAGACAACAGCAGGGAGGAGACCCTGAGTATTCTACAGAAGTGGTGAAATCCACTCAAACTCACACCCTTCTAAGACTCTCCCTCCCATCTGAGTGCAAACTCGCCTCCATTAACATCCATCTTTATAACTGTCAAGTCCCGCCGTGCGTCAGGAAAGGCTGAGCCAGAGCTCCAGATAAAGGAGAGCATCCAAGTGAGGTCTGTGTGCCCGGAGGAGCAGCTCGGCAGATAAGAGCCTTCTTACATCTCCCAGTGATGTCTGGTTTAGATTATTTCAGATCCTTTCTAAGGGGGCAGCTAGCCTATAAATCAGAGGCATTTCCAGGGATGCTTTACAATGCATGCCAGTTGTAAGAGCTTTATGTAGTGGAGCTGAGCCTCGGCCATTTATAATTCAAGACAGAGTTATCACGTTTCACCCTGTCTCGAGTATCAGCCGCTTTGTTACAAACCCCACAGTCAGAATCTCATGCTTTGCACCAGATGTTAGAATTCCACTTCCACAAAGGTGTAAATTAAACCAAAGGCGAGGGGAGCTTCGATTCGATGCCGATGGTAACTGACCAGAATCTATGGGGATGTATTACTAAAAGTGAGATGTGCATGCAGTCATCAGCTAATGGGAGCTGCAGGGCCTCACAACTGGCATCTGATAGAATCATAAAGGTTGGAAAAGACCTCTATGATCATCCAGTCCAACCACCAACCCATCCCCACCATACCACTGACCGCATCCCTCAGCACTGCATCTCCGTGGTTCTTAAACACCTCCAGGGACGGTGACTCTACCACCACTCTGGGCAGCCTGTGCCAAAATCTGCTCCATCACACTCACTGTCCTGCTGCTGTTGAGCACTACGTTCCTCTCCTGCCTTCTTTTCACAACAGGAAGAACCTTTCCCAAAACACCACCATTCAAAAAGAAAAAAAAAACCTGCCTACAAAACAAAACGCATTGAGCTGGAGAATAACTGCAGACAGCTTTCCTAGCCCCAAATAGAGTGGAAGAAATGGCAGCCTCCCATCTGCAGCGCCACGGAGGAGTGGGGTCAGTAGGGCTGGGATGCTCAGGGATGCGGTGCCGCAAAGCCGAGTGCTGCAGGCGAGCCTTGTGCTTCACCCAGCACATGTGCAACGAATCAGCCAAGCAGACAGTGACCCTGGCAGCTTTACAGCACTCATGTTTTCACTACAGTGAACCGTTCTTGAACAATTTCTCCAACGGATTAAGCACAAATATGGTTTTCATCGACACCAGGCCATGCGTGCACGCATATGTGGGTTGTTGTCCACACCACTGTCCCACCATGTGTGGGATTGGCTCAGGGCTACCTTCCCCCATCTTAGGGCTCACCAGAACCACGAAAACCCCATCCCTACTCCTGCAGGGAGCCACGAGAAAGCTCCAGCTGTGTGGAGGGATGAAGCCATCCAAAAATGTAGATGTGCAGCTTGGGGTGTGTTAATTGGTGGCACCTAGAACATGGTGGCTGCTGCTTGAGATACACATGGAATGGGATATCCCATGGAGTGAAGATTCCCCTTGGCTTCAAAAATCCAACCAGTGCTTCTAGCTCTCCAAATCTGCTCCTGTCATACCAAAAGCCAATAAAAGCCTTGGCTCCAGGCTGATCCCTAGGAGAACCTAATTCTGCTAATTCCCTCAGACTTCCTCCTGCTCACAGATGGCCACGCCACAAATCTCACCGACCACAGGAGTTGGGACACACGGTGCCCTCCATGGAAAAGGCTTCCATCTGCCCAACCACCCCCAGCCCCAGCCTCTTCATGCAACTTTGGAGTCATGAATTAATGGAACACCAAGTTCCATGCCTGAGGAAGTCCATAGAGGGGGTTTGGAACTGAATGATCTTTAAGTTCCTGACCAATTCAAGACACAATATGATTCTACAGTTCTATGATTCTGTGATTCCATGAATCTATGACTTCATTCTGCCAAGCCCAACAAACACCAGACACAAAGCCACGCCACCTGTAACCTGCCCATCCTCAACCACACAATCAAACAAACCCGAGCACGTCATACAGGCAGACAAGCTCAAATCACCCAAGATACTCACGGCAGAACTTCTGGAAGTCAGCCTGCAGCTCCTTCCTGGCACTGAGGAAGACTCTGCCCTTCTCAGTGCCCAGCACAAAGGTGTTCTCGTCATGCACAGCAATGCAGGCCACCTCGGCGTTCAGCTTGGACAGCGCGGAGCACTGCGGAGATGTGAGTGGGTTAGAGCTCAAGCACTGCCTTGCATTAACCACCCGTGGCCACCTCCCCACCATAAGCAATGTTTTAGATCAGAATTTCACGGGTTTTACAGCACCCCCTACACCACAAATACTTTGACAACTTTACGACTCCATAAAGGCTTAGATCTGCGAAAAGAAGCTTGTTTTATTGGTAGACTTCTATCCCCCCCCCAACTCCCCGAAGTAACAATTTTATACTATTTCTTTAAAAGAAAACATTCCTGCATAGAACAAAGAAACAACAATTTGTGGTTTTCCACCAGCCCTAATAAAATAAGGAGCACAAGAATCTTATTTCGGCTACAGAACACTAATATGGTCAAAGTCTGGATTAGTCGAGTGATTCTTCTTGTACAGTTATGCAAAACATTAAAGAGATGGAAAAGACTTCCTCCATTAATCCATTTTATGTAATATGTCCTTCCTGCTATACATAACACGGGTATATGCATTTTCATTATTATCTTTCATTGTAATTGTTACACAGTGCCTGCAGCCTGGGTCCCATTCCCATGGCCACAGCTCTGCCATGGCACCATCCAAAGCTCACAATGTAAATGGGGATTTTCCCACTTTCACCCTTCAGCGATGACAAGAATTGAGCACAGGTGACCCAAAGCACACCAGGTGAGCTGAGGATGGAGCAGGAAAGCTGCTGCCCGTGGACCAAACCCCACTGCAGCCACCGCCTTCTTCCAGCTGCCCTGCAGACGATTTTCATTTGGTTGGGCTTAAAGCAAACTCTGTTTGGTCATTTTCCCTCCTGCTGAGCTTCCTCAAGAAGGGAGTATTTAATTACATCACCAAAATATGTATTTTTAAGAGGCCTCCTTTCAAGAACCCGGCAATAATTTGGAGTATTTTGATCAAGAAACTCAACGTGCGGAAAAGAAATATAAAACCTACTGTGAGAAGGGAGGTTCAGAGGCAGCAGAACAACGGGCATTCATTAAGAAGCCCAACTATAAGAGCACGATTTGCTGTAGATGATGGCACAGACACACATCAAAGCCATCGGGCTGTGTCAGCTCCGGGGAACCTGCTCTTTAGTGGGGTGACAGTGGTCAAAAGGAAGGAAATTGCTATCTGGGGAAAAATGCCTTCCTGGTGGAGATGAAGATGCTTTCAAGATGAATACTTGGCTTGAAAAGGGAGGGCTGTTGAGCACATTGCTTTCCATTAGATATTTGTTGCTACACACACACACACACACACACCTTCTCTTCTTGATCACATTCACAGTTAAAAATCAGATTAGCTCTGGTCCATGAGAATTAATCCCAACAGTTATCTTGTTTATGTAAGCACGCCTGACTTATGCAAGGTTTCCACTGGGAATTCTACGTCAAAAGATACGAAAGTTATTTTCTTTGTTCTGCCAGATAAAAGCCATTGTTCTCCTGTTGTGTAAAAGTGCACGGTAACATCGGTAAAACATCAAGTAAAAAACCCAACCAGCCCCTACATTCAGTTGATACCGACATAAATATTAATGGGGAGAAGTGCAGAGCTGAGAAGAGCACGGGCTGATCCAAGCAGGGCTGTCAGAATGTGATGAACTCAACATCCCTCAGCACAGCCCTTTTAATGGGAGCTCAATGAGTTGAGGGGTGGTTTTGTTGGGGGTATGGAAGCTTTCCCCACTTTGGGCTCTAATGTGAGCCGTGCTCAGTCTGCAGCAATGCCCTCAGTAGTTGGAAATCAGCACAGGGATGAAGGGGGGTGGGTTCCCTTACCATGGAGTCTAAGGCAGACACTAAGCTGGTGATGATTTCATCTTTCTGGGGAAAAACCATATTCCACTGTTCAGGTCTGGAGCTGCCAAGGGTCACATCTAGAGGCCTCCCTGCCAGTGCCATATTCACCTGAAAATAAGATTAAAAAAATGCAATGCTGTTATTGATAGGAGCAAAAAAAGAATGATGAAAACCACCCCCACCCCATTGAAAAAAATTAAAAATTGTCTTTTTAGCAAGCACTCAGCATCAGTGCTGCTGGGTCCCTCCTGCACCATGGCACCCAGCCCCAGCACAGACACCAAGCACACGAGTGGGCAGAAGAAAGAGGAAAAGCAGAAAACCAAAGGCGTGTGGAAGACACCCACGTGCCAATCAGCTCAGCCCTGCCAGGAGCACAACAGACAACCACGAGTGCTGCCAAGCTGGAAGCAAAGGCTGGCGCTGATGCCACGCATCCCAACAGTGCCAGTGTGGGTGGCACAGTGGGGACTCATCCCTGGGCAGGTGCCACCCAGGTGGGACACCCCAACCAGAGCTGTGAGAAGTGACATTGAGCAGCACTGGGTGACATTTGTGTCCCCATGCTTCCCATCCCCATGGGCTCTCTTTATACTCAGGAGAGCAACTGGCACACAAAGGTGTCCTCAAGGCATGGCGTTATCTGCCTTCATTTTGGACAACACACAGGAGCTCAGCCTGGGGAGAAAGCAAAAGGGAATTGATCTTTTTAGGGTATTTTTCCCTTATTTTTTTTTTCTTCTTAATTGTCCACTAAATCATCAGCTCCTCGCCCCAGGAGAAGCTTTGGGTTCCTGGGGGGTGAAGGTGGGGGGAGCAGAACCAGCCCTGGAAGCTCCAAAATCAGGAAAAAAATGGGGAAAATGGGACTGGCTTGAGCCACATCACAGCACCCATTCAGTCACATAGGTGGAGGAGATAAGCACCAAAATGCATTTCATCCTTCAATCCCAGCACTGATATCTACAAGCAGCTCTGAGCAGCAATGTGACGTGGGGAAGGGGAGATGCACAGAACCCATACAACCCGGCTTCCATCCTACAAATAAAAGGACAGCAAAGAAGATGGAACGATGGCCATCCAACCTGGCTCATGAATCAAGTGCTGAAGCTGCGAGCAGATAAATGGGGACGGGGAATTTTTAATGAGATGAGATTAGAGGGAGCCGGGCAGGGCGAGCTGAGGAATATGAATGAAGCTGCGGGCACAGAATGAAATCTGCTGTGCAGACTCAAAGCAGGGCCACCCCACGGGGTGCCAATGGGACCCACACCCAGGAGGATTCTCACAGGGGTCGGGGCCGTGCGGGTGTGTTTGGGCACAGAGTGGTGAATGAGGCTGCGCCAGCATTTCTGCTGCGCCAACACTGACCCAGAAAAATCCTCTTCTGAGCAGCTGACATTTCTGAGCGGCGCTGCCCGACCGAGCGGAGCTGACGGCTGAGTTTTCTCCCCAAGGATGATGCTGGCAATAGGATGGAGGGGGGGGGGGGGGACACATGACCCAAAGGTTCATCAGCTCATAAAATAAAGCAGGGACACAAGCATGTCCTGCAGGCAGCCCACCCTGTGAGCATGGGCAGTGCTGCAGAGCCGCCGCGGGATGCGATGCTGTGCAGCGATGCCACACGCCAGGCTTGGGCCATCCATCACCTGGAGGCTCCCACTGCTCAAACAACCCCCCCCCCCCACCACACACAAGCATTCATGGAAAACAGCCTTACTTTGATGATGTGCATCTTTGAGTGCCCTAATTATTATTCCGTATTGCCACCGTTACAGGTTTGTTGTTGGTGTGGATGGCAGCGTTGCAGAGAGCCCCAAAGGATGGGGCTGGGGCGGCCCTGCAGCAAAGCACAACTGCAGCAGCCTCATCCCACAGCCTTCCAGGGACAGTGAGACATGACCCAAGTAATATGTCTGGGATTTCACGGAGTGGGGCTGAGGGGGGAAGAAATATTCCTACAAAGCTTTTAATCATTTACGGTCACGCATAGCAGCGACAGCAGATTTAGAAGGGAAGGGGGGGGGGGGAAATAAACGGGAGGAAAAAAACTTCATGGCGAGCGATAGGCTTATTCAAATCAAATTAAGATGTACAGCTTGAAGTTGTTTGTCTAATCAGAGGGAAACTAAGCTCGAGGGAAACTGGGGTAAACCATTCTTACACCACTTAGGGCTGGCTGCAGGTGGGATGGGGGCACAGTACACGCAAGCTGGCCAGATCCCTGAGCAAGGGGCCGTGGTCCTACAGGGATGGGAACGATGTCCAGGTGCTGCCATGGGGATGGGGACAATGCATCCCCATCCCAGCCCCATCCTGCCCCTATGCCATGGTCCCCGTCCTGCCCATGCCGTGCACCCCTCTCAGGAATAAACATCTGCCTGCTTTGTCACCATTTCCAAAGCACCAGGAGCAAACAGAATAACAAAACAAGTGAAACAAAGCTGGAACAACCCACCCCCCCCTAACCCCCCCAGAGGAAATTTCCAAGCAGAAAATGGTGTTGTTGGAACTTTTGAATTATAAACAGGTTCTGTTAGGGCAAAGCAAGGGGTACATCGAAAGCAGAGTTCCACGGCAAGAAGAGGGGGAAAAAAAAGGCATAAAGCTCATTATTTGGGTAACGACCCACAACGAAGCCCTGTGCTGGGCAGGAGGGCTGCATGCAACAGGGTCAGCAATGCTATGGGATGGGAATGGCCACGTGCACATCAAAGAAATGGGTCTGTACTAACGAGAGGGACTCATAGGGCATCCATCCCTCACGGGCTGGAGAGAGACAGCCTGGGGCAGGTGCTGGAGCTGTGCCGGGGGCAGCTCAGCCACACAGCATCAAAACAACTTCTGATGATGGCATCTGGGCTCCTGAGTCACCCAGGAAGTATCACCCAAAAGGGCTGGTGGCATAGGGATGCATGTGATGGGGACCCACAGGTAGCAATGAGACGGCGGTGATTGGGCTGTAATTGCCTTCTGCTCTGGGAAGGCGCCTTTAAAGGGGATTTCTAAAAATCACACCAGCCCTGGAGGACACGTAAGTCATTAGCCCTCACTATCATTAAACGTGCTTTAAAATTCATCATGAGCTGTCCCGATAGGAGCTGAAGTGACAATGAATGTCACTGCCGAGGCGCAGCAGCAGAGCCAGCATCCGCCCTCCTGCACAGGGACAGTCCCCACATCCCCTGGCTCTGACACATCCCTGATGGGGATGTGGGCTCGGGACGAGAGCCACAGCAAGGCAGTTTAAGAAGGGGACGCTGACTGCAGGCGTTTTCCCCACCCCAATACATCTCAGGGACTTTTGAGGTCAGCTTTTTGGTGGTTGGCTCGGAGCACAGTACACTTGACTCCCATTGACTTGATGTGCAACTCATCATCACCGCAGTGCTGGGGATGTCTGCCCAGCACGGGCAGCTTTCTCACACACTGCCAAGTGTTGGCTGTACCCCACCAAGGGGCTGAGAAACTGCTCTGGACGTGTGGCTTGCAGGAGATAAATGAATGCTCCACATGCCCTGGCGGCCCCGTAACCCACTCAGATGTAATCCCCTACGCCTAATTCAGCACAGCCCTCCTGCCACAGATTGGTCAGCATCAATGCCAGCTCTGGCACATAACTGTGATAACAGGCATTCACGAAATGGCCATAAATAACCTCAAATGTCAGAACACCTCCAAAAATCTCCAATCTTGTCCTCATGCTGCAACGCAGCCCTCCTGGGGCTCTGGTATTTGGGGTATCTGCGCTTCCCACACCAACCAAGGGCACATGGGCATGCCTCAGCCCTATAACCATCCGCTGCCCCATAACCACTGCCCCATCGCATGTCTCTCCTCGCACCCACAGATCTCCTTTTTCACTCCATCCGTTTGCACAAGTTGAAAAATGACAGCGTTTGAGGTTGGTCCTCTGGCACAGCTTGGGGTACCCCAACCATGTTCCATGCCAGCACTGGAGCTGGGAAATACTCCCCCGAACCAAGCCAGTTTGTTGGGGTTTGTTTAACCCCTTCCAGGGGGAGGAATGTCTCCAAGCCATCAGACACCTCCTCCCTTGCTTTATTTTATCAATAAAAACCAGGGAAGGGATGCTGCGCCGGGAGCAGCGCCTGGGATGCGTGCTGCAGTGCTGCTGGGGCTCAGGTTGCGTTTCCCAGAAGCGGGTGGCCCATGGCTGCTAAAATTAGGTGAGGGCATGGGGAGCTCGCTCTGCTGCACCACTGCAGCTGCCGGCTGTGAATAGATCCCCAAAGGAGAGCAAGCCCTTGGTAGAAAGATGAGACAAGGCCAGGATGAGCCGTTGGGGCTGGGATTGGGGTTGCACATCAGTGCTGAAATGGGGCCGGTGGGCTGGAGGTGAGTGCTGGTAATGAGCATCATGGCCATGCCATAGGGCTGAGTGACAGGGGGTCAAACCCTGACCCACAGACCTACATCTGTGCCCCATGCCGCTTGGCAACCCGTGGGTTTTAAACCCAGGTGCAACACCACAAAGCACGGCTCCAGCCAAGCATGGAGCCAAGGGCGATGGGGGAGCAGGGAGAGGACGGGATCCAGTTTCCAGAGTCTGCTTTCTTGGTATGTAAGCTAACACTCGTGTTATTTAAAGCTGGAGTTTTAGCAGCGTTCAGCTACTGTTTGCGTGATCAGGATAAAAAATCGCAATCCTAATTCCTGGCCCCCCGGTGCCTATGGCAACTGGTATCCGTCTCCTTGGAAACTAATCTCGTGGTATTTGAACAATGTACCAAGGGCCTTTAATCTCCCAAACACTGTAAATCTTTATTCTAGCCTGCTCTCCTCCTACCCCAAGAGCCAACATAAAAAGCCTGTTGTTTTCCGTGCACTTACAGAGATCCAAACTCAGATTTTATATCACACAGCCACACAGATTTCTTTTCCCCTTCCTTTTTTTCCTCTAAATCAAAGAGGAATCCCACGTGCAGGTGGCAGCGATGCCTCACGCCCGTGGATGCAGAAGCAAAACCCCAAACTGCAGTCCTTCACACAAGGTCCCAGCCACACTCTTCTGGGATGCTTCCCTACATCCCACACATTGGGAATGGAACACAGATCCCATACCCCCAGTGCACACAG